GGCTTTAATACCAATAAGCATGAACATCTTACTGTAGCCCTTCATTCTCCCCCCTGCAAGGCAAATCGTCATCAGCCTCCCTTTTACGATGCTGATCACTGATATCCATCGATCAATCAAATCGAGTCATGTTGGTTCGCATTCCCCATCAGCTAAAGGGGAATCAAGCAATAGGTAACATGTACATAGTTCCGCCCAACAATCCCAGACTAACGATTGGCAGACCCTTTTTTTCCCCTTCCCTTCCTTTCTACAGTACCTCCCGGCGCTGCAGATAGCACCAAATAGTTGGCAATAGATGGGATAGGATGGCCGCGCAAGGCCTCGTAAAAGGTGGATGCCGGGTGGGTATATTCAGCGTCTGTCTTGCGGCTTCTATTGGATGTGCGTTGTTCCCATTTGTTTCAAAACACGGCACGGCGACAGAGACAAGAGGCATTATGTGCATGTATCTATCTGGTCAGCAATGGGCTTGTCTCTTCTCGTCTCGTCTGTTCTTCAGCCCAGCCCAGCTAGGGAGAGTTGATCCAGCATCGACCCCATCGTAAAGTCCCGACGAGGCCGAGTTCTGGGTAGGCAAGGCATGTCCACACATGCCAACCGCCATCATGGATCCATCCATTCTAGTATTTGTTTTTGATGCCGATACTGCATACCTAGGTAGTACTGTATACTGTAGCACAGAGCACAGAGCACAGGTCCAGGTACATGTACTCATCAAATCATACCAGATCAAGTCAGCACAGATCAAATCAAGCCCATCCATGCCATTCAAAGTCAATCCAGTAACACTGAGCTGCTGCAGGCACAAACGCCTCTCTCCCTCTCCCTCCATCTCCCTCTCTCAGGGTTGCACAACAGCGTGAAAGATATGGGACCCCCCCAATCTGTTATCCCTCTCGCTTGCGTGCGTCCTTCTTTTTCATCTGGTGCTCTCTCTCGGCCTCTTCCCAACTCGTACGACCCGCTGCAACAGTGCCCGAACTGGCTTCGTTAACCGCCAGCAGCATTAGTGTTTAGTGTTTTAGTCGTCCAATGCCAGACCCTTGCTCCCCGTTCTTCAGCTCGTCATCATTGCCTGCTTTTTTTTTTTCTCTGCCCTACAGCCTCCCCCCCTTGCCCCATTGATGCTTTGCGGCTTTGTCCCCGTAGTGCGTACTCGCATGTACCCGTCAAGATTACGGAGTACACTGTACAGAATTGATGCCCTGGAGGTCTTAGTAGTGTGTTGCGCTGGAATGAACGAATCCCGCCTGCTAGCAAGGCTCATTAGTGGTGCTAGCGCCGCCTGTGCGCTCCGTCTGTACCTGTATGTACGAGTACCGGTGCTGGTACAGGTACCTCGACCAGGAAAGAATGGATGGATGAGAAATAGCGATCGCTCGCTGACGGAGGCGGCCAAGCGGGTCTGGGCTGGGCTGATGGATGGTGCTGGATTTCTGCTTTCTTTCTTTGCCTCTTGTCTCTGTCTCTGCCATCTCTCTTCTTTTCTTTTCTGTCCTGACAGTTGCTTTGCCTTGCTTTGCTTTGTCTCGACTTGTCTCGACTTGACTTGACTTGACGATCAACAGGCTGTGGCTGTCCCGGATCGATAAGCCCAGCCACATACGCGAGGTGGAGAAGAAAAGAGAATATCAATCGCATCTTGGATTTCTTTGCCCTTCTCCCTCTCGCTGCCAAAATCAATCAATTTGATCGCATATCTCACCTCGGCCGTGCTCGGGTTACGCAATACGAGATACAGTCGCCAATCTTGCTTCTGCTCTGTCCTTGCTTGTCCTCCCCTCGCTTGTCCGCCTGTCTTTTCCCCGACTCTTTCTTGTCCTTGTCCTTCACAACAAGTCCGGTCTGTCCAAGGCTCGGCTCAGCTCAGCTCAGCTCAGCTCAGCTTCCCCCCCTTGGCCGAGTTGAACGTCAATTTAATTTAATCTCCAATCCACTCCGATAACTTCTTCTTTCTCTTCCTCTCTCTCTCTCTCTTCCTCCTGCTCTCTCCTGCTCTCTCTCTCTGGCAAGGCTCAACGCTTCTGCCGCCCCTCCACAACTGTGCCGTGACCGCCAAGCATGGGAGCGGACCGGAGTTGGTCTTGGCGAAGCTTTATCAAGATGCCGTCCCGCAACTGGCGAGCCGCCATCATCGTCGGCTGCACTTTGCTGCTGACGCTGCCCCTCTACCAGCTGCGCGACCACCAGTCCGCCGGATACTACAAGCAGTACATCTACGACCGCATATCGCCCTATCTGCAGGGCCAGGGCGTCTACAACAACACGCTGTACCATGAGGGCACCGAGGCCGCCGTCCACTCGCGCTGGAACTTCAGCTCGCCATGCGACGGCTTTCCCGACATGGACGGCATCATGCTGGTCATGAAGACGGGCGCCACCGAGGCCTACGACAAGCTGCCCACGCAATTGCTCACCGGCCTGCAGTGCATCGACGACTTTCTCATATTTTCCGATCTGGTAAGTATCTTTGTGTGTCTTTTTCCAATTGCCGTTGCCGTTGCACACACACGCTCCCGGCCTTGGCGGCGGCACATCAAACGGACCAGCAGGGCAAGGGTTTCGCGACTAACACCCAGCAGGAGCAGCAGATTGGCAAGTACCACATCTACGATTCCCTCGACCGCGTCGACGACAAGATCAAGGAAAAGTACGGCGAGTTCAAGCTCTACCAGGCCCAGCAGGAATGCCCCGTCTCGCAAAAGGACTGCACCGCCGGCATGGACGGCGGCTGGGAGCTGGACAAGTTCAAGTTTGTCAACATGATTGTGCGCGCCTGGGAGTTGCGCCCCGACCAGGAGTGGTACGTCTTCGCCGAGGCCGACACCTACGTCGTCTGGCCGACTCTGGTCCATTGGCTGCGCAACAAGGTCAACCCCCGGGACAACGTCTACATCGGCAGCGTCGCCATGATCTCCGGCTTCCCCTTTGCCCACGGCGGCAGCGGCTACATCGTGTCCGGCGCGCTCATGCGCAAGATGGCCCAGATTCCGGACATCACAAAGTACGATGACAAGGCGGGAGACGAGTGCTGTGGTGATGTCGTCTTCGCCAGAGTTGCCAAGGAGGTGGGGACCAAGGTCTTGAACGCTCATCCCATGTTCAACGGCGAGAAGCCTAACACGCTGCCCTACGGACCTGGCCACTGGTGCGAGCCTCTCTTCACCATGCACCACATGAACTCGGAGGAAATCAGCGGCGTGTGGCAGTACGAGCAAACACGCACCAAGAAGGTTTGTATTTTCTCTCTCCTCCAAAGGCTCAAGGGCAAAGAAGAGTAAAGTAAACAAGACTAACAAAAATCGACACACAGGACTTCATGCAGATCCGAGAAATGTACTACGCCTTTTTCGCTCCCAAGATGGTTTCCTACCGAAAGGACTGGGACAACCTGTCGGACGATACCTGCTACCTCGCCCCCGACGAGGAGAGCCAGAAAAAGGCCACCGGTCAGCAAAGAGATCGACAGGTCAAGGAGGGCGACAAAAACGTTGTCCAAAAGTATGCGCACAACTCACCAGCCGCCTGCGCCAAGGTCTGTGAGGCTGCCGGTCTTGATATTCCTGCCGAGGAGTTCGAGAAGCTGGAGACGGAGACGGACCGCGGCAAGCTGATTCGAGCCAAGTACGACCAAGTCGCCAGTGGAGATGTCGGTTTTAAGAAAGACCGCAAGTGCTTCCAGTGGCGATTCCAGAAAAACGTGTGCTGCACGAGCAAGAGCTTCAAGCTCGGCAAGCCCAAGAAGGAGAAGAACGACGGAGATAAGTGGACGAGCGGGTGGTTCGTCAAGGGCATCAACGACTGGATCGAAACCAGGGAGGACTGTCCCGTGGATTGGAGAAACCCTCATTAAACAGCTCGGCTCTTTACATAACTTTGCCGTTATGATGACGTATAACGGCTACAAACATGGACAAAACGGCGACAACCGGCAGCAGGCGATGACAGTATGATGGCGCTGTGTGTATCAGCCTGATTTTCTTTTACAATTGTTTTTGCACGGGACCAAAAAACGGTGGGATTGTCAAAGACTGCATCTTTCTCAAGTCTTTTTGGTTATTCTTTTTTTTTTCTTTTTTTTTTTTTTTTTTTTGCATAGACTGGATGGGCAAACAATCTCCGGCGTTTTTTTTTCCTAAAGGGCATACGAAAAGGAGGAAAGGGAATGGAATGGGAGCCCTCTTCTCCTTTTTTTTGCTTAACGTTTACAAGTTTTTTTGTAAACAGGTTCCTCCCGGTTCATCTGTTTTCGTTTCGTAGTGAGGTTTGGGGGGGAGAAGAGGGGGGGTTTTGGCTGTGTCTGGGTTTGGACAAATGCCCTTTGGATCGGGAGAAGCACGTCACGCATATACAACACATTATTTTAGTTACATAGTACCTTTTTGGCTGTTGAGGCACTTTACATAGATGGTCATTATTGGCGTTTTAATCCCATGGAGAAGAAGAGGAATTAAGCAGATTCGCACACTTTGAGTTCAAACGTTATGTGACTGATCTGATCTAAGATGATGATTGCAAGAGCAAACATTATATGACTGATGTACACGAAAAAGGAAAAACAATCCAAGATGATGATTGAGAAGTTCTCTTCATTCTCTATTATTTAGTTTGAGTATTGTATTGTTACATCTTTCTTTCTCTAGGTAAAAATTGTCTTCTCGTTCAAAAAAAAAAAAAAAAAAAAAAAAAAAAAAAAAAAAAAGACGAGTTCAAATCCGCTGGTGTATCAGTCTTCATGGCCCTTTCATCAGTATATCCAACACCAGAAAAAAGAAAAAGTCCGTTAAAAGATCCCCTTCCCTTCCCGCTAAAGCGTATTCGCGTACCGTAATTCCCCTCCCTCCTATGATATCTCTCCTCAAAACGCAGCAAGTTAAAATAAAAAATCATCGCCATCGTCACGAACCGTCCTCTGACCTCCCCGTCCAAAAAGCGCCTTGTAGAAACCGAATATCCAGCATAAAAAAATAGAATAGAAACGTCGCTGGGGACTGTAACTATGCAGTTGCCTTCTTCGCCCCGTGGCGTCCACACGAATGAGGCTTCTTTGGGGATTTCATAAAGCAGTATCCCCTGGCGTTGGGCCCGGCGGGCGGGCCGTACATCTCCTTGATCTCGCAGTACTCGTAGCCCTTGCCGAACCAGTCCTTGAGGTGCCTGTGGAGTTCGCAGCGCGAGATGCCGCACTTGCGACAGTAGACCTGGCCCTTGACGCGGAGGCGCTCCAGCTCGTTGTTGTCGCTGGCCTCGGCCTTTGATGAGTGAGGGTGCACGAGGGGTCCGGCGCCGCGCCACGCCCACTCGATGTCGTTGGGGCCCGAGTACCGGCTGGACAGCGGGACGATGCCGTTCTTGCGGCGGTGGATGTCGTACAGCTTGGAGTGCGTCAGGCCGAAGCACGCGCCGTCGATGGGGTCGAGGAAGTCGAAGATGGCGTAGTGCAGCTCCGAGGGGAGGTCGAGCAGGGTGAGGCGTGAAGATGGTCGCGGCTGGTTGGCCGGCTCGGGCTCCTTGTCCGTCACAGAGTACGAACGGCGAGGGGGAGGCAGCTTGGGCCGCTGGGGAGGCGGCATGTGCTTTGATACGGGCTGAGCGGGCACGGCCGCGTGCTCCGGGATGCGATCAACCGAAGGCACGGCGGCGTGGAAGTGATGCGGCCCGTCATTCTGGGCCTGGTGGTCGGTCAGGGAGAATCCCCGCCTGGGCGCCCTCATCATGCCCCTCTTGACCATGAGCTCTCGTGCTCTCTGGGCGTGCTCCTCCCTCGATGAGACCATGTTTTCAGATCTGTCGATGCTCGCCTCGAGCATGGCATTGCCGCTCGGAGACAAAGCCGGGGACGCAAGTAGTTGAACCATTATCTCAGAGTTCAAGTATATAGAATGGCCAGGGAAATCGGCCGAGTCGTCGGGGGCGTTGGTGAGGGTTTGAGTCGAGAGAGAGTTGGGGTGAGTGTTGCGTGTGTGGTTGCTGGTGCTGGTACTGGTGCTAGAAGAATCCCGTTGGATAAACCCCCACGGGCAAAGTAAGGGGTGGGATGATTATGGGTTGACGTGTTGACTTTTGTTCGTTATCGCAGTTGCGTACTAGTAATGCGGCACAATGTTTTACTGCTCCTCACTAACGACTTCATGAGAAGAAACAAGGCCGAGATGCTGCGTGTGCGAGTGGTCACTTGTTCCCCCCCACACTCTGGACCGGGGCAACGGCTGGCCGTCTTTTATAACTCGCAGAGATGGGCAGCGAACCGGACCGAGGCCAGGAATCGCCGAAAAAAATGGGCGACTTCGGGGGTGAGGGAGGGGTGTGTTTGGTGTGGTGTGACGGCGGTCCAGCAGAGCAGAGCGCAAACTTGGTTCCGGGCGCGGGACCCATGCAACCAAGTCAACCAAGCCCGTCCAGCAGAGTTTTTCTTCTTCCCCTGGGAGGCGAATGTGCTAGTCGACGGGATGGCCATGTGCCACTGCCTCTTCTTGCCTTGGAAACACACTTGATGGCGGGTTAGCGCGAGGTACGGCAAAGGCCACGCGAGACGCCATTGGTGGCCCAGCCCAATTGCCCACGCTTGACGTACGACGTCTGCGTATCACAGCAGCGATCATGTGGTCGACCAGGCCGTGGGCTTCATGGGCACATCTTGGTGGTCGCTTGCGGGTGCGGATAGTAGTCGCAAGCCAAGGCGGGGGAATCGGGGCATCATGGCCTGACCCTGACCCTGACTTGACGCCGATGCGAAAAACCTCTCTCGCCAGCACCGCAGCGGGTGGCAAGACGATTGCGGGATGGGGCATCTGGCCAGGCAAATCACTGGCCCGCAACGGAAGATCTTGGCCCATCCACATCCACCCTCGATCAGCAGTGAGGCGGAGGGTCTTTGGGGTATCACCAGCATGGCATGGCATGGCATGGTTTGGCACTGCATGCGGATTGGATGCTGCCAATTCCTGTCGACGGTCTCGATCGGGGTCCATTGACAGGATTTATGCTGCTGCCTTGCATCCCTCGTCAAGGCCAAGAAGAAAAGAAACCGAAAACAGAAGAAGAAAATAGAAGAAGAAGAAAATCAAGGCGTACTGGAGGGTTGGATGGATGGATGGATGCCTTGTCACCGTGTCGCAGACTTGTCTCGAACATCTGATCGCTCGCTGCTCCCGGCATCCGACCGCAGGCACCGAGATTAAAAAAAAAAGAAAAACGAAAAAAATCCTGCCCACCAAGAGACGAGACACAGCTCAGCCCCCAGAGTCAGTCCATCCAAGACGCTCCCGTCTCCCTCCGATCCCTTCGGACCAAAGCTCCCTGTACTCGTACTTCTTCGCTTCGCTGACAGCAGATGGCAAACGCTCTCGGACAATGCAATCCAACACCGTCGTTTCTGCTCTGGCTCTGTATCCGGCCAAAGGACCCCTTCGGAGACGATGCCGATCCCCGGTGGGGATTCTGTTTAGCAGTCCGAGCCGTCGTCTTGCTGCTCTCCACCCCGGCGCTGCAGCTGAGGTCATAGCGGAGCTGAGATGGGAGACTGATCTTGAAGCATCGTGGACCCTGTCTGTCAATCCGTATGGAGCAGTGAAACTCCTTTCGTCATTCAAATTGCAAATCACCCACCCATTTTGTTAGGGTAGATTGGTGAGAGGGCAGGTGAAAAGTCTAGGCATCGCGAGAGGGGATCGTAGCCTTAAAAAGAAAACAAGAAAAAAGAAAACGAGAATCGCTCGTCCCGGCGGTGTACCGGGTAGGTCAGGTGCGGCTGATCGCGTGCCCATTTCATTCCTGCTGTTTTTCCTCTCCCTGCATTTGCGGCGCTGAAAGATGGCATCGTCAAAGGGTTTTGCAGTCGTGTTTGACAGCAGCACGCTAAGTTGGCAAATTGCATGTGTTGGCGACGGTCTTTTGGGGTGTCGCGTAACAGCGCGATTTGCGGTTCCTGGAATGGAATGACGATGCATTGAGAGGCACGGGTTGAGATTGAGAACTTTGACGTCGACTTTTGTTTTGTGTTTGCTACCTGGGTACTGAACGTTTATAAGATAAAAGCCTCTATATAGGTAACTAGGACTACATGTGCACGAAATCCCGCAAACCCACCGCATATGGCTTGTCGTACAATCCATTAACGCAAACCTAAAGATGAGTTTCTAGGCGCCACCTTGCAATGCTTTCGAGAACGGCTCCAATACGCGACACGTACCGGTTCATTCATGGCGGCATCATCTACTTCCTGTTGGTCTTGTAGCCACTACATGTAAATTTACTCCCAGATAACACTGCTGTGGAAAACTCTCAGAAGCACAGCCCCGCATGATGCAGATCAAAAGTAAATTAATAACAGCTCAAATAACAAATCGACTCCGTAGGTATCCCTTACTTGTTTCCATGCCATGTGTCGGGTTGCTCGCTGTCCATCGCAGCATCCTATCGCTCAATATGCAAGTAATTCATCAAAAGATGCAAAGCGTGGGCGAACCATGGCACCAGAGCCGCCTCCCCCGAACCCACCGCAGTCAAGAGAGGAGCGACTTTGCCCAGATCGCATCCAAGCCAGAGTCCGCCCACCGACCTTTTCACGATGCAGGCTCAGGGGCCGGCCCTCCCCCTCACTTTCACCCCTCAGGCTTCTTGTTTTTGCCTCCTCAGATGGCGATCCAGATCAGCATGATGACCACGTCCATGCCCTTGCCCTCGCCTCCGTCGTACTTGAAAGTCCACATGCCGTCCTTCTTCTCGTCCCAGTATGCGCCGGTTGCGCTGTGCATTCCTCGTCGGCCGACGTGCGGCTTGCCGTCCGTTGCGGTGGCATCTGTGCTCGTCGACACATGAGGCTCCTCGGTCTTGGTGTCGGTGCCGCCGCGGGACTTGTTCAGGGCGGATGTGGGAACCAAGTGCTGGACAATGGTACTGTTGCAGGCAAACTTGTATGAGGGAGAAGTGGCGCCCTGGGGAGTCGCCTCAGAGATGAGCGCCTTCAGCATTGAGCTCTGTCGCAACGGTTAGTTTAGCGGTTTGGAAAAAAAGACGTCTTTGGCCGTCGCGTGGAGGGATCAGGATCAGGATCTGGCATACGATGATGGTCGAGTTCCATTGCTCAGTCTTGGCGTGGTCGTAGAACTCCGCACTGCCGATGGCGTTGTTGCACACCTAGTTGGATCATGTTAGACGCGCGAGAGCTCGATATATCAGCTTCCAACAGCTGGGGAGGATGCGGGCAAAAGCGTACATCTGTGGCAATCTGCTTCAGTCGGTTAAAGGGCACGGGCTAGTATCCTCGATTAGCATGTCTCACAGCCCCTCCTAGAGCCTCTGCAGCGCGCATTGCGTACCGGGGTAGACATGTTGACTGGTGATGCTTCGGCTGGGTGTTGAGTTTAGGGGGGAGGATGCGATGGGCGGATGCGACGACAATGTACCAGCTGGCGGTGCGTACGGGATGCCAATGATGGAAATACAGCCTGTGCCCCGACGAGGCCCTGCGTTAGCCAACCATTGACAGGCGATGCGATGCGGCCGCGGAGACGAGCTCACCTGTGACGCTTAATTCTCTTTTGCTCTTTGTGCTTCCAACCGCAACAAGTTGCTCGTTCGCCCTGCATGGCTTTCCCCTTTTGGCACAGCAAACCAAACCGCGCTCTCTGCTCTGCGGGGCCGTGCACGTGATCCTCCCTTCTGCCGCCTCCCCTAGCCTCTTTAGCTGTCTTATCAGCCTATCAGTTTCCAGCAAGTCCAGCTAACCAACCAGCTGTCCAAGCCCACGTGCTGCGCGTAGCTCGACAAATCCGGCCGGCGGTGGGGATGGGCGGAACTGGACCTACGAGTACGGAGTACCTCTGTGCAGCTTTTGGCCTGCGAGATGCTGCCGGGGGCCGCCACGGTCGGATCTTGCTTTTTCTTTCTCTTCCCATCTTTGCATTCGCGCAAAATTCTTCGTCGCCCTCCCCGAAAGCTTCACCTGCTCCGACTCGTCTCTTGCGTGCCGCTCCCTCGTTGGCATTTTTTTATCGCTTTACCCGTCAATCGCGCGCGGCAACCGTCCTTTTGGCAAACCCGCCCTGAACGTCATCCTTTGACCGAATCAACTAGCGGCCAGCTCGAAGCTCTCCAGCGATAAACTTTTTCTTTCTTTCTTCTCCAACTTCATCACTACGGCGCAATGTCTTCCCAGCCTCTCCTCCAAACCGCCCCCGGTAAGTTGCCATAGCATGAGGTGGAGATTCACCTACGCTCTCGTCGAAAATGCCGTGCCAATTGCTCATCAATCGACATAGGCAAGCGCATTGCCCTCCCTACTCGCGTCGAGCCCAAGGTCTTCTTCGCCAACGAGCGCACGTTCCTGTCATGGCTCAACTTTACCGTGATCCTCGGCGCCCTGGCCATCGGCATGCTCAACTTTGGCGACCGAGTGTCCTTCATCTCCGCCTTCCTCTTTACCGGCGTCGCCATGCTGACCATGATCTACGCCTTGGTCACATACCACTGGAGGGCAAAGTCTATACGAGTGAGGGGGCAGGCTGGTTTCGACGACCGATTCGGTCCCACTTTCTTGGCCATCATCCTGCTGTTGGCCGTCATTGTCAACTTCGTCCTCAGGATTATGGATCAGTCCAAGAAGCAGAAGGACCAGCCCGTGTACTAAGCCACCGGTGTCTACTATTGGAGAAGGACGAACAAATCATAGGACTGGACCGAAGCGGCATCAATGTTTTAGGACATACGAGCGAAAATGATGAGGCTGCCTGTATCGGACTTTCAGGTCTTGCTAAGCCTGCCGTCGAATTTCCCGACGAGGAAAGGTTTCCAACGGAACTAAGCGCTGTGTTGAATCAGTGTATCATATGCTTTTTTTTGGGTATCGCACCGAAGGTAATTAATATCTCGATAAGATTGTATATCAAAACTTGGGTATCATATTGCTGTAACCTCGTGAAATTCCCCCCCCCTTCCCCTTTCAGACCCAGCCGGTCGAAAGCACACCCCATGTTTCCCCATATCCGCAACCTTGTCTATAGTGGAGTATCTTCGCTCGTCTGTACCGTTACGTTTTCCCTCGAATCAAGTTCCGGGATTGCTTGATGTGAAATGAATATCCTCAAAGACTTGTATGTTTGAGCTCGCGGAGGCGGCAATACGGCTCGCTCGAATCGACTCTCCATGGTCTCGAACGCACCCTCGTCACTGTCGGAATCCTCCTCAGCCTCCTCCTCCACATCTCCCCTCTCACGCGAGTTTCTCTTCTTCTTCTTAGCCTCGGGAGGCAGATCGAAGAGCTCGTTGTACTGATACCAGGCCTGGCCCTTGTCCCCCAGTAATCTTTTGCATTGCTCCGCCACCGTGATCATTTTGCAGACGTCTGCAGGTCGCGCGTGGAGCAGGATCGCTCGCGACTCTGCGGATTTGTCGAGAAGATGGGATGATGCGCTGGAAACGCGCTTGCGGATCTGCGTGGATGAGAGGACCGACAGGGCGAGGACGTTGTGCTTGGCGGAGAGTTCCTTGAGGATGGCTTCGTGCGGGCCAATCAGGGTGGGATTTGCCTGGGTGCGAGGTTTCTTGGATGGAGCTGGCTGGCTGGAGGAGTGCTTGCGCTTCTTGGAGGCATTGTCGGTTGACATGGCTGGGGTTGGGGGTGAATGCAGTTTGAATGTTGTAGGATGAGGTTGACGATGATTGTTGCTAGAGCTTTTGATGGAAAAAAAATGTGGGTTTGGAGCTAGTAAAGCTACATTGGTACATGTCTTAGATCTTAGCGCACTTTGGCTTTATAAGTACCTACTAAGGTACTCGTTTGTAAAAGCATCCCTCTATGGTGAAGCGTCATTCTCATCAAGTCAATAACTGTGTTACTGTCGCTAAGAGGCAAGTCGTAGTAGTATTACTGTTGTACTTCAACTGCCCAGGATTCCTTGTATCATTGCCCTCGGAATGCCGAATTGGGAAATGTAAAGCAGCCTTGATAATGAATGATTCCATCAAGCACTGCACAAATCCCATCGGAGACTAGGCACAACGTAGATCCGGTGCCCGCCTTTTGTTGAGCGTCTTCCGAAGGTAAGCCGACCGAGTGGCTGCCCAACGGACTAGACAAAACCTTGTTCCTCTTGCTCGGCAGATGGTGTGGACCGCCCTCCGCCAGTCAAAACGCATCAGACGAAGAGCCAAAAGCACGTTGTCCAAATAGAAGCCCGCCGTGGGAGTGTGCATGTGCATGTGCATTCTGATTCTGGCGTCTCTGGCGGCACTTGACGCTATTTTCAGTGGACGGGCGCACATGGACCCTGGAAAACAGATGCCATGCAATGCATTGTCTTGCTTGTCTGCGCTTCGTTTGGAGGAAGCAGTCCAATCGAAACCTGCTGTTGAGACCAAATGGATGACGAATTCTGCCAGCACTTGGGTGGAGAACAGGTACAGGTACGACGATGATTCTCTGTGCCCCGTAGCACTGCAAAAAGTGGACATGTACCGAGTACTGGTACTGGTACAGCATGGAGCAGAGGCGCTACCAGCGTGATCGGCCCACCAGCCCGTCAAGAGCTGGGCAGATGTCGTATTGCGTGGAATAGTTGGAACATGGCGAAACGGCCGTATGTTTGCACTGCACTGCACTGCACTGCACCAAGTGATGGGCAAAAACGTGCAGCAGCTGCTTGTATAGAATTGCCCCGTTTTGGGCCTTGCTCAGTGTTTAATACCAACTACCTCTATGTCTGAAAACAACACAGCGGCGGGTTTGGCCAAACGACGGGGGGGATCTTGGTACTAGATATTGAGCATCGATCTCGAATTCCGAAAATCGAGGATTCTACGCCGGCGATTGGTCCGCGGATTGGGCTGCATTGGAGCCATGCACCAACGACATTAGCTCGACCCTCAATAGACACCACCAAAGGTCCCCTCAACTGCTGCCGTGCCGTACTCCTGCGGTCCTGCTCTTGTGCATGTATTCTCACGAGTATGGATACTTACACTGTGGCAAAGCAAGCCATGGCGTTGGGCTACGGGCCGCAGAGTGATAGGCAGCGGTGCAGGACTCGCATCGAGTACGAAGGCGCCAGGCAGATGAATCTGGTACACACGAGAACTGATCACATCCCCCGCCCTCTCTCTTTTTTTTTTGGTCGTGGAGAGAGGGACGTGGGTACTGCTGCGTCTCTGTATATACTTGATACAAGAAACCAGACATGACGGACGCTCTCTTCCGGTATTCTCGGTGCCAGACTTGGGTGCCGGAAGGCGGCAGATACAGAAGCATTGCAAAAAAGTGCACCAAAGCAAAAGTGGCGGCATAAACCGGACTAAACAAAAACTACTGCCTGTATCCTGCAAAAAGGAAAAAAAAAAAAAAAGAAAAAACAGGCGGCTGGCTGCAAAAAAACAAAGCGATGGAAGCAAAGAGCCTTCGATGACAATCGCCTGTGCCCGGCCCTTGTCCCACGGGCAAACAAGAGCTGGTTGGTGCTTTCTGGTAGCGTGGCTTACGGGCCCCTCCTCCGGCACACTCCCCGATGGCTTCGGTCGAAACTGATCCTGGTCAGTGGACTGTACTTGTACTTGTACATACTCGTCCTGTAACTTGCACACTCCAAGTTGCGCCCACTCGACTGGGCTGGACTTGGGTGGCTGCAGGCGGCGAGTATCATATGTACATGTAGGATACGCTGCGGGCTCGCAAGCGGCACTGCTCGCCATTGTTCTGCTAGCGTGACGACGAGTTGCAGCAGGCAGATACGAAGGGGGAAGAGGGAGGTTGACGCAGGCAGAAGGCAGCAATATCACCAAAGTCCAGCAAGACACACGTGTGCATCCGTATCAGTATCGTTATCGGTCGATATCATTATCAGTACAGATATGAGGCAGTATATAGTAGTACCTGGTACTTGGAATGGCTGTCCGTCTTATCAGCGAGGAGATGCATCCATCAGATCGGTCGATAGACCGTTCCGTGGAACAAACTTGGAAGTGAGGCGATAAGGACCTTGAACTGTACTTGGCAAGAGACGGCGCTAACACGGATGCCCCGTCCAGGCCCTTCGGTTCAGCACCAAGTACCTCACAAGAGGTACCTTAGTACTAATGTACAGTACTGCGGACCCAAGATGCGGTAGCCAGCTGTCGCAGTACCTAGCCGCATCTGTGAATGTACATGCTCCGGACTTTGCGCCACCACGGTGTCCCCCGGAGACGGTGAATTGCAAAGGGATTGACATCAATAGCAGGCGTACTGCACTGTACCGGTACCCGCATGTTTTACCTGCGCGAATGTACGAGTACCGTAGCGAGCACAGCACACGGGCCAGCGCCAGTACCGGTACTCCAGACTCCGTAACAGCACAGTCCGCAACTTGAACTTGCTCGCGCGCAAGCAGGCGGCCATAGCTCCTCCACCCGCCCGGCCCACCGCCCAACCTCGCAACTCACCCCCCTGGCCGCACCTTAGAAGCCATCCATTGAGCGGCTCAACTGTTCTCAGCGCCAACCCTCGCCGTCGTACTCGCACTTCAGCGGCCCAGCCCAGCCCAGCCCAGCCCTAGCTCCAGCGCCAGCACGGCCCACCCCCCCAAAGCATGGAACAAATCGCCCATCCGCCAACGACGAGTCACAGGCCTTCGCCTCCGCCTGTGCCCCTGCCTCCATGTCCAGTCTCCAGGTGTCAGCCAGTCCAGGCCAGACTCGTGCAAAACAAACCGCCTCTTTCACGCCGTGAGTCGCCTCCCCCCCTTTGCTTTTTCACTTGTCACCTTCTGTTCCTTTGCCCAAGCCGCCTTCTAATTCTCCCCCTTTCATATCATAACACAACTCTCCCTATCCTTAATTATTTTCTTTCTTTCTCCCTCTGTCGCTTTCTCGCCAGAGGCTTTGTTCGAGGCTTTCGCTAGCACTCGACCTCCCATCTCCCATCTCCCCTCCCCTCCCCCCGTTTACAGCGCGCGGCTCTCATTCTCACCCCTTGTCTCCCATCTTGCGCGCTGCCTTCACTGCAGGTCAGGTTCAGGTTCAGCGTCTCCCGACCTCTCCGCCGGCCAGCCTCACTACCAGCCGCATTCACAAGCCCCCTTTGCCCGGCGCCACTGCCTGGGCAGATTACCTCAGCACGCGCATTCCAGCGCCCCACTTTGACGCATCCCTCGCTCCAGTCCAAGTGCCTGCCTTGATTGTCCTGTGCCGCCGCTTGCAAAAGCGCATTACCTCATCACCAACTTCAGCCTTTCGCTCGCAGCGCATCGTTGCCTCGCGTCGCATCTGTCGCGTCGAATTGCTGTCTTTGGCGCAGTCGCACCGCAGCAGTCGCGGGCATGTCCATGTTTCGGTTTTGGAGTAGCGATCCAAGGGGAAGCGACAAGACCGTCATTGGGTCGCCATCCATCGCCTTCAGCTCGCCAACCCGACCCTCGTCAGTCGCATGCGATCTGGACTTGTCGCCGCGCAAGCGATCGCATCGTGACGTCGACTACGACGACTACGACGACGACGCCATGGCTTCTGTTGTACCGGCTAAACGCCTCAGGGCCGGCTCCCAGGCGCTGGCCCAGGAACCATCTTTCCCAGGGCCTCAAGGGCCAACCTCGTCGATGGCTGCCGAGTCTTGCGCCGTCGACAGCGCCAGAGACCTGATCCAAGCTGAATTTTGCCAGGAAATTTTACTCAAGCACAAGGAGCTAAGATTGATCAACCAAGAGCTTGCCAAGTGTCAGATTGCGCTTGAGCAGCTGCGCCGATGCCATCTCATCCCGTATCCTGTGAATTGTCCCACTCCGCAACAAATGTTAGACGTCAGCGACGGAAAGGGTTCTGCAGTAGTGGCCAAAGCCGGCGATGCTGTCCCCCGCTGGGCGCCTCCCTTTGGTGTTGTCGATGGTCCTTACTCTCGGCACTATGCCAAGTGGCTCATTCCCGATCCAGCCTTTGATGGCATACAGCCAGTGTCATCGCATCTCCCTGCCCGTGGTCCCGTTCTGGAAGGAAGAACAACCCGCAACAGTAATGGTGAACTTGGGTTTGGAATCGCCAAGGGGCGCCGTGGCAACGGCAGCCATAAGTTTGAGTCTCTGTCGAACGGCTACCCCCCACCCAAAGACAAGGTAGGCCCTTGCGTCCTGACTCGGGCAGACGGCCAGACAGTCAAGCTTGTGTGCTTGGACTGCCACAGGGACAATTTCTCAAGCACCCAAGGCTTCATCAACCATTGCCGCATTGCACACAAGCGTGATTTCAAGAGCCATGAAGAGGCCGCCGTTCATTGCGGCCAGCCATATGAAGCTTCCGAGGGGGGTAACATCCCCAAGGACAACAAGGCAGCGGCTCCTGTTTCGTCCTCTGCTACCACCACCACCACCACAGCTACGTCTTCTTTCGTGCATACCTTTGCGCGTCCGGACGTGGTAGAGCAAGACGTCTTCAAATCGCTTCGGATGAGAATTTCCGACTCGCTCAAGCTTTACAACCAGGGCAAGCTGTCGGTTGTCAAGTTTCCTCGCAACATCAATGCTGTTGCTTACCCCGGCAAGGCGTCGCCATCGCCATCGCCATCGCCGTCCCCATCAGCATTTGGCCCCTCTTCTGACGCACCTCACCTGTCTCGTCTCTTGAAGGCTCGCAATTTCCAAGGCAATCTCCACGATGTCGTTGCCGATGCAAAGTCCAAGATGCCACTGGAGGACCTTGCCGGGGAAGAGTCGGAAGCCGATGGCTCTGTATCCCCCATGCAGGAATCACTGCCAGGCCGAGCCTCGGTTGTTATGCGCATGCCCGCCAGGACTGCAAAAACCCCTGTTTCTGGAGGCAACTCGGCACGGCCGACAAGCAGCAAAGGCCGCGCTGCGCATATGGCACTGGCCTCGCCCTCAGATTCTGACATGGCCATGATGGCCAACAAGCACCGTTCTGACACGGTTCTGTCTGACGAGGATGTGGATATGGAGGACGCCGACATGAGCCCCAACACCCTTGTTAGCAACAACGCGCCTTCTCTGGTTAGTGACGACGGAGAATATGACGACTCTGATGAAGGCTCTTCTGTTTCTGGAGCAAGTGACCAGCTGGAGGCGGAATCCGTCTCAGATGTTGCCGAGATCTCGCTAGAGTTCGAGTCTGACCCTCGAGCTCTCCGCCGAGAATCGACGGGCATGGCAGGACCTGTGAGGCTTCGCAAAGAAGGGGCCAAGCAAGTTACATTTATTGGCCCTGTCAGAAGCAGTGCCAAGGAGCGAAGGCAACGAAAGGCCTAAAGCTCACCCCCCTTTTCCAACCAGGACCACCTTGATCTTTGCCACTGGACATGCACTTTTTTCGACCCACCACCCTGAATTATGTGGCAACCCATAGAGTACCGTTTTGGATTCTCATTTCATTTCCTGCGACGCCTTTATTTATTAAAGAACTATAACTCTATTTTTGGTGGTTAACGACTTTTTTTTTCTCGTGATGGCTTTTTTTCATTTTCTCTCAGTTTGAACTATCTCAATAGTTGGTGGATTGGATTGGCTTTGCTTACGATGTGTGGACTCTTTTATTCTATCATGATTTTTTTTCTTTGGCGCTATTGGGTCATTGAGGGTATCCGGAACTATTGCTATTTTTCTGTATTAGAGACTCGGCCTTTTTTTTTTTTTTTTTCGTTCAGAAGGATTGCCGGCGCAAAAGGTTAAAGGGAGCCTGCTTGAGGACTGCTCGCGGCCTAGGGTGTCGAAGCATAAAGCGCGGCCTAGGGTGTGTTCTTTTTTTTTTTTTTTTTTTTTTTTTTTTTTTTTTTTTTTTTTGTGTATGATACAGTTAATGCCCGCGAGGATTTTTGCGATTATGGAAATAAGAATGATGGGGGGTCCAATGACCCTCACTACTATTTTGCATCAGTTAGCTGGCAGATGTTCATGTGTCGTCCATTGGTTCTTTAGATACGTCGGGTTTTCTCAATAGTCAGGTATTTCTGCTTATATACAGATGGTTACTACAAATTACACAAGTATCATGCATTGTGAGGATGTGGTTCATCAGCAAGCTGTGCAAATACATATTGCAAATAGTCGGCTACATGACATGGACAGTACCAAAGCCAAGATACCACCCATCCACTCTACAATATTAATGAGCGTCATGAGCTTCAGGTACGATAATTGGACGCGGAATCCCGTCATATTAAGGGGTAAACTAGAATTACATGGGCATACGCGCGCCGAACCAGTCCCCGACTATTATTATTATACGCCTGCTTGTTGTGCTCCGAGCCCAACGACCCAATTCATTCAATCTTTTCGCATGCAAACACTTGACATCATCACCTTCATTCCTCATTAGATCACGGCGACAGCAGCACCGGCAATAGCCATGACGAGGCCAGCAACGCTTCCCATGGTGGGAGCGGCGGCGGCGTTGGTGCTTGAGCTGCGAGCGCTGGTGGTGGAGCTTGTCTGGGCGCCAGCAGTCTGAGAGGGACCAGAATCGGTGGTAGAAGCATCGTCATTGGTGGGAGCAGAGCCGGAAGTCTCCTCGGGGTTTGAAGACTCTGATGTCTTGGTCTTGGGGGTAGAGGCTGTGGTCTTGGGGGACAGGAGGGAGGCAGTTCGGCAGTAGGAGTCGACCTGTTGCTGGACTGAGGGAGCACGGATGTCGTTGGGGCAGTTGTTGTAGCAGCTGGTGACGATTAGCATGTGAACTCCACGGAGAGGAGTGAGGAGACTCACGTCAAGACGGCCTGGTACGCGGCGCAGAGACAGTCGTAGTCGGTGGGCTTGCAAGCGTTGGCCTAAGGGGAGATGGCAGGTCAGTCTGAGTGCTCCTCGACAATCAAATGAAAGGAGTATTGGGTTATTCCGTACAGTTTTGGTGGTTGAGCCGAGGCAGTCCTCGAGGATGTAGTCGGCCAGACAGCTGGAGCCAGGGGTATCTGGCGAAGTCGAGCTGGCGGCGGAGACGCCAACGGCAGCGAAGAGGAGAGTCGCGAAGAACTTCATCTTGTGTGGTAGTAGTGGATGATTTTTGATGTATACGAGATGATGACTGGAATAATGAAAAGAAGAAAAGACTCCAAAAAAGGTCAGATAGCCTCTCTAATGCTGATGCGTGGAAAAGATGGGGGGAGATGTGTATTATTACGAGTTTATGAAAGTAGAAAAAAAAAGAGAAGAGAGAAGAGAGAAGAAGAAGAAGGGATGGAGGGAGGGAGAGGGAGGAAGGGAGAAAAATAAATAAGAAGGTCCCCCAGGGGAGGCAAGGTGAAGTCTTATTCGGAAGCGACGAGCCGGGGGGGCGTGGTAAGTGGCATGTTGGGGTTTCTCAAGGCCCCGGATTTCCATTATCGAGGGTTGCATGGGGCGACGGACGGCCGAACTTTGCGGTGGGCAAGATATACTTTGTATTTGGTGGAGAGAGGGAGAGGGAGGAACCGTTCAATACTATAGTACCAGGTACTTTGTGCGTTTGCTTTACATGGAAGACATGCAGGTAGTAGTATAGGTATTGTCCCATCTGATGCTATTCAGGAGACGAAGAGTGAGAGACACGCTTCTTGATGATGGACATGGGACGCACCCTACATTGGAGAGAGACTGATGCTGCTACGGAGAAAGAAAAAGGCATCAGTTTGTGCTCTGTGTACATGTGTACATGGTGTGTGATTAATAGAGTTTGCACAGGGAGGAGCCCAAGACTAGGAGATGGATATCATGGCCGCCTCTTGTGCGACTCGACTGGCGGTGATACCCAGATGGAACCGGAACCACCACCAGTGATATCAAATACTACCTCTACTGTTTGTTATAGGCTCCATTGGCTGCAAGAAACCTCGTATTGCCGGGCGTCATGTCATGCGGGTTGAACGACCTTTTTGCTTATCACAGAAACAGACTCCGTGCCGTGTCATGTTTTGTTTTGTTGTCGTGCAAAAAACATGGATGCATCACAAAAAGGGATGCGAGGTCAGGGAGACTTGCAATCCAATCCAATCCCATCCCTCTCCCCCAAACGGGCCAATCGCAACGGCGGGTCTAGAACAGCAGAGCGACGGCTGTTTGTGGGGACCCGTTGCTCAACTGAGATGGTGCTGGAAAGAAAACGAGGCCAGCGGTGCAGGTGGTTTTTTAGTGCCTGGAGTAGCGGCTGGTAGGGGCTAATCCGGGTCGGTAGGTTCTCCCGGGCCATGGCAACTTGGATTGATGCGACAGCTCGGATTGGCCGGGCGAGCAAGGGTTAGAGTTCAATAGCTGAGACCTGCCCCTGTGACGGCGCAAAGTAAAACTGTGCTGGTAATTGATCCTTTTTCATCATCGCCTTTTTTCCCCTTCAGTTTTGGCGATCCCCCGGGAGGGGAAAAAGCTTCTTCTCCAGATGGAGGGGAGATTGCCAGCAAATACGGAGTACCTGGTCGAGAGTAACCGAGTCTGAGCTTCGCTTCGACCCTGAAGCCCGCGGGGGGTCCAGGTAAGAATCGGTGTGGAAATTCCGCCAGGCGGTCCGAGCTTTATTGGGGGTTGTGTCTCTTGTCGTTTGTGATGATTTTCCATGGAGCTTCTCTCGTTGCTGGACAAGGGGGTTGTGGTTGTACTGAGAGAAGGGCAGTCGTACTTGGTATGCCGTAACCGTCAGGCTCTGAACCAACTCTGTGCCTGTGAGGCTTCTACCCCTGGCGGGAGGCGCAACGCCACAGCAGCTTGAGCCATGTTGTTCGAGGTGCGGCTGAAGAGGTGAAGGGCTTCCCTGGGAAATGAGCGTAAAGTCGGCGTTTCTGCCAAGGGTCCCACCTGATGACCGTACGAGTACAGTAAGAGACTTGCACAGCGGCCTCAGAGGTTGCACTTGGTATGGAGCTGGTAATACATGCATGCACCTGGGTATTGTAAGTACTTGCCTTTTGGGGGCAGCTGCAGCTTCACGGCGCTGGCCAGGCTGGAAATATTCCGTTGCCCGTGCCTTGGATGGACAATCTGGCATGATGGAAGCCGAGAGTCGCCATGGTAACATTGTGCCAGGGGAGAGGTGGTAGAGTACGGAGGACTTGGGTAATGCCTCGGTAGGTACCTGTACTGTTATGTTTTACAGTAATACTTGGCACCTACAAGCATTGGTCCAATTAAAGACATCAATTGTCATATTAATTCGGTGAACTGTACATCGTCGTCTTGTACCATCCATTACAAGCAGCACACTCGGCAGCACACAAACAATATTGAATCCTGCTGCCTCAAGTGCTGAGGGGCATCCGATAATGCTACCTGGTAGTCTACTCCGTTGATACTCTCAAGCCATTGGCCAGCCTCATCAACTACTCTTCTACTTTGTCAATAAACTGCTCAATGTTTTGACCAAACATTCTTGATGCCTGATGCATCCATCGCTAGGTAGACGAATATCGAAAGGAAGAAGAGACGCTTGTTGCTGACAATGACGACGCAGCTCGTAGGCAGGTAAATAAAATCGCAATGCGCAGGTACTTATACTATGGGTAATCGACCTTTACACGCCATGCAACCGTCGTTGTACCCGCCACATTGCCATCTTATAAAGTCTTCTACAAGCCGTCTTCAAGAGTCCATAAGGAGATACAACATCATCAATAGCTATTCATAAAGGCGCCATCCGTGCCCCTCAGCCATCATCGCCTTAGCACTGGGCGGTGCATCATCATAGTGAGTAGCTCGCGATTTAGCTGGCGCGGACCATCTCCCCAGTGCCCCACCATCAACTTACACTTGTCGTTTCAACCCCTCCTGAATCCCGAAGCTTGCCTGCCTCGCGACCAGATTAGATCAATCGACAAACGAAGCCATTCTCCATCTTCCCAAAGCACGGCCAGCCACAATCATGGCTTCCATCAACATCGAACGCATCTTGGCGGCTGCTCCCGTCACAGCCCGAGGACAGGGAACGCAGCTGTCGGCAGACTCCAAGGGAAAGAGGATCGCGTACGCAGTGAGTTGCCCAAGACTGACCGCATCTTCGCGGGCTGGATTCTACCGTAAAGAGAGAGGCGAGGCGCTGACTTGGTTTGATGTCATGTCATGTGCAGTCCGGCAAGTCCATCTTCGTTCGGTCCATCGACGATCCCGCAGACTCCAAAGAATACACCGGCCACACCCATCCCACGACCATTGCCCGGTTTGCGCCCAGCGGCTTCAAGATTGCCAGCGGTGACTCGGCTGGTGTCCTGAGAATATGGGAGCCCGAGTCTGTCGAAACCACTCGGGGCGAGTACAACATCATCTCCGGCCCTTTGCTGGATATTGCTTGGGACGGCGACTCTCAGCGCATCATTGCCGTGGGCAATGGCCGACAGAAGTTTGGCAAGGCCATCATGGCCGACAGTGGCAACTCGGTGGGGGAAATTATTGGACACACAAAGTCTATCAACGCTGTTAGCATCATACCAAAGCGTCCTCTGCGTGCTGTCACTGTTGGCGACGACAGCAACGTCAACTTCTACCACGGAGTCCCGTTCGAGTTCAAGAGCGTCACGAACCTGCACACTGGCTTCGTCTTGAGTGCTGTCTACTCGCCCGATGGGTCAACCTTTGTGACTGTTGGTCAGGATAGACGGATACAGTTGTACGATGGCGTAACGGGCGAACCTCTCAAGCAGATTGGCGAGGGAGAACACACTGGTAGCATCTTTGGTGTTTCATGGTCCCAGGACGGAAAGAAGTTTGCCACGGCCAGCGCCGATCAGACAGTCAAGCTATGGGATGCCGAGTCAGGCAGTGTCATTCAGACCTGGAAGTTCGGCGATGGAGTCAGTGTGCGTGACCACCAGGTTGGAGTTGTCATCCCGCACAGCCGGACAGACGGTCTCATCATCAGCATCAGCTTGGCTGGTGAGTTGACTTACCTGCACGAGGGCAAGAGTGAGCCCGTCAGAGTCATTCAGGGGCACGACAAGGGAATCACTGCCCTGATTGGCACCTCGGATGGCAACGGAGTCTTGACTGGCAGCTTCGATGGCCGTGTCTGTTCCTGGGACCTCGAGACCGGTGACGCAACTGTCCTGGATGGCACCTCTCACACGAACCAGATTGCCCAGTTTGCCGCTAGCTCCGGTAAGGTGTATAGCGTAGGATGGGACGACACTATCAAGACGATTGACGAATCGGCCAAGACTTTCCTGGGCGAGTCATCAAAGCTGCCTGGCCAGCCCAAGGGCGCAGCCTCGGTTGGCGACATTGTCTACGTGATTGGCGTTAACGGCGTTGCAGCTTACTCTAACGGCAAGCTGCTCAAGGAGACGGCCCTTGACTTTACGCCAGATGCTATCGCGGCTCATGGATCCTATGTCGCCATCGGAGGACAGCAGAATACTGCGAGAATCTACACTAGCGACGCCAGCGGCAACTTGGAATACAAGGAGTCCGTGTCCAGCCCCCTCGGCACAATCACTGCCCTGGCCTTCTCCAAGGACGGCAGTCACTTGGCCACGGGAACAAGCGTCGGAAAGATTCTCGTCTTCAAGGTTGGATCTTGGGAGCTCGTGACGGACCGCTGGTCGGCACATACCGCGCGAGTCACCTGCATCTCCTGGGAAGACACGGGCGCTTACGCCGCCAGTGGAAGCTTGGATTCCCACATCTTTGTCTGGTGCCTGGAGAAGAAGCTTCAAGGCCAGCGTATCAAGGCACCCAATGCTCATCTTGACGGCGTGACGGGCATCACTTGGGTTGCAGGCGGACGGTTGGCAAGTTCTGGAAAGGACGCGACCGTCAAGGTCTGGGAAGTCAACAACCTTCCTTGATCAGAATTGTAAATAGAAGAAAAAAATAGCCTCGTTCATCTTGTTTGCCCGAATTTCATCATGATTCCCAAGTCATTATATCTAGTCTTCAAATAGATAGGCATGCTTACATCCGACTAGTCCTTCCCAAACTCCGTTACCTAAAATGCAAAATGACATGATGTGTACTCTGCTCCAAGTCCTCCTCTTAGCCAGTCCACAGGGATAAACGACCGCAGAGGCCAAACGCCTAGTCGTTGGTCATCTGAGCGTCCTCTTCCTTCTCCACCTCTTGAGGGTGCATATCCCAGAGGCGAAGGCCGCCGGGATTCTTCTGCGACTTGACTTCGTGGGGGGGCCAGCGAGACTTGTTTTCCTCCCAGAGTAGATTGATCTTATGAATTGCTCCTTGAAGGTCCGTATAACTAGATTGGATGTGGGGTTAGCCTATGAATTTGCTTTTGAATCTATACATATTTTTTATAAGCACGAAGATTCTTACCTTGGTGTGCTGGTGATGGCGTAACCTTCTTTTGCGAGGTGTTTGGCCATTTCTGCTTGATGATTGTCTAGCAGCTCCTCGTTTGGCACGACGATTACCGGAAGGCCAGCTTTCCACGCATCAAGAATTGTTCCAGTTCCTAGTCAATATCGTTAGCCTTGTCATTTTCATCTATCCTGCAAGAAGCAAGCAATCCATACCTGCGTGAGAAATAACCAAGCCAGTTTGGCGCGATCCGGTAGAAGCCTTGCACAGCAGCATTTCATCCTTCATGAGATTCTTTGTAGATTCAAACACGTCAATGGTCAATCCTTGTGGTACATCATCTTGGAGAGAAGTTAGTTGGGTGCTTGCCCAGCTAACGTCCGGCCCGCATTGGATGCGAAGTGAGGTGAAGCCCTCTGAGCTGAGGAACTGCCAGAATGCGGGCTGGAGGACTTGTTCCGTCAGCTGTTTGAATCCGACGGTTGCGCCTACTGTGACTAGGCAGTTTCGCTGAAGAGCTGCCATTTCGAAACTGAGGCGGCAAAGGCCATGAATGAGGAGGAATGGAATTGAGTTTGATTTGGATCACCAGAGCTCTTATAAGTTCAGTCCACCAAGGTGTACCAAAAGGTACATGCGCTATGTACCATTCGGCGCTTCGTTCTAAAAGAGCTGCGGTGAATGTTAATTAGCCGAGAATTTGCCTTGGTGAGCTGCCAATGAGGAGTGGCCCGGGAGAATCTCGGCCACGATTGTCATCCCACCAAAAATTTGAGATCCATACATTGTAGTCCCGCATCCCGCGCAACGAACGATATCCTGGGGCGGGCATTGCGAATTCGATTTAATTCGGCATGGCTTCAGCATCGAGCGCCGGAAGGCTGTGCGTTATGGCCTGCCGGCAAGCTCTTCGAGTGCCTCGGATGCCTCGAACACAGCCAATTGCCTGGCACGCTCCGACAATAAGCCGAGCATTTGCGACAACTCCACGACGCTCGGCAAACGCAAAGGCCGGTCAGGGGGGAGAGGATGGCGATGGCGATGCGTACAAGACGCTGGATCTGAAATCGATGAACAAGGCTTTCCTGGACAGCGTCACCCCCGAGAGCTTGAGGCAGCTGGACGAGCTTGCCAAGAACAACGGCTACACGAGCGTGGACGAGTATCTTGAGGCAACACTGCGGGAGACTCCGGGCTGGGCTTCAGAAGACAGAGCGCTGGAAGAGGACCTTTTCAGAGACGATGCTGGCGAGAAGCCGAACAAGTCATCTTTCTGGTTTGACGAGGAGGACCCTGAAACCAACACGGAGGAGCACGATGAGTTTGACGAGGATGATATCACGTCCATGGCACACGGCAAGCTTGACGAGATACGGGATATGAGACACTATGCTCGATTGGCAATCTGGGAGATGCCGCTTCTTGCTAGTAAGTGGCTCTTTGCTTCGAATTTGTGAGCGCTTCATATCTTAGCTGACACTTGACATTGAAGAATTCGCCAAGCCATTCGTTCCCCCTACAGAGAAGCAGGTGTTGAGATGGAGGTACACGACATACATGGGAGAGTCTCACCCCGCTGAGAAGAAAGTGGTGGTGCAGTTTGCTCCTGACGACTTGAAACTCACACCTGTCCAGACCGAGAAACTGAAGAAGCTCGCTGGCCCGCGATACAACCCAGAGGCGGAACTCGTCAAGATGAGCTGCGAGAGCTTTGAACACCAGGCGCAGAACAAGCAGTACCTGGTCAACCTGGTCAACGACCTGATTACGGCGGCCAAGGACCCCAAGGATACTTTTGCGGACATACCCCTCGACCTGCGGCATCACAAGATCGAGCCGAAGCCCCGGTTCCCCAAGGAGTGGCGGCTTACGGAGGAGAGGAAGAAGGAGCTGGCTGAGATCCGCCAGAAGGCGGCGATTGCCGATGCTAAGAAGGCCGAGGAGGGACTGTTGGTGGATGGACAGAAGCTGATTGACAACTTCTTGATACAGAAGCTGGCGGAGGAGCAAGAGAAGGAGAGGGTCGCGGAGTTGGCGGCTGCAGTACCAAGGATGGGCAAGGCATCTGGAGGGGCAGCTAGGTTGAGGAGGTGAAAAAGAGGAGATTTTTGAAGGGGGAAACAAGCATAGAAAGGGGGGTGATGTATATGTCGTCCATGTCTACATACGTTTGGCTGTTTGATGGCGGGACAAGGGCGCTGTTTTGAAAGGATGCAAAAAGAGATGAAAATGTATAATAAGAGGACGTGGGCACCGCTTTGGTTGGGAGGCGGTTGGATGTACAATATGAAACCTGACGTCGAAGATATTTTACGATTTGCATGAGAGGGACTGAATCCTGCTTTTCGTATGTGTGTGGGCCAGTGCATTGGCATCAATTTCAACATTCTTGTTTTGGACTCTGCCTCCATCACTTATATGAGAGATTTGGGGCCGTGAGTCTGAAGCAGGCAATTCTATCACCGCGATCGCTGGAACCCTGTATAAAAAGGGACAGGGAAAATGAGAAGCAAGCACTTTGCTGAATAAGACTGATAGTGTCGGGCCAGGAGCTCATTGTGGAGCATAGCTGTGTTCTATCTACAAAGAATATAACGTTGCTCCATTATCTACGCAATGTTATGCATCCCATGTCTAATTAAATACTTGAAAAATTGGACGAAATCTTATAGCTCCAGAATCCGGAGTGGCTGAGCTGACAACGGTCCCCGGAGTGCTTGTAGCAGTTGCCGTTGTACTCGTAGAAGTAGAAGAAGCCTTCGCAGTCGTAGCAGTGGTACTGACACTCGTCGTGATAGAAGAGCCGGGCTGGCCAGTGGTTATAGGAGCGAAGACATTAATGCGTCCCTTTCCCCCACATATCTGCGTCTTGTCGCCACTGCATGGGAGGTCGCAATCAGTCTCATTTTGAGACGTCTGTCCCCCGACGAAGCTGCCGCACCAGCATTGGTTGCCTTCCTTGACGCCGGCATAGAGGACGGTGCGTTCGAGAGAGGCTGCCCAGCATGTCGACCGGCAGCTTGAGATTTCGAGAGCCGGATCGCCACCATCCTTGGAGTATTCTTTCTCCAGGACAGGAAAGGCCGGGACGTCATCAGTGTAGCAGCCGAGAGCCTCCCAAGCCGTAGGAGAAGGTACGTGAGTAGACACACTCGTGGAGGTGGAAGTGGAGGTGGATTTGACATTGAAACACTTCTGGTGCTTGTAAATGAGGTCCGTCTCTCCTTGGTCAGGATACAATATGATTGGAAATTCCAAGGTTTGCAGTTTAAGCCGGCAGATGGGTTCCATGTGTGGAAGTCTTGTGGGCTGATTTTGAACAATTCCCTGATATATTCACAGGTGTCTGTGCCGGCATCGTCGAACCATTCCATACAACTGGGGGTTGTGTCTGGATCCCATTGCAATCGAGGCGTTGGACCAGCTCTGCAGAGGCGAACAACAAAAGCTAAAGCTAGGAGGGCCTGAGATGGTGAGACCAGCATGGCGAGTGAAATCTATCAGTGAAAAGCGGTGATATGATGGAGCTAAGCAGGTTGATGAAGGGAGCCGACTGTGTTGAAGAACACGAGATGGAAAGATGAACTTTGGGGGAAAGGCTGTCTCAGAGGCGTTGTACAGTCATGAAGAGGGATCTTGAAGGGAGTGAGTCTGTTACTGATATATTATGAACCCTCTTACTTCGCCTAAACGTTACGCAGTAGTATATGGTGACTATGGTGGGCTGGACTGACACTGGACCTCGGCTTGCTAGGGGGCAAATGCTGTTGGTCGTCGAGTTTCAGATGGGCTTCTTAACTAACGAACAGCTTGCCTATTCTATCCTAGGGAGCTTTACGGAGGAGTCAGGTCAAAGTGGCGATAGCAATTGGAGTACCTATAACCTTCAGATTAGGTTAGGTTGTAAGGTTGTATTTAAAGTCATGGGGCTGGCTACAATAGTTCCGAGGCCGATAAGGGTAAGTGACGGCTGGAGTTAGGGATCAAGATCTATCCTTCGACAACGCTTGCGACTAACATGTATTTCACGATATAACTCTTGACTCACGACTGGCGGCTCCTTGCGCCACGTCTTTTCTCTTTCTCTCTCGTTTTTAATTTTTCTTTCCCGTTTCACCGTTCTTCCCGTTCCATCGCAATTTCGGCGTTTCATTCAACTCCATTCTATGGAACCTGCCTAAGCATGGAGCAAACGATGTGAAGCCGAGCCAAAGCGGGAGAATCTCATCACGACAATGTCCACTTTTCATCCCTTCCCGTGCCTTCCGCAAGAGCTTCGCGCTCACATTTGGGGCTTAACAGCTCATTCTCGGCTCGTTCATGTGCGCTGGAAGACAAACTACTCAGAAGATATGGAAAAGGTCCATGTGGTCACACCAACGCCATCCCCACCGGTGATGCAAGTCTGCTGTGAGTCTCGACAACGCGCGCCGTATCACCGGGCTTTCACATTAGGTTCTGAGCCACGTTGTGTGTGGGCCAACTTCGACCTAGACATGATCTGTCTGCAAGGTTTCTATCTAAAGGATCTTGAATCGCATAAGCTGGACATACAGCGGCTCAGGATTACTGCAAAGCATGGCTGGTAGTCATACAAGGCATTCGGCAATTGGGACATTAATGACCTTGGGGACTTTCCTGCTCTTCAAGAAATTCATGTTGCAAAAGACGATTCAGTCCCGGTGTGGGCATATTTATTTGAAGAGAGCTAATGGGGAGAATGCCCAAAGGGGAACATCAAATTCATCGCCAACACCAGCGGACCAATCTTGAACGGCTATCAGCTTTGGACGGTGTCTGATTGGGGAACATCTTATTCGTGGGACGACGAAGGAAAAAAAAAAGATGTAAGCAATCTTAAGGAAGAGATCAAGCTTGCAACTGATGAGACATATCTGAGTCTATCATTCATCAGGAGTGTAGAATAGTGAGCCTCTGAACCTATTACCTCAAAGAAAAGACAGGTGGATGGATGAAACAATGATATTGTAGCAATAACCCATTGGAAAATATTAGACTTGAAATCTATAGAATACGTCTTCAATGCACTCTAGTGGACATTCTTCTCGTTGTTAACCATCCTACAGACGAGATCAGTTTACGCCGAGATAAAGATGATATGAACTTTGTCCTACACTTGTTGGTCTGAGCAAAAACATTGAACTATCGTGATACATTATCTAAAATGCAACCTTGACTGCTGTGTAAGAGGTTCAACTCACTAATGTTTCTTTTTCTCTTTTTCCCTTTATGCCCTGTCCTAGACACTCTGGACCGTTTACTAAACGCTGTTGATCGTTGTTAGTAAGATTCAGACGGGATGGACTCCTTCGGCCGCTAGAGAATGCCAAGCTATGAACCGGGCACGGAGGTCAAACGGAGGGTACCTCAAGGTACAGTTGCATCCTTCAGCGGCTCAGCGATGCCTGCGTCGGATCAAACCAAGATGTTGGTTACGATGCAACATGGGGCCGATGAGTCAGTGCCGTTACTTCGCTCATGCGGCTGATGCTTGCCTCGACGGAGCTCAACTGGACAAGGATCACAGCCTCCTGAGCAAATCTGCCAAACATCGATAATCCGACATACTGTACATACATGGATCCATGATGAGGAACACTTTCGCTTGCATGTAGTATAATTTTGTGAACTGTTATTGGTCGGGGGTTGTCAAATGGAATGGATAGGCCGGTATGCCTTGGTCTAAATCATCGGCTTCATGTCCTGCATGGAGGAAACATTAGTTTCCAGACTGCCGACAATTTCTTCCCCCCCCTTCTTTAGAAGTGTTTCCCGCAACCTTTCTACTTTTTATTTTTATTTTTATTTTATTTATACAGTGATTGACGGCAATCTTACTACGTGTTTATCTAGCTTTGGACATGATAATGATCTTGTCTTTGCGCAGCTTGTTCACCCATTTTCTCTTAATATAGGGTACAGTTATTCTAAAATGACTTTAGACCTACCTCCAACGCCTTGACCGGATCAAATGCTGGCAGAGATGCGAGCCTTGCTGAATGGCGCGCGTCAGGAGAACGGATGTCACCTGAAGCTATTTAGACATGTCCTTCTTCCTGTCAAGACTCTGGCTCCTCGGCATCGGACTGGTTTTTGGTCCCCAATGTTAACAGCTTGGTTGCTTGCAACGACAACATGTTACTGGAGCTATATCCACAATAATGCGGGCAGTCAAGCGTCAATTACAGCCATTAGTAGTTGTATGGCGAACTACAGTTCCAGACAGAAAACGTTTGCAGCGATAGAGGATGTTGCGGCAGTCTGCTCGACGCCAAACCATGATTTCATCAGGAACTACGTCTCACTTGGCGAACTTTACTCTATTCCAGGCTAAAAGCCTCGCTATAAACGATGTCCTATCGGCCGGAAATCAGGTCCTTTATTCCCTCGGAGCTGTTAAAATGGATGCACAAGGCTTCTTCTCTTCCCACCACCTGCGTTGAACGAAACCAAAACTTTGTATTGTTACATCTTGAGCTAATAAAATCCAGGCATCTCCCGCTGTGGTGGAGATATCGTCAAGGACACAGCGTCAGCTAAAGTCATCCGAATCGCTCACTTTGAGGCCTAGAACGCTGAACACGTTTGTCTCATACTGCCATGCTACGAGAAATGTATCCAATGAAGCGCTAACTCGTCATTGTAAGAGCAGATTACGAGCACGGTACATACATGAACACTACGAGTACAATATATGAACTTTCTGCCATGAGGCCACCTGTTTCGTTGCAGGCCTGGCGCCTGATTGCTGCTCATTCTACGAAGGCCTACTCGTATCTAGGCTTTTTGTGAGGAATCTGAGTTTTTCCTAAATGCCGGTAATGACAATAGAATCTCCCTTATTTCCGGGTTGGGGATTGGTAGAGGAGCGGTACTGTAATTGTGGTGAGATATGTGACTGCCCCCAGCCGGTATTTGTTTTTTTGACCTTCCAGACTGAGGTTGGTTGGATACAAGGGGGTAAGTTGCTGATGACTGCCGGGCTGACGGGCTGAGGCTGGCTTCGACGGCCCGGGTGTACTCCGTTACTTTAGTTGATATAAAGAACCGACGGCCCGATGCTAATTAATATCCCTGGATCTCTGACCAGTACTAGTCAGTTGAAGCTTTCAGGGATAGGATAGCAGCTCGAGTAGCTTCATACGTCATCTTATAATTCATCTTCGCTGCTTGAAATCATAACAACTATGGCTTTAAACCTGGCTGTTAAAATAGGCCGTCGGGTTGGTTTTTTAATACCCAATGTTATGTAGCTAGGTTGCTATGTTGCCAAGGGGTTTATTAACTACATGTAAGCGGGAATTGACAAATAGGTAGGTAGTTAACATGTAGACAAATAAATAGCATACGAGTACTCAGTATAGACAAATAATTAGCACATGACAAAACCAAAAAAAATTAACCACATACGAGTGCTACCATATTTGTGTGTTTATTTTATTATTTACGACCACTATGTGATAAATAAAAAGCCCTCTTCTGGACACTAGGTCTGTAAGAACCGCCTGGCATCAGATTCCGCGTTCGCTACATGTCTTCTTTACAAAGGAAAAGGTTTGTCATTCTGTAGGGGGGGGGGGGGGGAGCGTATGGTCTGGTGTCCTCCACTAGTGTCTGAAATTCCCGTCTTTATATCCGTTAGGTCCTAGTAAGTAGTCTAAGTGTGGTTTTGTCTTCTGGTGTAGTAGAAGTGGATGAGAACTGCTTTCTCAGGGTCAAAGAAGATCGCATTTCCCCCACCCCACCAGAGAGGGTGTCGTCAAGTTCCCACTAAGCTTCCTTGTAGTTTCAGCGGTGGTCTTTGTGTTACAACAAGCTTACGAGTATGCAGAACCTCGCAAAACTCGTTTGTGGGTCTCCCCATAGTTATACCCTGTTTTGATCGAGAGAAGTAATAGGCTAATTTCATCAAGTTAGCATGTCCCCTTGTATAAGACGGCCTACAAACGAGTTTTGCGAGGTTCTGCATACTCGTAAGCTTGTTGCAACATTACTATTATTATCCCTAGGTGTGTATCCATTTTACGGCCCCTCCGCTCTTCTTGATCAAAACTGGGATAAATCCTGGGGATACGCATAGTCCAATTTGCCAAGGGAATACAGTAACCAATAAAGACAAAGTTTTTAAGTTGCCCGTTAACTGGAAGCGACCTCAGCTTACTCCTATGTGGAGAATCCCTAATCCGGTAATGAACTCCAATAGGCCCTGGCTTGACGACTGTATCATGATTCATTACCACTAAACATTAAACCACAACCTCGTACAAGTCTTCACCAACACCCCCAGTCTACCTTTGGTGCATAATAATGTTTGCCTCATGTAGCGGCTTCTTAAAGTCCTAGTTATATTGTGGTTCACTAAGTTCGTTTCCGTCAAAAAACCAAGTATCCCTATTCTATGATATAGAAGTTGGATATCTATGTCTACAATAGTTTTAGTATAACATTGAAAACTACAATAATTTAGACTTGGTTATCCATAACTGCGTAATTGCAGTTGATGATGATTTTGATACTGTTTCCGGGATAGTTGTTAATTGTCAGGCAAATGGAGAATGTACTCGTATTGCTGATCTTTTCCGGACAGGGTGAGCTTGGGATGCCTTTGCCATCATGGAGTACCTAATCAGTCAGTAAGCTGCGATGAGGGCCATTCCATGGAATCATTGGGTGGGGGATGCATTGTTTCTCTAGGATTTAGGCAGTTCTCCTCTTGCTCAACACGCCGGCCGCTGTCCCTCGATAAGTATAAATACTCTCGTCCATCACCCGAATCAAACCATCTTCTTCACTCCAACAACATCTTCACTCTCACACAAAAAGATCCTTAACAACCTTCTCAACACCAACCTTTCGGTTCCAACATCAGTCAATATGCAGACCTCCGCTATTATCACTCTTCTCTTCGGCTTCATGGCCCAGAGCGCCCTGGCCACTGTCAACCTCGGCACGGACTCTGCCGGCACACCCAGTAAACAGCCCCCCTGAATTCCCCTCTGTTTTCTATGTAGCTTGCTAACCCCTGACAGTTGCCTGGATTAGCGGCCAGTCTGAGTGTACGCACTCTATCACCAACGGTTGCGACAACCGTTTCACTCTGGCCAACGGTGTAACCTACTACCTCCAGGGATGCGGTGGTGCTGGCTTGACCCTGTTTAACAATGACAACTCTTTCAACGCCAACTGCCAAAGTGTCGGATCTCAACAGCTTGCTTGTGGTGTCACCGAGAACTGGTCCTGCTAAGCGAATGGCATCGGTAGCTAGATGGAGATTTTGTGGAGGAGAATGAGGCATAGTTTTCGTTGCTCTTTGTTCTCTTAGTGTAGTGTCTTTGGCCGATATGTCTCGATTTAGGTGACGACCTGCAGATTCATTATTGTGCCGCTCTTATAATCAAAAGGAGTTGCAACCCGCTCGCACTTCCGCTGTGAATATGACTACTTTATCGACGGTAATTACTATTTAAATTGCAATTCAATCTATAACGGCTTGGACAAGATCATATCCAGGGCTTCATGAGTCGCAGACCGGAGCCAGTATCAACTGTTCATTGGCCACGTCAATTTCCAATACTCAGGGACATTTTGTCTCGGAATCTCAGACCCTGTGACATATTTGCGGAGAAGAGCTGCTTGGTAATCATCCTTCTAGCTCCCAGGAGGCCAAAGTCTCAACGAGTTAAGAAAATGGGAATACAGACACACAACAAAAGAATGGTAAAGTCGGTAAACGGGAGCTCTTTAGACAACGATTTTCTCAGATTATACAGAAATTAGGATGCTTTTAAGCTGGGAAAACTATACAAATTAAAGTGTAGCTGCGTACAACAGCGGACCTTCGCTAGTGGTCAACCATCTGATGAATAACATGCGTGATATTTCTTTATAATTCCTCCATTCAAGAATTAGTAATTTATGATTGGGAGAATAAGATTCGATCATTTGAAAACAATTTAGCATCGGCCCTGTATAATGTTGTCTTTCTTCAAGTGTCTACAAAGAGGTACCTATCTACATGTAGATACCTTTGGCGGAGAATGCCGGGATCTTGTTAGACTCGACTTACACGACGACAATTATTCATGCAAATTTGCTAAAATTATAGCTTAAAGTACATGTATTCTTAATGAATCAATAAGAAAGACATATCTTTTCACTTAAAGATATAACGAGCTCGCATTTTTTTTAAACCACTTCTTTGTATATTCTAAACCATCTCGGAGGGCCTCGGCTGCAACAGCATGTATCTTCTCGCCTAATGACATTTTTTCGCCATTCTTCATTTTCTTTTCTTCTCCCGTTAATCGTACAGACGCATCTCTACACACATGGGCACCTGAAGTCCATCATCCAGCCGCATCGAGCACTGTTGCGATACTAATTACATATGCCAACGCCTCTCTACTCCATAGATTGCGCGCTATTCCTGCAGACCTCCACACGCTTTTAGTCGCAAGGAATTGATTCGTTAGCTGACGAATTGGTGGGTATAGAGTTGCGGGTGTTGGGTGTTGGGTGTTGGCAATAGATTGTTGGCCGATGAATACTAGCTGAAACAAAAAATAGAGCACAGATAGATACATATATATGCAGATAATTCCCATACAACAGCAAGTACTATCCATTGCCGAGAAAACAAGCCAAATAAAACTTTTGCCAACAACTCGTTTATTCTGCCACTCTAGCAGGAACTTCCAACCTCTGCATTCTATCAAGGTTGAATACATGCATACAGACAATCTTGGCAAATCAAATTGGATTTGCTGTCTGCCTACACTAAGGTGTAGTATTTCCCGGCGGGCACATTACCGCAGGTAGAAGATAATGATCTCTTAAGCTAATAATCCCGGCTCATAGGGAATGCCTGAATCACAGCCTGCGAACACCGGCCGCTCCGACTCTAATGACCTCTCCGTCGTTAAAATGCCGCCCAATAGCGATGAGATTCCACATGAAGATGCCGTTGAGTGGCCACCTCTATCGGACATAGGTATCCTCAGGCTACCAGACGAAATACTTTTCCAAATCTTCACCGAAGCCACGACATGTAGCTCTCCCGAGTTCAACCAACGTACCGAAGAACAATCTATCTCCGTCTCTCTCTCCTCCACATGTCGACGCTTCAATCGCCTCGTTGTATCAATCCTATATAGAGATATAGAGCTATGCACCAGCCATTACAAGGATGATTTATCAATGCTACATCGGGCAACAAGCTGCTTGCATCGCACCATGAAGGAGAACCCATCTCTCCGGAGCAAATGCCGTTCATTAAGCATACACATTGGGGATGGATCTAACGACGCAACCCTGGCCAGTTGTTTCATGGACTTGCTTGTTTGGCTGAAGAGTACGAAGGTATTTAGCATTTGTGGAAAGTTGGAGACAGGTAACGATGGCTTGCAATTCAAGACCGCGTTGCAGCAAATGCCAATGCTAGAGGAGGTCTACTTTTCACGGGGCTTTGATCTGATGCAAATACATGGAATTTCTGTTGATCTATCGCATCTAAGGGTTCTCAACTTATCAAAAATCCGCATTCTCAATGACAGGTTGCCGTGTGATGCTTTTAAGGTGAGTATTGTACCAGATTCTGAGAATATTTGGCCTGAAATATCCAAACGAAACGTTTGACAGTTCATAATCACTCTTGTGACGTTGTCTCTATTTTGACACAGAAACACTGATACTTGATTCTATGATATCAGAAGGGCACATCCCCCATTACATCGCTAGCGATCGAAGGGTTTGAAGATTCCTCTGACACTCTCCACCGTCTCGTAGCCTGGCCGGCTAAGTTGGAGCACTTCTCGTTCGCAGAATGTGTTGGAGAGGATTCCCGGACCTGGAGCTTGTCTACCATTGCATCTGTTATCTCCACCCATAAGACAACGCTGCGATCACTCACTATTGGCGAAGTGCAAGAGCGGGGCCTTATCAACTTCGATCTAACAGACTTCGAGAGTCTAGAGTATCTTTCGCTATCGGCTTGGGCTACCGGATTTGATACCGGCTACGAGATGAACTTGCTCGCTCCGCGACTCGCCAAGTTCCGTTGGTCATTCGCTACTCGGCGCGAAGATATCATTGATTTCGATGACGAACAGGAGAATTGGCTTAGACGATTTGCTGCTGCAGCAGTTGCGCGGAAGCTAACTCTTCAAGAGATTTTTATCCAGTTTTATCTCCGTTCATTTTGTGGTCAGCGTGTGTCATTTAACGAGAGATATCCTTGGGACAGAATGAAGCACATTGCTAGAGATATCCAGGGTCATGGGATAAACCTATCATGGGCAGATCCGAACATGAGTAGAGAATTTTGGGTAGACTTTTGCGGGCCGCTAACTGATGAGGAGTTGCGGAGGAGTGATACCTGAAGTTATATATAAAGAGTTTTTGGGATGGCGCTATTTGGACGATGATAGAAAGAGTAAACTTGGTGCTTTTGGCGCGTCTGGGGACTCTGGAAACGGCCATGGTTAAACACTCTCACTAATTCATTACTTTACTAGAATCCATAGTAAACCAGTATGAAATATGAGTTCAGAGAATACATTGGGCCTTTCCTCTTTTGGTTTTCTTATACCCTGACTTCCTTCTTCGTATGCAGTATCCTCGTCACGAATAGAGAGCACTCTGAGCGGCTTGAGCGCCATGATATTGACAAACAATTGGATTCTGCGGAGCCGGCCGAGGCTTCCTGGATCAATACAAAGAAATTTCTCCTATAATAACATAATCGTTGAATAAATATATGGCTGAGTGCTTAGTAGAGAGATAAATAATAGTTTGGTAAACTTTCCGTCCAACAGAGACGCTATCTTTATATGCCTATCCTGTTTGAGTTTGTAGTATAGCTATAAATAATAACTAAGTAAACCTCAGGGTAAAGGCTCGTAAAGATTTTTTTTCTAAAGCTTACAGATGCATTCAACACACATAGTACTAAATGAAACTTTAATTTTCCTAGTAATAATTGGCGATTTTCCTCCGTAGTTACCTATTGTATCTAAAAGGGTGCAGAGAAGTGAACTTGTATGTGCAATTACCGAGACAAAAGCGTCTGAAGATTCTGATAGTCTGAGGGTTCTAATAGTCTGAGTATATCAATAAATTACACGAATGATCTAGTAACCTCGTTCTAATCACTTCCGACATGGTTTTGATCTAGAACTGCCCACTCCGCAAGCCCATTGTTGTGAATGTAAGAGTCACGTTATAGTAACATTGCATATAATGTCAGGTTTAGTTTACCAGCGTTGACAGCACCAGTAAATAGGCTCATAGAGAAAAGGTCCGGTAGCGCAGGATTGAGAAACCGAATAACAGTTGTGAAAATTGCCACCCTTGGTCCATACAAAGCCAGGCTTGCCGCTGCTATCACAGCTGTTGATCCCATTGCCGGTGCCGTAGCCTGGGCCACCGCTGCACGGGTTGCCTTGGAATTCGTTCTGGGAGAGACCAATATCACCGCAGTTGTTGGCGGCGATGACCCATTCGTCGGTAACCAAAACATTGTTTTGTCCTTGCCATTGATACACCTGCTTGCGGCCGACGCCAACTTCGCCTGAGTTGCAAATAGCATTGGCACCTTGGAGGTAGCCTAGTGAAAGGAAAGCAATAGCTGTCGAGAACCTCATATTGATTGAGATCTGATGGTTAAGTTGTTTGGAGTAAAAAAGGAGATAAAACTCAGAGTTAAGAGACAAGCAGAAAGATAACTGGGAATTGGCCGGTTGTTGCGAGGGTCAGATTGCTCGTATTCTTTTTGATTCATGCCTTTCTTACGTGCGCCTTTCTTTTCCTTATATACTTCTTCTGTTCATATTGCCCCCACTGTTGGTTTTCTCATTTAACCATCCCAGTGATCGTAAGATCATTTACGAACTCCGAACTCGCTTCGAATTCGTCTTGAAGCGGCATTCAAGAGCTGGGTAAATCCGTTTCTAGCTTTCGCTTCTCGGTTCCTAGTTTTATTTCCCCGGCCATAGGCGTAGCTGGAGTAATACAAATGCTCCGAGAGATACTTCAGGTTAGTTCAATGTTTTGGTAGAGGGCCTGGACTATTTAGATGGACTCTAAGAAGCTGATGACCTATTATTACCTTATTCGGAAGATTTGATTTTTGGGTCACTTCAATTGTTCTCTGGAATGATCTTGATTCCGTATACGAGACCTTACAAAGCCGGCATGAAGGTAAGCATCCGCATAAATTTCCCAATGGGAACATGATAAGCTCATCTCAAATATTATACAAGGCTTGTATGATGTATCTCCTATCGGTGTTCATTTTTCTCACTGCAGGGTCTATTCTGGACAAGCAATCACCGCATTGTATTCTATAACCCAAATCATCACAAACCAAGCATAAAAAGTCGCCTTTTCCAATTGTAATTTATTAGTGTCTTAATGGGCTGCTTATTTCAGTAATTCTTTCCGAGGAACATCTTCACCGTTTCGTTCAATAAGCACTAAAATCTTATATCTTATTGACCGCAGGGGAACGCAATCTAGATCTACCAGGCGAGTTGACCAAGCGGCCGCTTATCCCGCTTTTCTATTAGAGAGGCAGGAACATAACTGATAGCTTTACTATATCTTAATTATGAATATATTTCAGCGGAGTGGGGGTTACAGCTGAAACACTTGCCAGTTGTCAAGTAGCATCTGTAGGCAATAATTCGAAAAAAGCAATGGTGATACTTTCCTGGATATAAGCTTAAACAAAGGCCTTAATTTATAGAATATTTTCGTCAACTTAGGCAGTACATGGGTATAACTTAGGGGCTACAACTTGTGTTGAAGCAGCGTTAGCTTAGGTTTTTGAATAGGTAAGGAAGGAAATCTGAAATGTCAGAATTCGGGTGGTATGTTTGACTATTTTGCCAGCAGCTGCTAGGTACCAGTCGTCCTGTTATATATGTACAGAGCCCAGACGACAAGAGTTTCCTGACTCTGCTAGGATCTTGGACCCTCGTTGTGTTATACTAGCTACATTACAAGTGGACACCTGACAATGATTTCACGCCACCTAGTTTCTAATGTTCTAATGTTCTATGCCTAGTAATGACTTGAATGTGACTATGTACGCTTTCAGCTAAACGGTTTGTAAGCCGCCCTTGAACTATGTAGGCTTGGCCTGTAGCTCACCGTCCAAAGACATACTGAGGACTATCTACCCGAGTTGTCTAGGAAATGTACCGCTTTCACTACTTAACTCCGCGCTGGAACTACCTAACTCCTTATTCATCATGTCATTTTCGCGCCTTCTTAGGACTTTGCGCCCTCTAAGACTTCACGCCTTCTAAGTTGTCGCGCCCTCTAAAAACATCATGAGAATTATTAATGTTTCTTGGTAAGCGAAGCACGTCGATACCAAAAAGGATGCTGTCTTGAGCTTATTCATCAAGATGGATAAGCTTTCGTCTCTTCGTGTTAGTGACAGTCTCAGGACTATATTTACAGCGCTTTGCGTTCTACCATTCGGGTTTCAATATTCATCCATCTACTGCATTTCCACTTACAATAACCCATAATGGCCACTGCGTCTCAGGAGCCTCGGCTTCTTGACAGAGTGATTGAGGCCCACGGAGGATTGGAGCGATGGAATCATGTCAAGTCTATTGACGTGACCTTCAACTTTTCCGGGGCTTTTCTCGAATTGAAAGGCCATCTCGGTCACCATCAACCAACCATCACTGTTGACGTTGAAAAGTTTAAAAGTGTCATCCAAGGACTGCCAGGCACCAACCCTGACAACAAAGGATATTTGGCTAGAGGCAAGAGATGGCTCGATCATAAAAGAATACAAGCAAACTCGCTCCTCTTTTAAAGACCACGTCCGTACCGCTCAATGGGACGATCTACAACTCACATACTTCATCAGTTACGCGATGTGCAATTACTTGTCCATCCCGTTTCTCTTTATTCGCCCCAATTTTACAAGCCGTGAGCTGGAGCCGCATACTGAAGGCGGAGAGAACTGGCGCGTTTTGGAAGTAACATATCCAGATGGATTCCCGACGCACACCAAGGTTCAAAAGTTTTATTTTGACGACAAAGATTTTCTCTTGAGAAGGATGGATTACGTCACAGATGTTGCGAAAGGAGTAGCCGCTCATTATTGTTGGGATTACAAGAACATCGATGGACTGGTTTTTCCGACACTGAGACGTATTGTCCGAAGAAATGGAGATGTTGCCGTACTCAACGGGCCATCAGGATTTTTAATCGACTATACCAATGTAGTTATCCATGATAAGGCAGCTTAAGTAGATCTGAGTTTTATGTCAAATGGAAACTTTCTGGTGACAACGAAGATTCTTGAAGTACGCCGCACGATATTTATAGAGGTGCCTACACTATGAAGTAACTCCTCGTGTAAAGTAACGCTATCAATTTCTTGCTCTTGGTAGTGGATAGGAAGATCCACCCTGTCGTCTCATTCTTTAAAAAAGAGTGCATTCTCTTCATAAATCCATCCGACTCTTTTCGACTGTTCCCACCAGCGATTGACTTAGGAGCTGCATGATGCTATTACGCCTCTTCTTATAAGCCAGTGACCATGCGTTCTCATGATTCACATCTCTTGCATCAATGTCAATTTTCCCCCTTTTAAGAAGCAATTTCACGACGTTATCGCGGTCAAAGTGGACGGCAGCTAACAGAGGTGTCCAGCCATTTCTGTCTCTCGCGTTGACATCTGCCCCTTTGTCGATCAACAACTTAATGACATTCGACATACTGTATATGATGGCGTACAGCAAAGGCGTCCGCCCATATTCATCTGTTGCATTTACATCGGCCCCTTTCTCTAGCAGGAGCCCTATAGCGGCCACGTTGCTATGTTGATTGCTGTATATGAATGGCATGCGACTCTCTGTATATGTCGGGCTGGAATTAGCTCCCCCATATAGTGGCGGATAGATCCTGGACTCGTCGCGGCGGTCGATGGCGATGAACAGTACAGTCTTGCCTGATATATCCTTTGCGTTGACGTCCATTCTGCTATCAAGAAGCGTATTTATGATTGTCCCCTGATTATCGTGGTAGACAGCATGGAACAAGAGTGTCCACCCACGCTCGTCTTTGTGATTCATGCCAGCACCCGCGTCTTGCAAAATTCTCAGTATCTTCTCCCTTTTGAACTGCACGGCAGTAAGGAGCGCCGCCCAACCATTCTGGCGCCTCATGTGAATATTGGAACCCACTTGTAGTGTCGACTGAAGCATCGTTTTCGCATCTCCGGGCGCCACGACACGAGGCATTGGTGGTTTTTCATTCTTCGTGCTCATATTGGAGCCGGCTCCAAGAAGAATTCGCACTGCACTGTCATAACCATTTTGAATGGCCCATAAAAGCAGTGTCTGGCCCTTGGAATCTTCCGCCTCAACATCGGCACCTTCTTTGAGAAGTAATCGGCCAAGAGCGTCATGGCGGTTATGAATGGCCCATTGCAAAGGCGTCCAACTTTTCCCACTGCTATCGCGCAGATTGATGTCAGCCTTGCCTTTATTTAATAAAAGCGTGACAATGTTTTCTGCTCCGAGCTCTATAGCCATTATAAGTGGTGTTCGGCCTTGTTTGTCTTTCGAATCCACCTCGCTACCTTTCTCTAGCAGTAAGCGGACGATTCTCTTGTGTTTGCCTTGAACTGCACACATCAGCGGAGTGTGGCCATTCTTGGAGTCGATGTCTTCAAGAGGAGCGCCTGCATTGAGTAGCAATTCCACCATTGCATCCTGACCTCCCTGAGCAGCCCACCAAAGAGGCGTACGCCCATAGTTATCCTTGCTGTCGGTTGTGCATCCAAGTTGAAGAAGATTGGAAACCACCTTGGATGCTCCAAAATATACAGCGAAATGGAGCCCATTTATGCTTTTTGGCACAGAGATGCCAAATTGATGCCTAAGTATTTGGCTATTCATATGCAGCTTCTCAATTGCCAAGTTGACTTTATATCTGTTTAGTAGAGAATTCATGAGCTTTGCACTAGGCTCCATATTCTCAGGAATGCTTTGTGCCCAGTTGTTGACAGCGTAGTTGTAGAAAGGATATCGCTCTCCGCCGTCATAAAACCAATCAGTTGGACGAAAATTCTTTCCGAAAACATCGAATGATATGTAAGTAAGACAAATCTTGGACATCATACACTCGGCGTCTGGAAACCAGCGGCTTTGCGTTCGTTCAAAGTATTCCTGTGCCGTAGAATGCAGCAGCTGAATAACATTGCTCTTCACATCGACCGTGACTAAACCAGCACAAACATTGCTTATGTCTGCAAGATCTGGAACGTCTCCCTTATCGAAATGAGAACTCCCTTCCTTTGTTGCGAGGGCATGCTGAAGCTCTGCCACTGTAAGATTTCGTTTTGCAAGTGTGATCCAAGACAGCGCTCCCATAGCAAGGGCTTTTAGTTCCGGCTTTTGGTTGTCAATTCGCTCCATTGCTTGTTCGTATGCATGATACAACGCTTGGTCTCTTTGACTACCATTGCTGCTATTTCTGATCCGAAATGACTCCAAGTCCTCATGTATACTGTTTACGGTTGTTTTATCTCGTAACAAAGTGACATAAATTTCTGCTAAGAGAAACCTGGGAAATATAATCAGTGCCTGAAGATTAATGTAACCTTTCTATGCCCACTCTTTAAACCACAACTTACATTCCGTCAACAGCTTCGGAGATGCCTCTCTTGATATCCTCTTGGAGTTGAGGATTGTGCCTAACAATGCGAGGAAGCGAGGGCATTTGGCCTTCCAAAAATGCCAGCACATCGCTTGGGATTGCCCGAACATCGAGAATCGATAGATCGTTATCACTGGAGAATTGATATATGATTTCTGGGCTTGGTCTTGATGTCGCGAAGATGCGAATATCGTGATCTTCCTGGAGATTCAAAAGACTGGATAGAAGCTCCTTTAACGAAGAGAATTGACACTCATCCATCGCATCGATAATAAAAAAGACCGTCTTATACAGGTGTATGACAGACTTGAGATTTGTCAAAAGCTCCTCATGAGACGGTCTGGTCTGTTTCTCCTTGTGTCGTTTAAATAACTTTGCGGTACTTTCTGGCAAGCGTGTTCGACTTCGTAGTAGTTGCTTTAGCATGCTAGCAAGCAAGTTTTCGATATCTTGATCGCCTTGTTGCTTGTAATGGCAGTATATATAGACTATGCCCACATTTTGGTCATGCCCAAAGGTGTTCTCAAGGTGATGAATTGCGACTGAGGTCAGGATCGTTTTACCAGCTCCTGGGATGCCACGACACAACAGTGTTTTCTTGGTTCCTGACTTCAAATCTTGGAATTCTCGTGTGTCTAAAAGCCACTTGCCAGTCCCTGGTTGACGCTTTTCAAAATACTTGCCATGCTGTAGGCTATAGTCGACCTTCGTAAGCCAATTAAAGACTTCCTTGTCAGCAGTTTCGTCTAGCCTTCGCATCTTGTGTATTGTAGCATCCCGAGTGCTAGAGACGCTTTCCGGAACTGCATTCAGTTATTAGAGCCAAAACCCTGAGTGAATTGTCTTAAACGTATTTAAACAAATGGATACTGACTTTGTAATACTTCGCTCGCCCGTTTGTCGCCTTCAATATCTGCTGGCTGCACTGCCTCCAGAAGCTCCTTTGCAAACGCCGCGGCAATAGCTGCGGCATACTCTTGCCAATCCTTTTTCTTGAGAGAGTCTGCATAATCGCAGATCCCTCGAATAACGATGCAGGGGAAGCTCTTCATTAGACCCGCCACTTCCGTTTCGAAGCAAAGCGCTTGGCCAGCCAGGCTCTTGTTGATTCGATCTCTGGTGGAGCTATCTTTAATGACCTGACTCCCAGAAGCAATCAGCCCATGATGGATGGATATTTCGCCAGGTTTTCTTGACTCCTTGATAGTCGATGAATCGATTGCGTCTCTTGGCGATGAGTACAAAGGGTCTTTGAGGCGAGCGGACCACGTATAGTTGGGCGCCAGTCTTGGCCATTTGGCGGTCATCTGGTCCAAGAGCTTGTGTATGTTGTGACCCTTCATCTCGTGCCTACTCTTGAGTTTCGTCAATGCCGCTAGCAGTGCCCTTGGTGGTTGGTTTAACGACCCAGTCTGCACTATCTGGCCCTCTTGCTGTGCTTTGCCAAAATCCCATTGAACCACCCCAGGACGACCTAACGAGGGTTGACTGACAACAACATCACCCAGCCTAACACGAGGCGGGATGCCACTTCCAATGCCTACCATAAGAGCAAAGCTTACGGATGGGAAAGTATTCACCAACTGAGTCGCAGCATTTGCGGCTGAGTTTGCCCCAATCTGACCTTCTGGTAGGCAGGCTATAACGACATTGTGGCCACTGATGGACCCCAGAGTATAGACATTGTCGTCATTCGGGGGTTTCAGCAATAGGTCATGTTCCTCGTCCAGCAATGCCATTGCCACAGTCTGCTCTTTCGGCAGAGCACAGATCCACCCAACCTTATAGTCATGATGAGAAAGGCTCTTGGAAGTCATCATAAAGCTGGCGGCAACTGGTATTACATCCAGGAATAAGAAGGCAATCTGGGCAGAAATAAGTTAGCGGAGGCTACGAGATAGTTTACGGCCGCCATATCTAGGATATATGTAAACTGCTTAGGCAGGCTTTGCTACTTCGGGCAGCAATGCAACTACAAACGCAATGCTGTGCAGCTTTAAAGATACGGGATTGAGGGGTTCTAAGGCGGCCTGCATTATCATGTACCACTTTGTTCGTAGCCTTCGCTCTTTATCTCGTTGGGCTGATATGCAGCTCGACTGCACCTAATTTTGTGGTGCAGTGGCACTGCATAAAAGAGCAAACATGCGTGACGCGAAACTATTGGCCAAGAAGGAGTTCTGCCCGTGTATCCAACAGCGCGACGTGCTAACAGCGGGAGTCTACACGCATGCTTATCAATTCTTACTTTATGACCTGATGATGCGACAATGTAACACTATGCACGCGGGAACGTAGCGTGATAGCTTCACATCTCGAGCTTTTTAGTGCTACCTACCGAGTAGAAATAATAGTCTGGCTGACTGCCCGGTGGTGAGCGTGTCTTAAGGATCATCTCATCTTTAATAGTTTTATTAAATCTCCTCCGGTCCTGCCTCCTTTCAGATATTCTTCAATTTCATCATGTAACATCGCATTACATCAGACATACACGTGGGCAGTAATCTCATTGTATATGAAGCGAACATTGGAGGTGATTGGGACAGTAACTTGCTTCGGGCGGAACTTGACATAGTGTTCGAGCAGTCTTGCCTCCATGCGCAGACGTGACGGGGACTACCTCACACGTAATATCCTGTGTACCGAATGGCGCCTGCGACAACACTATAATTGATAGGGGCCAAAGTCCTTGTATCCCACGCCCTTGACAAAAGTCTGCAACCAGGGACCTTGCGTCTTCGCCTCAGAAAGCTCGTAGAAGAGTTTTGCGTGTGCGTCTCCATCGATCTTAAAAGCGGCCGAGCCATCTGCCTTTCGTTCATCGACGTAGTAAAATCTATGCAGCTGTTAGTCTCATTCGCTCAGGCTGTTAAAGGAACATGGAGATTACATACTTGAACCCTTTCTCTTTGTATTCAGCGGCAGCAGCCATCATCATGTGCGCAGATGCTGACTTGCCGGCGCCGGATTCCAGGAATTGCGGAAGCGGCTTGACGTTTAGGATATTGCCCGTAAACGCGAATACCCTCGGCGCATTGGCAGGGAGCTCCGCGAAGCCGAGCACGGCTTGCTGGGCAGCGACAAAAACACTAGTGTTGTTGACGGTCATGTCTCGCGCGAAAGCATCCAACGGGATCGCAAATGGGTCGCCTGGGGAAGTGAAGGTCGCGGCGCCGGCTACGAACGCTCAGCGGGTATTCAGCTAGAGTCCTCTGGTGCCAACACGTACCGTTGTAAATGACTACGCTTGGGATTCCTAATTCCCTCCTGACCGTTACAAAGGCATTGACAACATCATCGGGGTTGGCAAAGTCGCTTTTGATGTTAAGCTGACCGTCTGTGCTGTCTGCCTCGTTCAGTGACCGGGCTGCGACTGCAACCTTGTAGCCCTTTGACGCAAAGGCCTTTGCAGTTGGAAGACCGACTTTAGGTCCCGCGCCGAGGATGAGAACGACAGGAGATATTCCAGGCATGGTTGGAATGTAGGGGGAAATTCAGACCGTGGGCAATCGAGCAAGAAAGCGAGGAGCCTTCATCTGCTTTATGTATGCCTTCATATCTTCACATTGAGGCAAGGAAAGGCACAGGTATTAGCAATACACAACTGGTCAAGTGATCCAGGGCGGCGAGATCTCTGCTTGTACTGTTTGTGATAGAAGTCATCGCGGAGCTGGACTCAGCCTGTATGCCTATTTTGGCTAACGAGTGGGTTCTCACACCCGGACCCGGACCCGGAGGCTTCGGAAGGTCCGAACTTGATTACATAATGCCCAATTCCGTTCGTCACCAATGTGGTAGGTAGTTCTTTGAGCGGTGGTGATATTTATTTACTGCTGAAACTCCTATCATTTTATGCTATTACTAATTATTCACTTGTACATCAGTGTTGCGATTGTCTTTGAAGCTACACGAAGTTGCTCGTTTCGCCCAGCGTAAGGAAGTACACAAGCGGGGCATGCTATCGTGGATTACCTATCAGATGAGACGAGGGCTTTGAGATCAAAACTGTTGTGTCTACGAGTCGTCCGCTCCGGCTGACTTTCTTACTTTATAGTTGCATAAGCTTGTATATTAGCCATCCCTTCGCTACTTCAGTGCGTTAAGTTGAGTGGGAATGCTGTGTAGTATTGTCAACATTTGTCAGCTCGCTACTCCTTCATGGTTAGTGTTGAATCAGGTTTAACTCTCAAGGCAGGGAGAAGGAAGCGATGTATTTAAAAGAAGCCAGACGTTCCTGTTTCCAGGTCTATTCTGCGCCTTATCATTCACTGGATCTTTCATCATCAGCCAATATTTTAGGTCAGTTTGCGAGCTCTCCATCCTACAACCAATCTCCGGATAATTCGATACACCTTCATCTAAATGGGAGAAATGGAGCCGATCAAAGTATTGGGAATTCACGGGCCCAACGCTGGCAAAGTCATCCTCCTCTGCGAGGAGCTAGGACTGCCATACGAGACCGAAGTGATCCCACTTAACGATGTCAAGAATCCCAACTACGTCGCCATCAACCCAAATGGGCGGCTGCCGTCTATCCAGGACCCAAACACAGACCTCACGCTGTGGGAATCGGGCGCAATTATTGAGTACCTGACAGAGAAATATGACAACGACCACAAACTAAGCTTCGTACCGGGTACAGCTGAGGCATACCACGCTCGTCAATGGCTCTATTTCCAGACCACCGGCCAGGGACCATACTACGGACAGGCGATGTGGTTTATTATATATCAGCCGCTTCCCGAGGCGCGAGAGCGCTACGTTAAGGAGGTTAACCGCGTAACTGGAGTGCTGGAGGGACACCTGGCAAAGCAGAAGCCTGACGTGGATGGCAACTCCTGGTTCCTAGGTGGCCGCCTCTCCTACGTGGACATTGCCTTCTTTACGTGGCAGAACACAGCCGAGCCGCGAATTCCGAATGAGGAGTTCAACCAGGATGACTACCCACACGTCAAGAAGTGGCTTGACAACATGCTCTCGCGCCCGAGTGTAAAGAAGCTCCTGAAGCTCCAAGAAGCTAAATAAGGTGTGGCAAGGGGGAACGGATCTCAGATCTCGATAGGCGAGTTGCTACTAGGTGTGGTTGGAAATGAAGACAGATCATTTTAGAGTAGGATAATGAATAGATACAGTGTGCTGCCTTGTGCGCCTCTTATTTGATCTCGTGTGATACTATATCCCTCAAGTAGTACAGATTGGACCTCAAAAGAGATCTTCCAGTGCTCGACGACTGCTTGGGGTGCATGAAAGCCCTTTCAACCATCTTCAACGCCCCGCAGGATTGACTTGCAGCTAGGGGGGCCAAGTAAAGGTATATTTCGGGTCAAGGCAACCTGTGTAGCGGCATCTATCCTGTTGCTGTATGCATTTGTCTGTTTTTATATTAACTTGGCTTAATGTTAAATCGTCATGTAAATGACGCCAGAGACCTTGAACTGAAATGTTGAACAGCCCTTTTGGCTTTGAGATTTAAGCTGTTGCAAGTGTGATGCATTTGCACCAACTCCTTGGACTGCGATAGTGTGATTGGATCATTGGCAAGTGTCTCCAACAGACGTAGAAATGGCTCGACGAGATTAAGATCTGAAACTGCGTTTGGCGATATAGGATTTTGTGCTAAATTATAGAGCATACTGCTAGCTGCAGCGAAGAAAGCATGAAGAAGCATCCTAGAGTGAGTCAGATGAAAGAATCAAGAAGATTCTGCTTCTCTACATGTCACTTACCAGACACAGGCGCAGTCTCCTTGAGGAATAGCTTCGATAAGACGGATCGCTTTGCGTGCCTCAGCGACGCATAGACTGCCTGGGGGCGGTACCAATGGTTCGGACCGGCTGAGCTCTTGGTTGGAGAAAGATGGTGGCATCGGGGGCAAGTGGCGATCAATCATTGTGAGGCAATGAAGATATGTGAGTCGTAGAACCACCTTGTGTATCATCTCGCCTGAAAGTTGAAACCCTGACGATGCTGCAAAGTTCTCTGGTATTTCCAGCTGCGCGCTGGACTTCCAGTACGATAATAAAGAACCCAACTCTTGTGCCGCAATCGCTCTCTGTGCCGCTGTCTGTCGTCCAGCCCGTACTGAGTACAATTGTTTATACACCTGCCCCTGAACAAGCGCAAGCCCTATGCGACAGTTGAAGAGGTCCAGGTTACCCAGCTCAAGATTTGCGTTTGATGGCAAACGTACATCCATGTCATCATCATCTTGACCAAAGGGTCGGCCCGTTCGTAGACTAATATCCTTGTCAAGAATGTACACCTTCCAGAACACCCGCCTCCGTTTCTCGGCTTCTGATTCCGTGAGCCCTGGACTGGAACATTCTCTGTGCAGATTCATGATCTGGGCCAAGCGTAGAGCTGCGGCCACGAGCATTGCGGCTGGCTCCGGATCTGGTGTGCCCTGAAGAAGGCAGGCCATACCCGCCAGAGCCTGAACGGCGGAGAGGCTGCGGTCGGAGACGTTCAGCTCAGAGACGACGCTTAGGGCGTTTTGAGCATAGCCATAAGCTAGAATGTGCTCTTGTGTTGGGTCTAATGTTCGTATGGCGCGGAGACGATGCGCTATCGACAGCACAACATTGAGGCATGCCCACCAACCAGCATCTCTAGGATTAGAAGTCGAGTACTTGAGGTGAAACTCTTTCAAGAAGTCCTTCTCATGAAAAAGTGGAAGAAACCTATTGTAGTTGCTGAAAGTTTCCTCAATCAACTCCTCAGCGACTGCCTTTGTGGGTAGCTGCTGACGCACTGGTAGAGAAACTGGGCGTAATTCCGGAGCAGGATGAGGCCACAAACGGTCAGTTACATAACTGCCAAGCGTAGACCAATCGGTTGCATTGTGGTCGGGTGCTCGAAATGTAGATCCATGGTGAAACCCTAATAGATTGTTCGTTTGTTCAGATGAGGGAGCTTGTGGCTCACTCTTTTGTATCCAAGGATTGCTTTCATTGGGAGATGTGTTCAACACCGCTGTGCCAAGTAATTCCGCGGGTGTCGTTTGTTCTTTATGCGAACCGATGTCAGGTACAGTTGGCTTTCCCAATGACCTGTCTCCTAGCAAAGCTTCTACTCCTAAAAGTCTCTTCTCGAGCTGTGCGATGTATTTGAAGCTGCGGAAAACTCAATAAAGGCAAACTCCGTGGGCTGGAGAAGCATACTGACCCAGCTGGTCTGCGAGGCTTCCTCTTCATTGCAATTGGCGTAAAATGACACACTGTGCCATATTTGGTGCAAGGACTGCATCCTTGCGCAGTAGGTTCGCAGCGGATCTTTTTCTTCCGGCACATGTCGCAAGCCTTACATTAGAGTGTCAACAGATGTGGAACGGCATTGAATATCTGGTTTAACTCACACGAACGACGACTGGCCGTTCCTCTGCCCTGGAAGGTAGCTGGGCCGTGGAACCCACTTGTGAGTCCATGATTCGAATTGAAAGGGTGCAGGGTGAAAAGGACTCGAATAAGCAATTAATTTGCTGTCTAAGAGGCTTCCAAGTACCTGGGGAAATAAAACCTCGCAAAAGGGCACTTGACCAGTCCCAGAATATTTATCGTTCATCAGCTCTCTCATCAAGATCAGGCAATAGATGGATTATAAATCAGGCTCCTTCAGCTATTTAGCACAAGACACCCCAAGGCCCACACTTTGTCTTACTCTGATTCGCTCTATCTCGTCAGCTATTGTTCCTTGACAGGCCTCTATATTCAGCGGCCCGAGGCTTGAACAACATTACATACATTCGACGATATCCCCTCTACTCAATGTGATGTCGCGATTAACTTGAGGTCATTTTAGAAACAATACTGATCGAGGGTCTTCACGGATGCGAAATATTTCATTAATAAAAAGGAGCCATTAAGAGAACCCAACAGCGGCAACTGAAACATGACAACAGCTACTCCCAGTTTATCATGTGCTGATTGAAGACGCTATATGCCGGTTTTCAATCCCATACTATACGACCATGAGCGGTGGAAAATTCGAGGACTCATTAGACTCTTGATCAAAAGTTCAGAATTGACTTTGGATTTCAAAGACTTGGAGTCCTCAATGTGGAGTCGCAGGGTTCTATTTTCAGGAGCAACTGAAATAACAATCTAGCAAATTGGCGCTCTGCGCTAACGTAAAATTTATATATACAAGAATGAATCAACCATAGACAGGTCAAGTTGAAGCCAGGAGAATACTGGAGTCAATACCAGAAACAAGTTATGTATATGTCAGAGACTCAGTGCGGCTTAGTTGAGACACTGAGAGTACCACTGGTTCTGTGCCTTGCAGGTGGCCGGAGCCTGGCAAACAGTAGGACCTGCCCAGCCAATACCTCCACACTGGCCGTAGAGTGTTTGTTGTTGTCCACCGCTGGATGGTGGTGTCGATGATGCCGCTGGCTTTGACGATGTCGCTGGTTTTGACGACGATGTCGCCGCCTTTGTCGACGATGCCGACGGCTTTGAGCTTGAACTGCTGGGAGGAGGTGAGCTAGTGTCATTACCTAGGACAGGCGTAGTATCGGTCTCTTGTATTCCATTGCATTCACAAGTTCCCCAGTCAGCAACAGCCTGGCCTGGGCAGGCAATAGGCTCAAAATCAACAACCACATTGTCTCCAAAGACCTGATTCTGCGCCATAATGTCAAAGTGGTAGCCGTAGCCATACTGGTTAGTACCGCCAACAACTGGGCACCACTGTGCATTTCCATTATTGGGGCACAGGTTTGTGACCATCACAATAATGCTCTGGCCAGCAACACCACCTGTGCCACAGGTAGAGCAAGGCGCCTCTCCCGTCGAGGTCAGTTTATAGCATTTACCGCAGCCCGCGCCACACCACGACGCACCGGCCGTGTCGAAAAAGGCCTGAGAGCCAGCTGCTGTATAGACTCCGTTACCAATGCCAAGCTAGAGAAAAGGGTCAATAATTGTTGCTCATAATTCGGACAAGGGTAAAGTCTTACCTGCCATGGGAACGCACTAGAGCCTGAGCCGCATCCGCAACCACCCTTTTGCCCATCATAATAGTGCTAGACTTCTGGTTAGCCGCGATGAAGTAGACTTGGTAAATCTACATGTGTATTTACTTACAGTGGTAGTAGCTTTGTATGCAGAAGCAGCGCCTATAATGGCAGAGCCGATAAAGAAAGAGGTCTTCATGTTTGCAGTAGTGCTGGATCACGATGCAGAAGGATTGAAATAGATTATCAATCTGAAGCAGTTAAGTAACGAATTGTTGGCTCAAAGCGGCTCTATAAGTTATGTAAGCAGATATGTTTCAGAGGATTGCCATGGTTGGTTACTATAGGGCCTTTTATATACAACTATAAGGGGCAATTATAATATAGAAAGGATCTTTCCCATTTGCTATAAGGGTTCTGTCCTAAATATGGCCCCCTTTATTCTATTACAATATATCCGTGACCATGTGGCGCCCCTTCACCTGAAATTCCCGGGCCGGCTGGATCCACCACATCCCCTACATTTGTGCCTGAAAGAGACTACGGTATGGGGATGCTGGCTGCCACTGAATGGCTGCAAACAAAGGACTTCTTGTGCTAAATAAGGCCAGCAGCAAAAAAAAAAAGGGTATGGACGATGTCTACTAATTTCCGATTGTTAATAGGAAAGCAGCGAACTCTTACGTAGGAAATAAATGTATATGTGTAATCATGATAAATGATAAAGCCTTATCAACTAACAAATAATATCAGCTCACACCTTGTACGAATCTTACCTCATACCTTGTACAAATGCTCGGTAAGAACGTTAAAGAAACAGGTGTTAATTAAACAATAAAAATATTGAAACAGCGCCCTGGGGAATAAGCAGTAGCACTACATACCGATGCAGAGATATATAAATTAATCAATTGAGTATTACAGCGCAAACCAAAAATGATTACGCATCTCTTGGCAACGAGATAATATACATGAGAGCTAAAGAGTGGAGAGCCCACGCGTGCGGATAGATGCGAAGTCCTTGGACGGTAATAGCAAGGTATCGGAAGCTTGGTGACCATGCAGAAGATGAGAACGGGTAGGAGAAGGGCTGAGAAGAGGAGCTTGGCTAGAAAATGACTTGTTTCAATTGCGGAGATTGGGAATGAATCGTCGAAACTGGTTACGCTTGCGAGTGAGGAGGCGAGCAAGAGAAGAAACGCTAGAAGCCATTAAAAAAAATTGTACAAACGAACCACTTAATTTAGCTATCCCAATTCGGGGGCCAAGTTCAAAACCGGCCCAAACAAACTACTAGATGCCACGCCTCATCTACATCAACAAAGCATTTGATCTTGCATCTCGCATATTTAACTCCTTTTAAAAAATCCACCTACTGCATGCAGTAAGCTATCGAATGAAGTCCTTCAACTCAGCCAAAGCGACCGCCTTACAAGAGCGAAACTTAGGAAGCCTCGCGTGCATACCTCGTTGAATATCACCTCTTCCTCTGCCTCAATCACATCAACGTCTGCCTCGCCACCAATTGTCCCTGTTACATCCGGCTGCCGAAGCAATTGCGAAAAGGAGTGATTATACTTCTTTAGATGGATTGTTAACATCTTATTTAATTTTGTATAAGTACTTTACATGTACAACGTCAACGGACTCATAGGCTATAAATGTCTGGATCCCAATGATCCCAATACTATATAGATATGCTGAGATCTGTGTACAAGCACATATGACCATAAGTAGTGGAAAGTTCAGGGTCTGTAATAATAGTAGAAGGTGAAAGGTGTGTTGCGAAATGGTTGAAGAAGGATGTATTCCTAATTAAATTGTGGCTTGCCACCCCTGTTAGCGTTGCACCACTAAGACACTCTTGCAGCCATGGAGAAAACAGCCAATTACCACTTTTTATCTACTTGTCTAACGAGAGACAGAAAACATTCTTAAGCCATTCATACACCGTACGTAAACTTCAAGATGGCGGTTACATTATTTACCTATAAACAATTTTCGTAGCATCATGTTTCAGTCAAGTATGTGTCATAGAGCTTATTCTCCCAAGCAAAGTAGAGTTGTTATGTTACACAACGGTGAAGCTTCTACCCAAGAGAAAAGGATAGATCTACTTAGATGCTCCCTTATATTTGCTCGCAAATTCTGGCTGGGTTGTTCAAAACTATCCTATTGCTCTAGCAATACTTCTGTAGCCGAGATTTGCAGCCCTAATTGCATGCATAATGGCACTCCTCTTAGACTACTTGGGGCAATTGTTATTCAGCGCAAAGTTGGTCAGCTGACGATTATCATTTCAATTTATCCTAGGACATCGTTTTAGTTGACTGAATAAGCTGTTTCTCTCAAGACTATATACTCCCATGGAATCACATAAGCTTAGATTAGACAGGTAATATAGAATCACATTAGTCAAAGGTGTCACAAGAGGAGTATAAAAGCCGCAGCCTGAGAAACGTAACACTGAGTGTTGGGATTATAAAAAATATTTTTCGAGATATGTAATCACTATAGTAGTAAGCCAATGGTATTACAAGAGGAGTATATACGAATATTACTACTTATTACCTACCTAGGTACATGTAGGTAGTACTGCGTATATAGGTACCTGCTGGTTACCTTTACCTACTCTCGTAGGAGGGGTGCCTCTTAACATAAGAGGTTCTAAAGGGGGTACTACAAGATTATTCAGCTAGAAATATTACTGCAATAGCCGTTATCTTATTACTACGCTTTATTATAGTATCTGTTGATTTACATAAGCTGTCAGATCAGTATAATCTTATAGATTAAAAATCCTTAAAGCGCCGTTTTCCCTTACAGAAGCCAAAACCTTGCAGCCGGAAGAAGCCTATCAGATTACAAGCTCTGTTAACCTATTTCAGTACTTATAAAAAAGTCTTGATATACCTCGCTGCTTGCAACACGAATTATGATGAGAATACCTACTCTTTTACCCCAACGGAAGGGGAAACGCATGGCTTGCACTTTGCGTACTGTTCGGGTCCCAAATACTAGGTCTGCTCCCAAGACACGCCCCCAAAATATCTCCCAGAACTAATATGACACCTTTACACAGACGTCTTTATACTAGTGGCAGCAAGATGTACCCTCGAATCGAAGCTACGATAGAGGAGCACACAATGGGTACTTCCCTGCCTCGATATCTCGACTTAAAGGTACATCAGGCAGTCCGCGAACGTGCCTACGATGGAATTACAGTAGTCGGGGCTTACAGGCGATCATACCCTTCTACCATTTTTCAGGGTGAAAAAAGAGACAAGCCTTTCAACTGGCAGAGACCCACCGCCCGAATTGTCAACAACCATCTATACATCGAGTGTTTTCCGGGATATGATCACGTAGAGCATCACGCTGAGGTCATAGCCAGCTTCCTCAGCATTCAGCAACGTCAAGGAGGCATGTTGACACCTCCGTCTAGGGTTTCTTTCCGATCAGCCTCTTGCTCTGATACCCAGAACGCTCTTAAGGCCACGAATATTCAAGAATTCCCAGAGGGGGTTGATACTGTTGTTCTCGGCATGGTCCATCGTATTGAGAGGCTGACTGGCCCCGTGGATTGGGCTGGGGATGGCTGCTTTGCTTGGACGGTGCGCCAATTCAATGGCCGTAAAGTGGCATTTTTGGGATTTCGGCCCGCATTTTGGGGCGATATCGCTGGGGAAGTCGTACACTATCTTGTGTCTCGGTGTGGTGTGCGTGAGATTCTCTATCTTGGCAAGCTGGGAGGTGTTAAAAAGGGAGTTATACCAAACACTTGGCTGGCAACTGGAGGACTTTCGTACGTGCGTGGCTAAGTCGTGGAATGGGAAAACGTTTTTGAAAAGTTAGTTGCCTGTCTGGCTCAAGCCTGTACAGTTATAGGGAAGTCGTGGAATGGGAAAACGTTTTTGAAAAGTCAGTTGCCTGTCTGGCTCAAGCCTGTACAGTCATAGGGAATCACATAACCTTGGGGAGCGTCCTACACGAGACGATGAACTGGCTGGCAGCCGAGTGTTCTACTAGGGAGTTCTAACCTTTATGAAGTCGTGCAGGATGCTTTAGGGCACTATCTCTTATCTGTAGCAAGGAGCTATCGAAAGTAGCCGGGTATCTTGTTTTTTATTTTGTTCTAAACTCCCTGGTAGAAACTACACGTACCTTAGGTTGTGTATGGTCGTGTTTTACTAGGTCCATCGCGTCCCAGGCTGCTCTCCGAAAACTGATAAATACCACGATAACCTGCAACCTTCTCTTCTAACTGATGCATCACGATCTGCCCTAGCTTGGCATCTTTGTGAAGAATGATACCAGCTGGATTCTTTACATCAAGTAATGCACCAAGAGCGCCTTCGTAACCGGCATCTACAACACCCGCCGTAAGCGTAGCGCCAGACCGCCACAGTGACGACCGAACAAACACCTGGCCCATATAATCTAATGGGACCGAGATAGTCTCATTGAATTCAACAAGATATGCCCCTTGGCGTAGTTCGATAGTCTCGGTATCGGTATCTTTATTAAAACGCAGCTCGGAGGCATTAGCGGCCTGTCGATGTGAATTATCGAAGTCGATTGTGGCAGGTGAAGTCCAGGCTAAGACGCGACGTAAAGAGAGGTCGACTCCACATGGTTGTAGCTGTTGCGTAGCGGATCGTAGGTTACGCACTATGCCCTGCTTCACGATCGAAGCCCCGCTCATTAGCATTATGGTTGACGGTTGCGGCAATTGAGGTCAAGAGGAACAAAGGGGAATATGTTGCAGAGTGCGAGAATGTTATTGTTAGGCTGGACGAGTAAATCTACCCGTTGGTACCCTCACACAGTTGGTATCTAAAAGTGGGACCAACGGGTAGCTGTCTGAGACAGTGTTGCAAAAACCTAGTCCAAGAGGCTTATAGACTGGCCGCACGAGGATAAAAAAATGCTTAAAAAGAGGCTATTGTAAACACTGATGTTAATGTTGTATAAGCTACTATAAAATAAAAGCTGGCTGCTAGTAAAAGCTGAAGTTGACTATAAAGGCTAATTAAAAGTCTACTGCAACTGTTGCTTATCTATAGAACAGAAAATTCTTGTTTTATTAGTAGTACTATAGGGAAAGAAGCAATGATGTGGCAAACGTTCGGCAGGTAGGTATAGTACCTCTAAGCAGTACACGAGCGCGAAGTTTAATATACATCAGTTTCGATTAGTCGTATGTCACTTCGTAGGTATTGAGTACGAGAACTAGTTCAGCGCCCGCGAGCCTCATAATCGCGGCTAGTTACGTAAGCTAAAGCGGCATTTACAAGCTCCCCTCTAGCCGTTTGCTTTATTGTACTTCTTGTTACGACACCGCCTCCCCATCACGCATATCGCACCTCGTGCTTGTGCTCTCTTGATAAAGAATGTGAGCATTGCTTCATCGCCTTGCAAGCTGTGACGAGGAAACTCCTCACTGTCGTCGCTCTCCATTAATCAGCCGCGGGCGACTACCCTTGCAGCCTTTTCTCAGCAGTCGCGCCCTCCACGGCGACACTTGTTGGAACAGGCTCTGAGGATTGTGTCTTGCCCGTGCTCGTTGGTGGATCGATCACAGTCGGGCTCGTTCAGACTTACAAGGCTTTGTTGAAATCAAAACACTGTTCCAGCTATCTCCTTTGCGGGTCTTTGGAGATCTCTTGGATCATCTGAGTGAAAAGCGTAATTTCTTCCTCCCGCTCATCAACTCTCGCCTGGCCAGTACTAATGCAGCCTCTATCTTCAGATTCCACGCCGCTTCTCCTTTCCCAACATGTCACAGCACTCTCGCCGCTCAAGTCGCTCTCTTGCTCCCTCGGCACCATCTCATGCCAGCCAACAATCGTTGCAATCTCCACAAAGCGAGCAGTCGCCTCTCCCTTCGGCTGAGGATGACCACGTCCCCATTGACCACCAGGTAGACTCTTTTCCCTTGCCATATATATCCCCCATTTATATACAAAACGCCGTAACTTACCATTCAACTCAGGACTATGTCTACATCAAGTCCGAGTCTCCTGCCCATGCTCCTGTCCTAGCTCAAGTAGCAAGAACCGAGGATCCATGCCCTCGTGGGAAATCCTACCTGTTCAAATCTCCTCTTGTTTTAGATTGGCCCTGCTGCAGGCCACTTCTTATCATATCATGGGACGAGACACGTGGTCTATACTTTCGGGTTCAACTCCATCTCAGAAAATCTCCCCCCAATCCGCCCTTCCACATGTACTGGCTCCCACGTCATATCAAAGAAGTTGTCTTGTCTGCGCATGACCCTAAACAAAATGCGCACCTTTTGGATTTTCACTTTTCTGAGCGACCCCAGCTTTTTGGAGCCAAGGACTGGATTCAACCACTGTCCGATGATGAGATTAGCGATGTCAAGCACATTCACAACATGTGTCAGCTAAACATGTCCTTTAAAGTGGCTGGCACGCCACTCCAACTCCAGTTTCTTGAGTGGATAGTGCGTCGAGTTTGCGTACACTCTATTGCTTCTTTTGAACAGGCTCCGAGGTCTTGGTATGGAGGAGCGGGTTCCGTCGTCATCCAGCAGCAAGATCTTACCACCCCAGCACTTCCGCTTTCGTCCTCGGAGCCCCAGCCTAGGCATTGCAGTCGGTCCCAGTCACCAGTTTCGTATTTTAGTAAGCACCTTGTATTCTATTTCTCAAAACGCTCTATTCACAAAGCCCAGAAAAACGACGATTTCCTGACGGTGACGATGATGCCTTGTTTATTGCTGCCACAAGGTCCACTTTAGACGGCTTTCCTTTACAACACATACTTAATTTCATTCGTGACAAGAACTACATTGTCTTCCACACTAAAGATCTTGGGCTTGAATCGGGACCAAAGAGGCGTGGGAGCTTGGTGCACAGTGCCTCCGAGGTCAAGCAAAGACTCCTCAACAGCGTACAAGAGGACGCCCGTCACAGCGAGAGCCTTGTCGTCGCGGCTGAGAAGAAGAGGATTGAAGACGTTGCTGAGGTGGACAAGCAGAGGATTGCGGATCTTGCCGAGGTGGACAAACAGAGGATCGAGGACCGTGCTGAGGTGGACAAGCGGAGGATTGCGGATATGGTTGCCGTGGAGAAGCAGAAGATCGAGGACGTTGCGGCGGCCGAGATGCAGAGGATTGACGACTGTGCTACGGTAAAGAAGCGGAGGATTGACGATTGTGCTGCAGCAGAGAAGCAGAGGATAAATGACTATGCCATGGTACAAAAGCAAGGGATTAGTAACTCTGCTCCAGCAGAGGGGTAGAAGATGAAGAAACAGTTGATAAGCTACCTACTCCGGATGTGATTTTGGAACAGAGTAGCCCGACGGATCCCCCAGGGTTCGAATGTTTTCCGGCAACTCCCCACGAGGCATTTGAGCGATGGCTATCGAATGCCATCAACCACGGCGTCGTTGAAACCACACGCCATGGTCCTGTCAACCGTCGGCAAGGATAATGCGCCAGACGCCCGGATGCTGATCCTCAAAGACATGGACGCTCGCGGATGGCACTCTGCAATCAAGGCTGCGAGCCCCAGGGGCGAACAGATTGCTAGCAATTCCCAAGTCGCATTGACGTTCTACTGGAAGGAGCAAGCTCGACAGATCCAGCTCCAAGGCAGAGCACAACAGCTTCCAGAAGACGAGTGGGCCAAGGGCTTTGCCGACCGGCCACGCGACTCTAAGATTAGTGCCGCCGCATCCAAACAGAGTGCCGCGCTCACAAGCAGAGATGAACTCTCGGAGGCGGCGAAAGGGGAGAAACATGCATTTTCTGAAGAGGCTGAAGGGGTGGCAGCGTCGGGATGGAAGGTCTACGCTGTGGCGCCCCAAGTGATGGAGTTTTGGCAAGGTTTTCCGGATCGCTTACGAGTAGAGGGGCACCGATGGGAGAAGCAATTGCTATGGCCTTACAGTAAAAGCCGTGGACTCATAACACGGTCATTGCTTTCAAAATCATGGCAGATGCTGTGAATATAAGCCGCTTCATTATGCCTCCTAGTACATACGACCATAGGTAGTGGAGAACTCGGGGTCCCATTAAGCTCTTCTCTTGAGTTAGATGTCTTCCTTTTTTTGCATCCCAAGACTTTAAATTCTGAGTCGCATGCTCCTGTTGGTAGAGGTCAGCCAACCCCCGCGCTACAATATATCGCCCCCCTGCCAATTATTAAAAAACGGAGCTTCTACCGGTTTCCCACCGGTAGTTTGGACCTCTGACGTCGGTATTGTCTTTATTTATTTATACTTTACTAACCTAGCTATTAGGTTAAGATGAAAAGGGGTTTGGGTGAAAAAGGTATGTAATGACCGAGGTCCGTTAATCTTGGGCAAATTGTCTTCTCACCGAGGGATGCTAGCTAATGCAGCAAGTGAAGCCTCTCAACACCCCCGATCTTGTGGAACAGCATTCGCAAAAGCCTCGAACAGCGCCTCGCCGCTCGCAACCCAGCGGGTCAAACTTTTTCGCAGCCCAAGGGAACGGAATTTGAGGCAAATACCTTGGTTAAAGTTCAGTTAAAAAAAAAGCTTAAGAGTACACGTACTTAAAAGTTGGCTATGCCTCACTCCTGAGAGCGAGAAACTCAACTCAGCAATGGCAAATCTCGAAACATCTTCCGAAAGGTCCACGACAGCTGAAATCATGAAAGAGAAACAGGCTTCAGCTCAGCCGGAGCATCAGGTGGTTCTGCTGAAGGAAACCGTGATTCTGCGCTGGCTGTTTGGATACCTCAACAAACGAAACTCGTCTAATCGGAGAATGTCTCCGCGCTGGCCACACACAATCTCTACCTGGCTGCCAAAGAAGCCGAAGACACAATTCAGAGAGGCAACTCTTGTAGGTATCGACATTGACGAACTTAAAGAGCAACGCGGTCTGCCGGTACAATTCCACATTGGCATCTCTATCCTACACACCAAGGATCTGCATAGTCTCTGCCACGCTTCTTTACCATGGACAAAATCACAAGCAAAAGTCATACGATCATATCACTGGGTTATTCAAGATCCTACTTATTTTTGCACAAAGGATAATCGCTTTTGCTTTGGTAAACACAGATGCATCCCGCTCGCCAGCCTAAAGGAGAATCTGGAGAAGCTTCTTAAGCCACATCATCCAGTGATCCTTGTCGCCCATGGAATCTCTATGGAAAAAAAACTTCTTCAGGATCTTAACATTGATCTTAAGCCCATTTTTATAATTGACACGACAAGGGCTGCTCACTATCCCCTCCAGGATTCTCGTAATTATAGCCTCAAGCTGCTCCTACAAGTCTTCGGCATCCCCGTCACAAGCGGAATGCTTCACGTTGCTGGTAATGATGCGCATTTTGTGCTTAGGGTTCTACTTATGATTGCTGTAAGTGATGCACGGCGAGAGTTTAAGGATACCCCAGCGTGGGTGCCTGTATTCGAGGCGATTGCGCGCGCGCCGTTGCCACAAATGCCAATGACACTACACGAAAAGGCGGTGATTGGAAACCGGAAAGCGAAGGGTCTCGAGCGGTTGGCGGAGGACAGAGCTCAAGACCAGGCGCGGTGAGCGAATGTGCAGAAGAGCAGACAGCTTCGAGTTGATGGCCGTTATCTACTATTGAAAGGGGGGACCACTGGCGAACAGGTGTTTGTATGGTTTACATGGTGTTCTTAAACTTTCTCTTTTTCTGTCATTTCATTAGACGCAATCTTTCGAGTGCTGGCTCACGGTCATTCAATCTCGATTCATCTCGGTCTCTGCTACCTTTGGGTCGATGCTCCGTGTACTATTCAAGACGACGTTTGAAGACTGGGAGCGAGAAGCACAGGCCATGGCGCGTGTCTACTCTAATGCATTGATCGATATTTCAGGCCTGGGGTGGGGAGACGCGATGCTTCTGAAGGCTGCCTTGTTTTACGAGAGCTACACCAAGGAGTCGTTCCACTGGACTTTCAAGGCGGGAACGGAGACCACCAGGCATTCCCAGCTATTGCCACGAAGATCGAGATGGGGTCCTTATACGAGATTCGGGTGGCCACCCGACAAGTGTGAGAGGCTGGACCCTGCAAGAGTGGATTCTCGCGCGGCGGACGCTGCATTTTGGGCGAGACCAGTTGTATTAGGTGTGGATTGCAGCTTTCGAAATTCAGGATTGGCACTGAACCATAGCCTTGGAGACAGTAGCAGTGGCAACAATGGCATCTTCGAAAACGACATGGCTAACTCACTGTTTTCCGTATCTCAGGGCTGGTTACAACTTGCGGCAATATTCGGGGCCGTTAACTGCGAGTTCCTCTGAGATGAAGTCTATGCGGCCGGCCTGCGGAAGAGCCGGAGTCGTGCTGAAGTGCTGGATTACGGGCTTGAACTGAAAGGCAAATAACCCTGACGGCGAGCTTCTAGACGGGTGGTTGAAAATCGAGGCGCCGCTTAGTGAGGTGCTGGACAGCTGAATCTTTGGCTACGAGCTAAGGAGAGCAGATATTTACCCAGTTGTGGACCCTAACCGTCTCACTCCTTTTACCAGAGCTTTAGTTCAGGGCAACCTTAAGATGGCCAAGCTGCTACTCCCAGAGTCGAGGGAAGCGAGGAACAAAATCTTCAGCTCCTTGTCAGCGGGAGGTTTTAATTACTTCGGAACCGTCCTTAGCTGTTCCCAGGCTATACGTGAACCAGATGGACGTACTATATTCCGAAGTCATGCTTGGATTAAGAAGTTCCATTTCTTGAAGTCTGTGGGAGCTCTGAACTTTATAGCCCAGCCACATAGAAACACCAACGCCTTTGCAACACCTTTTGCGCAAGAGCCTATACTAGGCTTTGGTCAAGCTTTCGAAACGCTCGACGAAAGTATTTTTGAGTTTCTCTTGGAGGAATTCCAATCTCAACTCAACTGTCGCGATGCAAAAGGATTCCCACTCCTACACCAAGCCGTAAAATTTTGGCAGAGCTCACTCGTTCTCCGGCTTCTTGGGTGGAAGGACAGAGGCCATCTAGATGTCAACACAGGGTATCCCGAACCAGGTGGCATGACGGCGCTCGATCTTGCCGTGCGGAGACGCGCCCGGGTGCCATCTTGCGTTGGAATCAGCGCCATTCTCTAGAAGAAGCTCCCTGGTTTCGGCGTGACCATCCTCGGCTGCCATATGAAGTGGTGTCGGTCCTCCCTCTGTGTTCAGACGCAAGCCCCTAGGCATTCTTTTCGTAGCCTCTGTGCTGGTTGTTTCATATGTCATCGTCTGCCCATTTGGAAGCTCCACGCATAGTCTCAGGAAGGCTTTTTGGCCTTCCTCATTAGACATGTGAACCATCTCCATTTTAGCCAGTCTAGATGAGCCATCGCTTGTCTCAAGCCTCTCAATATCGACTTCAACACCACCGCCATCTGCATTGAAGCTGAACTCGCCACCAGACAACTTTAGAATCCCAATCTTCACGGCAGCACCTCCGCCATCTGCGTTCAAGTAGAGTAAACCACCATTCATCTCAAGCTTCTCAATCTTGGGCTTGGTACCTCCACCAGAGCATTCCATATGCAGCATACCACCATTCATCTCGATAGCCTCGTAGACCTGGCGTCGCCGCCACCTACCCTTGCAAAGAGCGAACCGCCATTCATAACAAGGTTCCCGATCTCTAACTTAGCACGCCCTCCAAGGTACTGTTAAATAGAGCGAACCACCATTCATGATAGGACTTTTGATCTGTAGGTTTGCGAGTGCACCACCGGTCGCCAAATGGACTGATCTGTTGCTTATGCTAAGGTTCTTAATATGCTGGTGCTCGATCTCCATCAACTCAAACATAGGTAGCTTGCGAGTTTGCGTTTGGGCCCTTTTCTAACGGTAGCCTTACCACTGCAGTGCGCCCTTGGGCTGCCGCCAGACACAATGCAGTTCGTCTAGCAATATCCTTTGCCGTAACATCAGCTCCGCTCTCCAATAGCAATTTCACTACCGCTTCGTGCCCGTTGCTGGCTGCCAGGGATAGCGCTGTTTGTCCAGCGTAATCATTCACCATAACGTCTGCTCCATTTTAGAGAAGCAATCTCACCATTGCTTCATGGCCTTGGCTAGCAGCACAGAGCAGTGCTGTCTTTCCACTGTCAAAACGAACGGCCGCGCCCCTTTCTGCTTTGATTCGTATTATCGCTGACATTGCCTTTCTAAACCCAGACTTTGCGTTAATATTTGCTCCTCTTCTTAGTAACCATTGGACCAAATTTCCATGTCCATTCCTAACTGCCTATAGAAGAGCCGGCCCACATTCAAGGTTGACATAGTCATGCTCGACAAGAGCGTTGGTTTGATGCTTCCATTCTCGAAGAGAGTCTTCACTATATCTCCTTGTGTATAAGCGGCAGCTGTAAGCAGCACCACGTCGGAGATGCCGACCGAGACATGGACAGAAATGGCAAAGATTAACCCCACGAGTCCCGAATTCGTCGTGCGTGCCAGTGGTCTGGCAGTATGAGCAGATCAACCCTGTTTTACTACTTGCAGGGCAGGTGGTGCCTCCAGAAGAGGCTGAAAGACGAACATTGATGTTGATCAATCCAGCTCGAGGCGTGTAGTCACGCTATATGATTGCATGTACTTTGAAGTTCAAGAGAACTGACGCTGGACAGATTTATGCAAAGAGCCTCCATTTGCAAATGACACGTTGGCTGCGGGACTCCAGATCGTGATGCCGAACGAAGTCACCGTCGCCCACAGACACACAGCCTTTGCCATGCGCTTCATCATTGAAGGCAAAGGCGACTTCACCACTGTACAAGGCAAACGTCTTCGCATGCAGCGGGGAGACTTGGTACTCGCGCCTCCATGGCACTGGCACGATCAGGGCAAAGGCGGGTCGGGAGCCATGGTCTGGCTTGACGGCCTTGATGTGCCAAATTATACACTCATGCCGGTGCATTTTGTCGAGCGCTACCCATCCCCTGCATATCCGTACGAAGAAGTCGATTCCAAGTCTTCGCCCTGGTTTTCCCCTGGGCAGCCGTGCAAACCAAGTTGGATGAGAACGAAGGCGACTGGTCATCGGAAGATTTATACCAAGTCAGACGGTACACCAGGTATGAAGAATAGAGGTAAAAGTGTCTCCAAGTTGTTTCCCTAACATATTCGATAGTATCACGAACTCTTGGAGGCGCTGCTGAGCGTCTGAACGCAGGCTGCACATCGCTTGTCATTCGTGAAACTGCCTCGTCGATATATCACGTATTCTCGGGCAGCGGGTACACCGAGGTGATCGGACAATGCTTTCGTTGGAAGCAAGGCGATACATTCTGTATACCCGCATGGAATAAGTATCACCATGCTGCTGATATAGATGCTTGTAGTCGCGTATACCTATATAGATTCCATAACAAGTCGATGTCGGAGGCATTAGGATATTACCGCACTGAAGCCAATTAATCAAAAACTATTACATCCACTGGGTAATACTGCAACTTGTTCTGGCGTTGTGGTTTTTTTTAGCAGTTATATTTGGAATAGTTTATAAAACAGAGCTAATGTCACTATTAGTTTTATACTAAAAACTCCATTCATACACGTATTATATTATGGCAGGATTATATTTACAGGTACTGGTATTGCACTTGTTTTATTTTCCTAGGTAGCTGAACTGGTTTGATGTTATGAGAAATATAATGGTATATAATAACCTGAAGTACCTACTCTACCGGTATGGTGAGCGTATTACCATCCTCGGCACAGTAGGTGCTTATTTGGGAAACACTCATTTCCCTCAGACTACCTATGTGGTTTGTTACAATAGGCGCTGTGATGATATACCAGTGAGATGTCTTTTAGAAGATATAATGTATTTGTATGATTTAGTATTGTGAACTGCATGTTTCATAACGGGGTATCTATACGCTTGCTTCTATATAAAAACACAATGCTGATGATAAAATAGATGAGATCACTCAAGCATGAATGAGATGATCAGGAGCACCAGGCCTAAACACCAACGAGCCTCTCTGCAACGTACTGGACCATTCATAAGCGCAACGAGTTGAGAAAACGTTACTGACTGCACCCGACCCTGTCAGGATAACCAGCATACGCAACTTGGCTCGCTGCACCCGGGGGCATCGCTCGGTATGTGTATATCCGCCACCTGCCGTGATGGCCGAGTTGCACAATCGCTCACGGCGACGAGCTGAGGGGCGTTACTGGCTGCACCCGACCCTGTCAGGATAACCAGCATACGCAGCATCGTCCGCCATGTCGATACCTTGGAAGCGAAGCCCCGGATCTTGTACCAAAGTCCACCGCTGGCTGCACCCGACCCTGTCAGGATAACCAGTACGCGGACTTCATACACTTACTTTGCCTACCTATGTCGCCACAGGCTAGACGGAGTAGAGTCCAGAGGTTGTAGAGTAGACCGTTGTTGTCTAAGCGGCCTGGTGGCTATGTGGATGATAGCCAATCTTTGCCCCTGGTTTTGCTGGAGGTGTTGCGGGATCTCGTTTTGGTGATGGTCTTGGTAGTGGTCTTGCTCGTGGTGTTAGCTGTCGTAGAAGCCTTCATACCAGCCTTGGTGGCATTGGCAGTCTTAGTTTTGCGAGAATTCTTAGCATCTGTGCTGGCCGCTTTCTTCGGTCGGCGGCCATTCCGGCTTGCTGCGGGAAGCTCCCGAACAAGTTCCTGCGCTGCTTGCTTTGGCTCCTGTACGTCTGGCTTGCCGCGTTGATCGAGTTGGAGTAGCTGCGCGTCCTCACATGAGAGCTGCTGCCGCCTCGCACGCGTCATACGGAGAGACGGTACTGTAGCCAGGGTGCGCTCGGAACCGGCGGCGGAAGAAACATCTTGAGCACTCTGCTTAGCGTCGACAACCTCTGTCTTGTTCACTCTCCTCCGCTTCGTTTCTGGCACTTCATATCCTAGCTGAGCAACGTCTAATTCCTCGTCATCCCCTTGAGAACTTCTCTTTCTCTTTTGTGATGACTGCGTTTCCCGTCCTGTGTCGAGTCTCCTCCTTTTATCGCTAGGTCGTGCTGGTTTGTCGGTAGACGACAGCTCATCTAAAACTTCTCCCCCGTCCCGCTTCCTCTTGCTGCCCGCTGTATTCAAGGCAGTTGAAAGTGGTGATTGTTTGTCCGTCATCTGTTTCTTAGAGGGTCTTTCGAGGGCGTCATCCTCAACTGGTAGGCTTCTCCGTTTCCGTGTCTGGGCCGGTTCGGCATTCTGTAATGAAGAGAGTCTTGATGTTTTCATCTCGTTTCCGCTTTGTGGTTTTTCGAGAGATTGCTCGATCGAGGGATATAGGACCGAACCATCCACTTCTTGCTGCTCTGCTGCTGACCCTGCACCATAATCAATGCTACTCGAAATAGTTCTCGAATATAGTCCAGCTGTTTGAGGAGTAGAAGATGATGGAGCCATATCACCGTTTTCGCTTCCAGATGCACCGATAACTTCTGATATTATATCCTTTAAGTCCTCCCCGTGGGTTCTCCGCAGCAGTCTTTCCCAAAACTCAGGAGGGATTCCATATGTCTCGGGCACAACAGGTTTTCTGAAATATTCCCAATCCACTATGTTCATGCCTCGTAAAACCTTCTCTTGGTCACGTAAGGCTTGGTGGGCACGGACATCATCATCATCATCGATATCGCTGCTTGGAGATAGTAGCCTTCCTCCTTTTACTTTAAAGTAGTCATTGATGCTTTGAAGATTCCAGGCGTTCAAATGATTCCTCCAAACCACATGATACTGCCTATCCGTTTGGTCTGAGCGTCGTGGAGGCGGATGGAATGGGACTCGTTCCTCGGGGAGCATCTTCATGAGGGGCTCAAAGACTTCGAAATCATATGGCTCCCTCCGCTCATACGGAGCAACGACTTGGTCTGCTGCCCGTACGCGTTCCGCCACCGTTCGAATGTCTTCCGCCGTCACAGCAGCCATTTTGTTGACGGTTGATGCTGATGTTACGCGTTGCGATATTCATCAAGCGACGGGAGCCAAGTTGCACATCGTCAGATGCGCTTAGATCACGTGGCCTCGCATTGCATGTACTTTCAATTGGGTATAAGCCCAAGGGTGTACTTGGCAAAGGCGGGGTTTTTGGAAGGTGGGTAGGTACATGCATGTACCTGAAATGCGGTCAATGGCTGTATCAACATCTTCAATGGTTTATCGTGACTCTCTTCGTCATTGTACCATCGACCGTCATTTCCACCATGGCGTTGTCGTCTACAGAATTGTCTCTTAGCTTTGCCACTTTGACGCCAGAATCCAAAGCGGCCCAAACCCACTTGGCGTCGCTTGTGGCTAAGCACCGTCAAGACACCGGCGCTTCACCCGTGGATCTAGTCCTAACGACTGGATCTAGGCATTTGACAAACACCACCCCATCAGACGCCCATGATGCTGGGATACGCTCAAAATATACAATTATCTTTACATTCGGGAGAAGCGGCAGTGGCCGTGATTCTGAGTGGATCGTTGGAAAATTGCATTTCAATAAGCATGAAAAGCGCATCGACATGCCAATCTGCTCTTCTAGGTCACGGTGCTTCAAAGGGCGTGAACTATTCGAAGTTTTTGTTCAGCCCAAATCCGGGGTCTTGATGATTCGCAATACGAATGACAACCACTCCTTGTGGTATCTGAACGCTGACAACCAAGGCGATCACATTGAATTGCGGAAAGACGAGGAGTATGTCCTTCATATGTCTACCAACCTGCTCCGCATCGGCTCGCTGCACTATGCATTCCGATATACCATCGAGAGTACAAGTGCATTCTTGGCCAGCCGCAAAGTATATATGCAAACACAATTTGGAAATTGGGATATCCCTGACTGCTTCGCGATTCAACCACAGCCGGATCACATCCGTCTGAGGCATGTCATCCTACACAATGTTATTGCGAAAGGTGATACTTGCGTCGTTAGGGCCGGCGTGGACAGAAAGACTGGGAATCCTATCGCGTGTAAGACTATACAATGTTCGCAGGACAATATCGAAACTGTGGCCAATGAGATCAGCATTGCTTCACTTCTTTCCTCTCATGCATCTAGCGGCCTTATACCTTTGCTCTTCAAATCATGCGGACATGGCTACCCGCTGCCCTGTTCCCGAACCGAGGTTGAAGATATGCATCTGGTCATGCCCTACGCACCCTTCACCTTCGAGACTGCGCCGTGGCAGGATATCCGCCCATCTCTGAAGCTTGCTCTCTTCCGCCACGCTCTCGAGGGGCTCAGAAATCTTCATGCCGCGGGTATCATGCATAGAGATATCAACCCCAGCAATTTGCTAGTCCTCTCGCTGCAGCCTGCCGCCGCTGCCATTAGTGATTTTGGCATGGCCAAGGTGGGCCTCGAGGATTCTGAAAAGTCTCTCGGACTTCTCACCTACCAGGCGCCTGAGGTTGCCACTCAGAGGACCTACACCAATTCTATCGACATCTTCAGTCTGGCTTTATCTATCCTGGCCTCGTTTGATGGTTGCAAGTGGTCTGGTCCGCTTTCTGACCATGAACGCTACTCTACTATGCTGGACCACCTCGCACGCCTGGAGACTCAAATGCCCGATGGCCTGGCGACTCTTCTAAGCGCCATGTTATCGTGGGATCCTTCCCATCGGCCTAGCGCCGAAGACGTTTTGGCGCATGCGATTTGGAAACAGATCACAGAGCGGGACTCCGCTGATGTGGCTGATCGCCATATCAGCGAGAAGAGCTCCAGCATGCAGGCGTCGGACGACGGCGATTTGCCCTTATCTAGCTTGTCTTCATCTGGTTTAGACATGGGGGATGACCTAGATCAGAGGCTTCGGCCTCTGACACCAGATGCTCCAGCCTACTCGTCGAGGCCAAACAGCAGCCCGTCTGGCCCTGATGATTTGACTCAGCGGATGAAGCGCTCGGATGCGCCGCCCCCTTCATCCATTGCAAACGACGATGCTAGCTCAATAGCTGAGGTCCTTGGCTGGGATGATATAAGTGAGCCCGGGATGGGACGGTCAGAGGCGCCATCGCCACCGTCACCTGCAAATGACACCAACTCAGCCTTCGATGAGCCTGGTATGAATGAGCGGATGGAGCGTGCTAACGCACCTACCCCATCATCACCTGCGGGCAGCAATAATTAAAGATCAAATTATATACTAACCATCATTTGCGTTCTGAATTAGAAAAAAAAGCGTGAGTTAATTATAGAAGAAGTATGTTGAATGTTGAATGTTGAATATATCGTGGTTGCTATATGCGGCTATCTTGGCGCCTAGATAGGAGACTATAAAAGGAGTATCTTAATATAAGTTGATATATATCTCTTTGAGGAGACGTAGCCGAGCATCCGTACTTCCTCAAGAAGCGCGCCGACGCCTCATCTTTCACCACCTGCCACTGTTTGTTTTGTTTTCCTCTCACAGCCGGGATTCTCTCATCGTCGCTGACGAAATACCCTTCGCGTGCTGTTGCGTGGAGCCGAAGTCTAATAAACGATGTATTCTCCTAACGCTTGAGATCTTTGCGAGCACCTTGATCCTAGCCGTTTCTATACTGCTGGTGTATTCCCTTGTTCTTCACGTTCACTCGTAGTAAATTGAGCCCTCGTACTCTGAAATGCATTACCGTCCAGCTGCGGCAATCTTCACGCCCGTCTGTCTCGCGTGCTGAGCCATGAGGGCGTCAGCAATAGTCAGAGCGGCCATGGCCTCGACGATAGGAATGGCGCGAGGAGCAACATTAGGGTCGTGACGGCCCTTGGCGGCCAGGATGCCCTCACCCGAAGCGTCGTAGCGAGCAGTAAGCTGGTCCTGGGAGATTGTAGCGGGAGGCTTGAACGCAACGCGGAAGAAGATGGGCATGCCGTTGGAGATGCCGCCCTGGATACCGCCGGAGTGGTTCGTCTTGGTCTGCAGGCGGGAGGGAGGGATGCCAGCGCCAGCGCTCGGCGTCGCATCGTCGGCGGCTGCGGCAGAAACGAAGGGATCGTTGTGGCGGGATCCGCGCATCTCGGCGCCGCGGAAGCCAGAGCCAATCTCAAAACCCTTGGTAGCAGGAATAGACATGATAGCGTGGGCGAGGAGAGCCTCAAGCTTGTCAAAGCACGGCTCGCCGAGACCGGAGGGGCACCCGCGAATAATACAGGTTACGGTACCACCGGTAGAGTCGTGCTGATCACGGAGCTCGGCAATCTTATCCTCCATACGCTTCGCGACGGCAGTATCAGGGCAGCGCACGGGAAGGAACTCATCTACCTTCTCGCGGGTGAGTGAGTCAACAAGCTCGAGAAACTTAGGGTTGCTGCTAAGGGAGTCGATATCGTCGCTATCGGTTAGAGGCCTGTCCTCGAAGAGCTTGATGTTGCCAACCGAGGAAACAAAGGCAACGATTTCGACGCCGTAGGCCTCGCGCAGCCACTTCTCGGCTACAGCGCCGGCGGCGACTCGGGCAATGGTCTCGCGGGCGCTGCTCCGGCCGCCACCGGAGGATGCCTTGATTCCATACTTCTCGAGGTAAGTCCAGTCGGCGTGGGAGGGGCGCGGGTAGAGGTCGATGGTCTTGGAGCCGTAGTCGTGAGGGCGTTGATCCTCGTTAGGCACAGTCAGGAGTATGGGTGTGCCCAATCTGCGACCCTAGGTATTAGCATCGTGGCAAATATTATGGCTTCTTGTAGGGTTGTCACACGTGCGCCCAAACTCGGTTCCAGATCCTATAGTCACACGGTCCTTCTCGTCTCGTGGGGTGCTGATGGCCGACTGGCCCGGGCGCCGGCGGTTGAGCTGCGGCTGGATATCGGCCTCGGTGAGGGACAGGCCTGGCGGGCAATTCTCGATGATGCAGGAGACGGTCTTGCCGTGAGACTCGCCGGCGCTATGACGATGGAGGTCAGCAGGCTGTTGTCTTGCGTTCCTAGCAATTGGGGGAGGGAGAGGACTCACGTCGTCACGCGAAAGTAGTGGCCAAATGTCGACATGGTGTCTTTATCCGTTCCGTATGTCCACTGGGTGAATTGATTGATGGAAGAGAGAGAGGTTGGAGGGGAAGGATATAGCGATATCGCAAAGATATTTTTCTGTAGCGATGTCGCAAAGACATTTAGCGGTGACTAATAAGGCACTTAACAGCCCACCTTAGTATGGATGTCAGACCAACACAACCAACACAACCTTGAGGGCAATCGGACTCGGAAAATAGTTGATCCATTCGATCAGGACCAAAGCCAAGCTCGAGACTTTTCAGTTCAAAGTTGTATCTGGACCGCAGAGGAACGTCAGACCTCTTAGTGGCATCCACTGGCCTACGACGACGCCGGCTCCACAGTCTCCGGGGGATGGCGGCTACAGTACATTCGGGCTGATAATCCTTTATCTAAGTCATGTTAGTATTTACAAAATATGCGGAAAACATCAATTCCACCAGGTACTAATAATGGTTGCGACAGCAGTTTGACAGGGAAATAACAGCAATCACTGCTAGTCATTTTTGATGTTCTAAAAAGCCGTGCTGATGCGCTACAGGGCTATTCTACCTACCTAGGCATCGCATTTGAAAGGAAGCCATGTAACTCAATGATGGATAGCATCTCGTAATAAGCCAATTACTACTGGAAGCTTGCACATCTAGTTGTGAGTCATATGGATTCTATCTAAATCCAGATCTAATACATTACCGGACTTGGATGGTGACGATGATGACGAGGGGCCGTATCCACCCACACCACTTACACGCAATCCGCAGAGCATGCCTTGGGGTGTTGTGTTGCCTGCTGTTTACTTTCTTTTGCATTTCCCCAATTGTCTCTTTTTCAAGTTTTTGTCTCCAATAAATCATGACTTTCATGCTTTCTTGTTAGGAGTGATTCTACCGTCCTCTACTCCAAGTTCTCTTCACACAAACATCTCCTATACGACTGACAACGGTAATATAAAAAAGGTCTTACAAGAACAAGAACATACCTACTCTCCCAATACCAACCTTCACCTAAGAATCTCTTCCGCAGCCAACTGAGCACCATGACCAAGGTCACAGTTCCAAACGCGGTGCCTGGTGGCTCAAACGAGGCTCCTGTGTTGTTGGACAAAACAGAACCAAGTCCCGAACAAGCAGTCGCAGTTGGCGGAGATCATCCAAAGCCTAAATCTGAACCCTTCATCAGCATTGAAGACGGCGTTCACACAATTCATGGTGTCGACTGTATTTGGCACAACATGTATTCTGAATCGACATTCACCTCGTTCCGCTGGATTCCTGCCCATGAAAACATTGACTCGATGTTACTCAAGGTGGCTCGCAACGTGGAACAGGGACTCTACTCCATCATTAGTCTGAGTGCATCCAAGCATTCACTTACTGTAGTTTGCGCTTGCGAGAAGAACTGGGAGGATTTGCCGGTGGGTTGGTACTGCCGTTAAGTCGTTACTTTTGAAGTGATAGTAAGACTTGGATTCGGAGAATGTTGCAGTTTCATCTTCTGCAGTTCAATGAGGCCATAACTGAGACTTGCTATTACGTGCCCGGAGGATGTACATACCTACCGCATGCGATAAGTAATAAAGTATAGACTTGAAGGGTCTTGTGTCGCATTTGACGATGATGGTATTCGCATCTCTCTCATTGGATTTTTCTTAGGTAGGTAATTTCAGGCAGCCGCCCGGGCTATTGCTCCCCGCCGTGGCGTGATGATGTTGGATGTTGGTTCAACGCTGCAGCTTTGGCCCCTGTCGTTTGAGTTATTCATCACTGAATTGAGAGTTTAGGCAAAGGTGCTGCTGAATATTAGTTGGCATAGCCACCACCCTGTTTTTCCATGTCAGTTCGAAGCGTTATGCGGGATGGTAGGCGATTCGAGAATGCGAAATGGCTCACGGTTTGATGGTTGCAAAGAATAGGGCTTCTAGCCTCACAAATGAAGACATATTTGGTATGCATTTCTGTCACTGGTGTGTGTATACAAGGAGGGACATCCCACTGATACCGCTTCTAGCCACATCCGAGTATATCTCTACATCCCATTCTCCGAATCAGCCTTGGCCTGGGGTTTTGACTGGCTGTATTTCTCAGGGCAAGCGAGATCAAAGAACACCCATTTTTCGACCGTATCGACTGGAATAAACTGATGCGGCGTGAATATCATCCCGATTTCGAGCCTCCCAAGATTACGATGCCCTTTGGACAGTCACGCAAAGTGCAAGCACTTGCTAAAGCTGAAGTCATGAAACAGCTTAGTCAAGGATCCAATTCTGTGAGCTCGCTGGCCACCGGTCAAATAACAAGGCCAGCAACTATGGACTATAGTAAAAGTTCCAAAGGCTGGGGCGTAGCCTTCCTCTGACCTAGCTGTTGCAGCTTTACTGAACCTCTTGATAATAAATATAACCTCCATAATAAAAAGTTCATGAAAATGATGAAAGGGAAACCCCGTGCTTCTCTTCCCCCGCCTCCTCCTTCTCCTCCCTCTCCAGCCGTCAAGATACCTATTAATGACAATCCGGATTGGGAGCTGGTTTGGGACGAAGAAACCAAAGTCTTTTACTTTTACAACTGCTCCAACAACACAAGGCAATGAATTGTGCCGCAGACATTTTTTCCCAAAGGCACAACGAAAGCCACCAAGAGAAGGTCATCTTTAAGACCTGAGGTAAGACGTCAAAGCTGACGGCTCGGCTGGTTGCTCGGTAGTGGCTTCGATGCCCATTACCTGCAACCAGTCTATCCAGCTGAAGAGTTGTTGTGATTGCAGTTTATCTGCTGTGATGAGGGAAGACGTGCGGGATTCCACATGAAGCGTTTGCCCTGCTGAGGTACATCACGACAGCTCTCTTGCCAGAAGTTTACTTGATGAGAATTCCATACCGTTGAACCTAACCTTGATGCAGTATTCCCTTTATCAGCTAGGTGCATTTCGAAGCGGGGTTGTTTAGCTACACCACTCCGAACCAAGGTTCAATGGCAGGTAATTTGACTCGATGCCTCGGCTAGAACTTGAATACTGTAAGATCCATATCAAACTGCGTGTTACATGTACCTCTGACGCCACGTGATGTGCTGTACTGTATTGCCGGCAGCTTGTTCAGACGCAAACTGTGAAACGGGCATCATGTTTGAGCCGGGAGTCCGCGTCCAACTGGAGTCTCTCGCACTGAAAAAGCAAAACATGGATCATCGGTTCGTTGCATCTAAAAGCCCGGGTGTGGAGAGCAGCTGGCGCGACTAAAGTCTTTGGCGCTGCGTTAGCTGGCCCGAACAGGCACAAGGCCTGAAGCTGGAGCGAATGCGAGGAGAACTAACGGCAGTCCGCGGGCACCAGCCCGAATCCAGCGACTCTTGTCGTAACGGAGCAAACGGACACTTTGTGTGGTTTTGATTTGATTTAATTGATTACGATTCCACATGCTAATATTAGAGTGCTTCTGCCGCGGCCTGGCTTGGGTTGCGATGCTGGGGGGGCAACAGCTGTGACGGATCCTATATGTTACATCTACATTCCTCGGCTCGGAATCCATCCATCGCACAAACTTGGCATCAACTTGGCATCTACATCGCGACAGCCAGCTCTTGCGCTACGACATACACTAGACGTTGCAACTCAGCTACTACATCTTCATACTGTCAGCACTAACAAGCTAACGTTGAAGCTCACATCTTGGCTGTCTAGCATTGAACCATGGCGCTCAATACAACGGGCATCCCGCCGCTACAGTTCACGGCCCTCGACGACATCACCGCCCAGTACAACAAGGTCCGCGCCACCTTTAAATCCGGTCGCACGCGAGATGTCGAGTACCGCAAGCAGCAGATCCGCCGCCTCTACTGGGCCATCGTCGACAATGCCAAGCTGATCGAGCTGGCCCTCAGCAAGGACATGGGCAAGTCCAACTTCGAGGCCAACATCTCCGAGATCGACTGGTGCAAGCAAGAGTGCCTCGACGCCGTCGACAACCTCGACAAATGGATCAAGGACGAGGGCATCCCCCACATGCCCGTGCAGTTCTTCGCCATGAAGCCGCGCATCAGGAACGAGCCGCTGGGCGTCATCCTCAACATTGGCGCCTACAACTTCCCCTTCCAGCTCAACGTGACGCCCCTCGTCGGTGCCATTGCCGCCGGCAACACCTTTGTTCTCAAGCCGTCCGAGATATCGCCGCACTCGGCCATGGTCCTGAAGAAGATCATGGACGAGGCGCTGGACCCCGATAGCTACGTCTGCTTCAACGGCGGCATCGATGAGACGAAACATATCCTGGAGCACAAGTTTGACAAGATTGTCTTCACCGGCGGCAAGCGGACCGGCACCATTATTGCCCAAAAGGCAGCAGAGACTCTGACGCCCGTGCTCCTCGAGCTGGGCGGCCAGAACCCTGCCTTTATTACCCGAAAGGGCGATCTCAAGATTGCCGCCCGGCGTCTGCTCTGGCAAAAGTGCTTGAATGCTGGCCAGGTGTGCCTCTCCCACAACTACGCGCTCGTGGAGCGATGCGTCCTCAACAAGTTCATCGACGAGGTCAAGAAGCAATATGCCGAATTCATGCCCCAGGGAGCAAAGGCAAGCCCCGACTTTTCCCGCATCGTCAACCAGGGCCACTATAACCGCATCAAGAAGATGCTGGACAACTCCAGAGGCAAGATCGTCATGGGCGGATCCATGGATGAGACCGACTTTTTCATCGAGCCCACGGTTGTACTGGTTGACGACATCAGCGACAGCATGATGGTGGAAGAGAGCTTTGGCCCTATCTGGTCTATTATTCCGTTTGATACCCTGGATGAGGCCATCAACATTGCCAATCAGGTTGACCCAACACCATTGGCTTTGTTCACCTTTGGCTCCGATGCGGAAAACGACAAAGGTGCGTCATTCTACAAAACATTTCAATTCTCTTCGCCTTATCAATTGATAAACCAGAGTATTAACATCTTCTATAGTCCTCAACAGCGTGACGTCAGGAGGAGCCACCGTCAACGACGGCTTCTTCCACGCCATGATCAACCCAAGCCCCATCGGCGGCATTGGATCCTCCGGCACGGGCAACTACCACGGCTACTTCTCCTTCAAGGCCTTTAGCCACCAGCGCTCCATCGCAAAGGTCCCAACCTGGGCGGACAAGCTGCTGCGCGTGCGATACATGCCCTACTCGGCCAGCGAGCTGAAGCGCCACCACCGCATCTCCGAGAAGAAGCCCAACTTTGACCGCAACGGCCAGCTCGTCAAGGGCCTGAAATACTGGTTCACCGTGCTGCTGAGCTTGGGCTCCAAGAACGCGGCGAGCTTTGCTCTCAGGTGGGGGGTTCTTATTGCTTTGGCTGTGACACTAGGTCTGAAACGCAACTCTTTAGGACTGTGAAGGAAGAGGAAGAGACGAATGAAGTAAAGAAATAAGATTATGTCGAGAATGTCTATTGTCGGATGAGTCTCTCTGGTAACTCTACGTTTTCTTTGGTTTAGTATTTTCGCAAGAGCTTGAAAGCTGAGATACCGTGGTTTGTCAACCACCCTTATGTATTATTATAAGACGCCTTGTCTGCTACTTTATAATATCGTTCATATAACTCGGTATATGTAGGTAGTGACCAAGAAGCATCCCAGATCTAGCCGCCAATCCATCCAGCATCGTGATATATCTCATATCCATAACTCTCTAATAGTGAATCAAGAATCAGACCCCAATGACCAATCCAACCCTGTCTGTTCTCTCACAGCAAGAACATGCTCCCTAACCAGCACCCTGCGCCGGTCACACTCAACCAGACGTCTCTCCATCTCAACCATTAGCTGCCGGCACTCCGCCAAATCGTACTCAAAGTCCAGTTTTTGTTGACCGCCCTTGTCCCCTCTTTGCTCAAACGCCAGCGTAAGTGTGTTTGCCCGGCGCTCAGACGCAGAATCGCGTTTGGTCAGCTGATTCATATCTTCGCAAATATTTTGTATACTGGTAAGCATGGCCTCCAGAGAGGCAAAGATGGCGCGATTTTGAGCCATGGTGATTGTGGGACGTAAAGATAGGATCAGGAAGTGAAAATAAAGGTAAGGTATAGTTGAACAACAGTCAAGAGAAGCTGCGGTTGGAGTTTTCTGAGAAGCGTTTGTTTTAAAGAAAAATAGGGAGGGATGAGAAGAGAGGGAGACAAGAGGGATTAGTACAGGGCAACGGCATTGTTTATATAAGGGCGATGGAAAAGTATACGCTGTCGGGCGTTCATAAAGTTAGAGTAGCGGCTTTGATTAAACATTTTTTTCAGAGAATTGTAACGCTGAATGACTTTTCTAGAGGGAAAAAAATTTTTTGATTGACTAGTAGATGAACAAACTTTTAGATAACGACTACTGTGCCCATTATACGCGGATGGATATGTGTGGCCAAATGATTAGTCTCCATCTCTTGTACTATCGTGAGTATATCTCAGTCGGCCAGAATCAGGGACTCCACGTCTTCGTTGTCAGATCTTGTTAAGGATGGTAGTACCAAGGGCGTATATCGCTGCTTTCATCTAGGATTAAACCTCTCTCCAGTGCTGATAGCAGTAGGTACTTGAATCAGACCATCTGTGATGTATATTTCCAAAAGGGGGGGTTGGGTGGGATAGGGGAAAGGAAAAGGAAAGGAAAAGGAAAAGAGGCAGAGAAAAGTTAAGATAAGAAGAATTGAGAAAGTATAATATGTCGATACCCGCGAAAGTCATGACCTCCCATTCAAATTCAATCAAAGTCAGTTGTAGCATGCTGTAGAGGTTGATACATGTAGAAGACACAGGCTCCAACAAATTCTATACCAACAACAGAACTACCTAGGTAGGTAGCTATACAGAGTCAAGCCAAACAGCGTTTTCTGATGGGGGCCTCGATAATGGATTTGGACAATGTCCAATATCCGGTATCGACATTACAGCTTTTGCTATTACTCCCTCTTTTCTATCGTCCAGATAACGCTGCAGCTAGCCTTTTCCCTCGCTCTCCTCCCAAGTAAATATCGTCGTCCGCCGACTCTCTTCCAAACTCGACTGCCTCGTGGTATCCCCTCGTCACAGTGTTTTCGTCCACCTTGACTCCATTCTCCACCAGTGCGAGGATCACGCCCCTGCACCGCGCAATCTCCCTCATCGTGGGGACGTCGATGTGGTTGTTTTGGCTCGAATAGATTTGCGAACTGACGCTTTCCTCCATGCGGTTGATGCCCGCCGCCTCAGCCGCGACGTCGCTCTCTATGTGCTTGCTGATCCAGATGTAGCCGTTGACACCCAACAAGACGTCAATCTTGCTGCCTCCGTTGGAGGTTTCCATGGTCCACAGCTGGCGCTTGGAACGCACCACGCCTCCACCACCCCCCGTGCCACCGACGACGACGAAGACGCCGTTCCTCAGCTTTCCATACTTCAAACTGCGGGTGTGCAAGCTCGCAGCACCGTCCTGGTGCAGCTGCTGGACCTCGGCGACGAGGAGGTCGCCCTCTGAGAAGAAGCTGCGGATTTGGAGCTCGTCCGTCTCAGTGCGCTTGCGGAGGATGCCACCGGGGAGGTTGATGGCAGAGATCTGGAGGATGGCGAGCTGGGCGGCGGCGACATCGACGCGCCAGCGTTTGGCCTGGACCTCGACGATGCGGCCGACAACGAGGTCACCGATCTCGGGGTTGTAGCGCGCCCTCAGGGGACGCACTGAGAGCAGCTTGTTGGTGCGGGTGAGTGTGCCGGCAAGAGAGGAGGTGATGGAGGTGGTGTTTGGAGGGACGTATGTGCCGTGGCCACTAAGACAGATTAGCAAATGATGGATTATTCAATTGCTTTGGTACTGTGAGCGCAGATGTTCTTGTGAGTATCATGGTGTTGATACTCAAGACGCCAAGTAATATATAGGTTAAGAAAGAAAAGAACATGAGAGGGATTGATGAAGAGAATAGGTGATATAGTAGGAGTAACAGTACCGCATCCATTGAGCATTCGACGTGATTACTGTTCCGGGAGTGAGAATCTCGTCTCTGGTATCGGTCTGCTCTTCATCTTCATCCTCTTCATCCACATGCATGCTCTCGCCGTCGTGCATGGGAATGTCGCCCTCAACCGCTGCGCCGCCATTTTCTGAGTCCGACTCCGAATCTGAGGGAACATCCATATCGATGTCTACCGCACGCGGCCGCCGCGGTGCCGGCGCGTTTGGCTGCGGGTTGTGAATCGTGATGGGCATGGCGGGCTGTGAGATGATGGTTTTTTTTTTCACTTGTTTTTCTTATGGCCGAGGAATTGAAAGGCGAAAGGGCGCCAATACTTGGCGGCTAGCCTGCAAGAGACTAAGTCTTGTTGTCTCTCGGTAGACGAGCACGATTATTGTACTTTTGTGTGGTGGATTGATGCCTTTGTGTTGATTTAGTCGTTTGAGTTGATGCTCTTTGGGTTTGTATGAAAAAGTTGGTATGAAAGGTTGAAAGTGGAGCCTGCGTTTGGTGCCGGCGGCTTGGTTTTTGTTTGATGAGCCACCAGAGGGCAAAGACGGCGAGCCTTCCAGGGCGAATGATACAATATTACCACAGAAAATTGACTACATTCGCCTTTACAGCTGAGACGATTAGAATTTCAGATGAATTATAAATAAAATTTCTGAAAATGGTGCCGTATCTACTACATAGAGGACTTGAATGTCATGCGACAGTAGCTGTACGGTAGAACGTCTTACTTCTTGCGTACCTACTGAATAAGTGCAATCTAATTTTGATGTGGGAGCCAAATCAAGAGAAGAGATAATTCAATCCGTATATCTACTTAGGTAGCTTGTTTTCCAAGGCCTGAGATCGCGTGCGCCGTTTTCCGAGATATCATCTCCATATGCCCGTGCTTAATCATACATGAGGTAGTACACTAATATACATAAAGACGGCTGTTGATATTAACCCAATGACCGTGGCCGTTTGGGCACAAGACTTCCATTCGTACTTATATTCATGAGCGAATGGCGCCAAAGCAGAGCGTAGCTCATTCCTTCTTCCATGGGTCATTCATCGTATCCTGCAAGGCATGTACATCGTAGATCCTTTTAGGTTGTTTGTGCAACGTGATAGGTAGAACGACCGCATTCTCACAGCTGCAAATAAAGACTTCAATGCCTCATTCTCATTTCAGAGCTCTCCAAAGGCCCATCCATGCGAGACCGGCCGAGATGGTGACGATGCCAAACCTCCGGCTCCTCATGCCGAAGATAGACTTGCTCTGAAGAATGGCAGCCTGTTGCTTTTCGAGCTGCGACATGCCTGAGAAGTAGCTATATCCCGCAAGGCAGAAAAATGCACCACTCCCTAGGTATTTCCTTGTCAGCCTTTCCTTGTCCACACGAGACTGTCCTCGCATGAAAGCATTACCAACCTATCACTTTGCAGCTCAAGCAGTCATCGCCGCGGTCCTGGCGTAAAATGTCCTGAAGCCGCTCCGGTTTCTCAAGCGACTGAAGAGTCGGAATCTTGTCGCCGGCCATGTTGAAGAAGCCGCTGGTGCAGTGGTTGAGGCACTCAAACTCGAGGCAAGGATCAAGGACAATTCGATAAGAAACGCCTGATAGTGGTGGGTTTTCAAGCAGCTCGTGCAGCGACGGGAGGTGATTGGCGCAGCTGCGTTAGTCAGCGCAATCCACCACCGAGTTTCGTCATGCTTAGTTGCGCGACTGTAATAGCTAGAGCTTGTGGCATTGAACCTTGGACAAGGCGCTGAGCCGTCACCATGAACGGCGTTATTGAGGCGCTGCACATCTACGATGACAACAGGTAACCTCTGAGCACCTGGAAGTCATTTTCAAACACTGCTGACAGGTGTAGGAATCCCATTCTATCGCATACCTATACGGGACGGCCCCTCTCAGCTTCCCACCTTCTGTCTCTCTATCTCGAGCATCCGTTTCCTCGGCCGAGCCTGATCTACCTCCCCAATGCGAACCCTCCGACGCTCGTCTTCAGCCTGACGCACTCCAATCTACTGTTCTTAGCCACCTCATCAACCGAAATCGAACCCCTCCTCGTGCTCGAGTTCCTCCACCGGATCGTGGACGCCTTCGAAGACTTTGTGGGGGCACCGTTGCTGGCTGTCAAGCTAGAAAACAACTACGATGTTGTCGCTCAGCTTCTAACGGAGATGTGCGATGCAGGGACCGTCAGTACGACGGAGCCCAACGCTCTACGAGAAGTGGTGGAGATGGAAGGCTGGGTCGATAAGCTGCTGGGTAGCATCAACTTACCTGGGTATGTGCAGACCTGTAACACTTCGGCGGTCGATGGGTATGCTTCTCTCGACTAACTGCGTAATAGGAAAAATCCACTCAACACAAATTCAAACACACCGTCCCTGATAGCTTCCAACACGCCAGCGCTGCCTTGGAGACGGGCCAACGTACGGCACACGTCAAACGAGCTCTACGCCGATGTCGTCGAAACCCTCTCCGTCACGCTTGCTCCTTCAGGGAGGCCTCTAGCCGCATTTGCCAATGGTACAATCGCATTTACGTCAAAGGTGTCAGGCGTTCCAGATGTTCTAGTGACCCTGAGCAGTCCGTCGGGAAAACATAATATCGGTGGCATCATGGAACTACCCGTCTTCCACCCGTGCGTTCGGCTGAACAAGTGGAATGAACGACCTGGAGAATTGAGCTTCATACCCCCCGATGGACGATTCATCCTGGCTGGCTACGAGGTCGACCTGTTACCATTTACAAGTGGTAAGAGTGGGGGCGTAAACTCAAACAATCTCAAGCTTCCCGTCAACCTTGAGATGAAAACCGGGCTTGGGCCTGTGGGATCCGAATTTGAAGTCAGGCTGCAAACCAACAAGATTTTTGGCACCCCCAATTCATCATCAGCAGTAAGCCAGCTGGGGCGTGCAGGCGTACCTGGAATTCCTGGACGGTTGTCATCGCCGCATCCTGGAACTCCGAGCTCGCCACTGCTGGACGATTTGACAGTCACTATTCCTCTACCTGAAGACGTGAGGAACCTATCTGATATCAGACCGTCTAGGGGAGACGCAAGCTTCAACAGGGCCGAGGGGAGACTCGAGTGGCACATCCCCGCAAAGGAGATATCTGGCCCGACGTCTCATTTTGGATTGAGGTGCACGGTAGTAGGGTCTCTAGCTGATGACGATGAAGGGGAAGAGTTTGATCCCACGGGATTCGGGTTTGGCACCGACTATTCATACAACGAGCCATACCAAAGCACACCGGCTGCCAAAAAAGGCAAGGAAAAGCAGGGCGCGGATGATGAGCAAGACCCTAAGAGGGTAGCGCAGAACAAGATCCTGATGCCCAGCTCGGCATCTGTAAGCTTCTCCGTCAAAGGTTGGCTGGCAAGCGGGTTGAAAATTGAGAGCATTGTAATAGACACAAGGAAAAGCCGAGGCCTGGGTGAGGGTGTGAAGCCTTACAAGGGCGTCAAGTATTTGACAGTTAGCAAGGGAGGAGTAGAGATTCGCTGCTAATAGACTGCTAGACTGAGGTCGAACTGCGTTTCTCGCTATTGTTATTTAGCAGTATCCTTGTTTAAGCATGGAGGCACATGGAGTATCATTTGCTCCGTGTTGGGATTTGAATAGTACAAGTCGATCAATACCCGAATCAAGTCCGGAGCAGCCTCACCTTTATTAACATCCCCTGGCAGCAGCACACCATTAAATGCCGTCAACAGATCCTTTGGGCCCAACAATTTCAATTGACCCAACGAACAGCTGCAGCATCCAGCAATCGGAAGCTCTTAAAAGATGCCGGAATCTTCAGCCCTTTGGCATTGCCGTAGCCAAGGTATTTGCTAGTGCCGATGCTACAGCTCGGTGACAGCTCGGGAACAGCCACTTATAACGCTATACCCCACGTGCTTCTTATCCGGGTGCGTCACTGCTCCTTATCCTCGAGTGAGCTTCTGCAGCACTTCACTTCTGTTTGACCATTCCATTTTCACCCTGTCATGCTGATTCTGGCCGTATAAAGCACAACCATCGAGCAGAGAGAAGGCGGAATCCCCGTGGTTCCAACATTGGCCGTCGCGAGGCCATGAAGCGCTTTGGAGGTGCTGTTCTGCATTGCCGGCGTAGCGCGAGGGTCAGCCGAGATGCGTCATCGCTGACCTGGGCTTCGCGATGCTGCGCGCCGGCATCTGGCGGGCATTCAGTGCGATGGAGCTCGAGCAGGCCTGGAAGGCCGCGGACGGCGATTTTCTTCCCGGGTGAGCTTTGCCTGTGCGATTGCCGAGGTTAGAACACGAGGAGCTCTTTGTGACTGATGCGAGCTTGCGCGAGGGTGGACAGGTCAGGGAGTGCAAAAGGTTGGCATGCTGTCGCCTTGGCTGGAGGCGTTTCCCTCGACGGCTTCGCAGATTATCGAAGAGATTGACCACTGCGCCGGGTTCAAAATCTCCGACGTCATACAGAATGGCCCGTCCAAAGTGCTCACCCAGACGACCATGGCCCAGCCGGCCATCATGGCCACGTCCATCTTCATACTGCGTATCCTCGAGCGCGAGTTCAATTTCCGAGTTGCCGACCATTTCGACTTTACGCTGGGCCATTCCCTGGGCGAATTCACTGCATTGGTCGCTGGAGGATACATTGCCTTTGAGGACAGCTACTATTTAGTGCAGCGGCGTGCGGCTGCGATGTCGGAGGCGACGAAGAAGGCTATACAGGAGTATGGAGGCGAGTACGGCATGGTGGCTGTGATTACAGAACCGGAATATCTACAAGGCCTGATCAAGGCGATTCGGGATTTCGTCGGGCACTCGAGCGATGGGAGCAAATCGGAGAGCAACCAAGATGTACCGCCGATTGAGCAGGTGTTGATCGCCAACATCAACAGCAAGAACCAGATCGTGTTGAGTGGTAACATGGAGAGAATCAAAATGCTTATAGCGCATGTTCGCCAGTTCCTGGGCCACGACCCACGAGCGGTGCGACTGCACAGCGACAGCCCCTTCCACAGCCCCATCATGAAGCCTGCGGTAACTGTCATGAAGACGCTGCTGGAGAAGAAGAGCCGCGTCCCAGGCCGAGAAAACGAGGATATCGTTACATTCCCAGGACTGATGCCGTGCATCAGTAATGTCTCTGCCAGACCATTCCAAAGCAAGGAACAGCTAAAGGATCTCCTGGCGAGAGGATGCCTCGAGACGGTTCGATGGTGGGCGGCAATCAAGTACCTCGACCAAGAGGAGAAAGTCCGGCGATGGGTTGGTATCGGCCCCGGCAAAGTGGGCAGAAACCTGGTAGGAAAGGAGGTGGGCATGAGAGGAAAGGATCTCGTCAAGGGAGGAGGCGTATGGGCGATTACAGACCCGTACGAGGTGGAAGAGGTGCTACGAGGATTAGAAGAGACGGCAAATATCTTAGATGATGAAGATGAATGAGGGATGATGGCTTATAGATTAGTAGGTTGGAGGAGTCTGTTCCAGTATATATATATCTAGGGTTCCGTGTATGAGTAGGTAGGGTAAGGTGAGCGGAAGATGACGAGCACATTGGCATGACGGATGCGCCCAAGGGTGTTATTTTGTAGCCGAATTGTAATATTGTTTAATGAAGTCTTCTTTATAATTCTTATATTTCAACTGTAGCGATAAAAAAAGAAGGAATCTTTGTTCCTATGTCAGGCGAGAAACGTGAAGCTTTTAGACATGGCCGAGGCCAACCCCCACCAAGATGGCTGCCCGTACTTTATACGTGCATCCTAATCCTTGCCCACTGCAGCTAAGCTCCTGCACCTCAACATCAACCGCAACCTCTACAAACCACACACCAACGAACCATGTCAGCCGCAATACCTTCTGTCGCCTGCCTCGGCGTCATCGGGCGCAACGTAAGCTTAGACTTCTCTCCTTTCTCTCTCTAGAAGCCAGAAGAGCGCAACAAGATTGGGGCCAGCAAGCTGACGAAATCGCGCCGCAGAACAACCCCCTACACATCTCCATCTTCCCTTCCTACGATCCAACCGCCAACAGCTTCACGCCGATCCGGAACCCTCTGCAGTTCTCCCTCCTGCTGTCCTCGACAATCGACGTCTTCGACTTGCGATCCAAAACCAGCACTGCGTCGGGCGACTTTGGGCTCCTGCACGCCATCGACGACCGCCTCGCGGCGTACGGCTTCGAGACCAACACGGGCGTGCGGATGGTCTGCATAGTGGACATGCGCGGACGACGCGTCGAGGCGGGAGGGAGCGGCGTCGCAGGGCAGGGCGGCGGCGCGGCGGGAGCTTCGACAGCTTCCTCGACTTCGGCCTCGGCGGCGGCGGCGCGATCGTCTGTGGGGAGCGTGGGCGCGGGACTGCGGGATTCGGAGATCAAGCCGGTGTTTAGGGCGATGCAGAGCGCGTATGTGCGGCTGCTGCAGAACCCGTTTTACGATCCGGACGAGCATGCGCCGCTGGGGGGGAAGGGTGGGCGGAGGATCACGAGCAAGAAGTTTGGGGATGACATGAAGAGGATAGGGGAGGCGTGGACGCCGGGAGTGACGACTTTGTGAGGATGAGCATGGGAAGAGAATGGTGGGAGTGAGAGAGGGGGGAGGCTGTGATAAAGGGTAGGGCGATTGGGCATTTGCATTGGCGTTTTTGGCGGATGGGCTGGCTACTTCATGATATCCATGATTGATATGGTGTACAACTAGCGAGATTGCGAGATGTCGTTTGGTTTTTGGCCCGGGCATTGTTTTTTTCCTGTCTAGGGCATGTAGGATTTTGTAATGGTTATGGTCCATCTTCAATACATCTCTTGAAATCTTCAGCCGTCTATACCTATCAAGTACTCCATGACTACTAGATACGTAACTTCTATATGTCATACATGTCCCTTTGCTTACTCCTTCACCTCGCTCTGCTTCTTCAGATGCTCAATTCTCCATTTCGATAGTCCCGCTACCTCTTCTACCTCTACACTCTCCCCCATCTTCTCTACGCTATCCACGGTCTGCTTCGCCATGGGCTTCACTTTGTACGGTTTCGACGCCTCTCCCCCTTCCCAGTGCCGTGCCTCTACTGTCAACGGCTGCCACCAGTCCCCCGTTCTAGCATGCCACCTCGCGCTGCACAGCTCCCATAATCGCGACGCCGCTCTCTTGTAAGCAAAGCGCTCGTCTTCTCCCGTAAAAGCGCCCGTGTTGCCAAAGTCCACTGCCCGCTTCTGCAAGCCAAAGTCGGAATCCTGGTCCGGATCGTACTTTGACGTCGCAGATCTGGTGTTGTAATAGGACACGTTTGGACGGAAGGGGGAGATTTGGTCCTGATAGACTTCGGCCACGGTTTCGGAGTATGTTGCGTCGTCGGCGCCAGTGTTTGCATTCCCGCTGCTTTCGTCGGATTCTCCTGATGATCTTGTAGGCAACGATGCCTCGGGGAAGAAGAGATCGTCAGGCGGGGTTTCGGCGCGGATGATGAGCTTGCAGCGAGCTTCATACATGGCGTCGAGGAGGGTGATGAAGCGCCTTGCTTCGTTTTTGCTTAGGATGGTCAGCACGGGGACGCGGTCGATGATGAATGTGTGGTAAGTGGATGCCATTGTGAGATAGTCTGCCGGCCCGAATGATTCGACGAGTTTATCGAAATTCCAAAACACGAAGCCGTTGTAATGAAGTGGTGTAAGGACTTGACGCCCGTAGACGATGAGCTTGGACGGCTCCCATGGGATTGGCTCGCTGTTGGATCCTGAAATGGCTTCTTGAACTTTCTGTGTAAACGTTTGCCCGTCTTCATCAAAGAGATGATAGTAGTGTGGCCTCTTTTTGGTCTTGCTCTCATCTTCCGTCTTTTCAGCTGGAGTGGTGATGCGCACAACACCATTGGCATCTTCCAACTGATTCACAGAGGCATCAGGGCTGGAATGCTCTTCTCTACGCCGCCAATCTTGGACTCCCTCCATCTGCCAAAAGTCACATCTAGCCTTGAGGACCTCAAGAAATGCAGCGAAATCACTCGACTGGCCGAAAAGCTCTCCTCGATTGCGCGTCGCGCTTCCAAATATCTTTCCCATGATACCCCTCGATGTCGGGGCGTAATCAATGCCCGAGGCTTTCTGCAGCTCCTCGGGCATCCGATTTGATGATGCGACAAGGACTCCACCGAGTTGGAAGAAGGTAACAAATAAGTTGCTGAGGATTTTACTAGCAGCACGATCCGGAAGCTGGAATTCGTCTAGGAAGAGAATTGGAGACTCGTCGATGAGTTTCTTGGCCATCCAAAGGAGCGAATATTCTGCGGCTGCATCTGAAGACTGAGGGTGAGACTTTCGATGATTCTCGAGTTGCGATAATGTGTAGAGCATGAACGTATTGAAATGCCATCGCTTCTTCTTTTGCGTTGGCAAGCCCTCAGCCAGAAGATCCAGAAGCATCGACTTTCCCGTGCCAACTTCTCCAGAAAGAAACAGTCCCTTGGGAGAATCAATGTCAATGGCTGTCTGATGATTGGTGAGAACTCGAGTAAGAGCAAGACTCTCTCTGCCCTCAGGCGTGTTGAGAAGATGTTTGAATATGGGGTTCCGCCATATTGCGTGGTGGCGTAGTGCCAGGATACCCTCCCCAGTTTCTTCTTGTGGTGGCTTTTTGGGCTCGGTAAGACGGGCTACTTGATCTAGTCGCTGGCGATACTCAGCCTGAGGAGAGTAGTCTTTTATACGGACATAGATCTTGTGTAAATGGCGTGCCAGGCGGTGTTGGGCCGGGTCGGGGGAGTAAACACCTGCGGCAACGAGAGACTGGTATTTGACCAAAGGGTCGGTGATGATGACGGCGGTGGAAAATCTCCTCATGCTGATTATATGGCTCATCTCTCTAGTTGGTTATAAGTGGCCATTTAGCATGTGATGTCTCAAGATTTCGTGCTTGAAAGATTTGCCATCTACACAGTTACTATCATGGCAGTCCGGCATAGGAGTGAGGGCGCGTGAAAGGGAGAACACAGAACAACGATGAGAATGAAAGACACAAGAGAAGCTCCAAAATGCGAATGAAGAGGGAGATATCCTAGAATGAATTTACAATAAAATCATTGTAGAGCATCCAAATGCAGCCAGATATGCGATTGTCTTAATCGACATTAAAGGATTGTCCAAGCCTAAATTTTATAACACCCGAGGTTGTCTGGCTAGAGGTACTATAGCTGTAGCTTACCCTGGGAGGTTGGCTGGAGTAGCTGAGCTCTTGCCACTACGGTATCTGGATGATGTTAAATACCGTACACTCACGGAGACGCCTTCATGCCTGCAGTAACCCGTGCCTGGTAGCAGTTGTCGGTCCTCCTAGGTGGTTGGTGAATTAATACTGCATGTAATTTACTTGTATCAAGTCGATCAATGCCAATGAGCTACTAGAACCAGGTAACTGCACGGTACTTGAAACCGAAATGGCTTGCGTGTTGGGGATGCGGAGTACCTTTTCATCACAGCAAAAATACGTGCCAGACGTTGTACATGTGCACGGTTCCCCAGGCTTGACTTTTTTTCTCTCCTGGTCACAGATGTCTGACGACAGTGTGATTGCTTCCAGTTTTTCTTTGTTGGTCGTTACCCCGTATGCAAGTACCTTCTGATGCACTAAGAGCCTGATAGGTACCTGCTCCTGAGGTATCGCATGGGTACGTCAGATGCCCAGAGTTCGGCGCGCCAGAGCAATGTTACTTAAGAGGTACCTCTGCTTGTAGTGTACAACAAGTGGAAACCCACGTACCGATGCTGTTCCCGCCTACCGTGCGCTGGCGATTCTGCCCATTTGTTTTTCCACCGCCAGCAGAACCAACGAATCCAAGCAGCTGTTTTGCTTCTCTCACGCACCACACCACATTTGCCCTTTGGCCTGTGGAGGTCAATCTTGCATCCTTCATTGCCCAAGACTAGGCATTTCGGCATGCCCTTTTGAGTCTCTTTCCATCATCGAATCCATCTCCCGCAAACCCCCGGAACCATCAGCTGCTGCCATCGCGACTCGCGCGCCCGGCGCGATCCCTGCGATCTCGAATTCCAGTCCATCGCCTGGTCCAGCCTTTTCGTCAACCATCATGTTTTCTCCATCCGCGAACGAAGGTGGCCCGGCCACGGCGACTCGCTCTCGACGGCGATTGCGCCCCAAGAGCCAGGAGCAGCTCGTGACGGCTCCCAAATCCAAGAGACAGCGCGTGCCTCTGAGCGAGCAAACTTCGACCAACACCGACGCCCAGCCTGAGATGGCCGAGGCCAGACCGGAAAAAGTTGCAACGCCCGTCGAGCCCAAGAAGGATGTCGCTATCGAAAACGCTCCTCCTCCAGTACAACAGACTGTATTGCGCAAGGAGCTAATTGTGCGGACGAAGAAGCCCAAGCATGGCGATCGGGCCGCCCAAAAGGGTGATGGGAGCCTCGTTCTGGTATGCCACAAACTTCATCCCGACTCCCCATGTCGCATCAAGTTCTTCATCAACTCCCCCCCATTGTCGAATGCTAATATATTTTCCCTACTCTTTAGACAAGCACCAATGCATATACTGTCAGCAAACTGCCAGCACTGCCAGACAGAATCCGGAGTGACTGGTCTGGTATGTTTTGCTCAATTTTTTTTTCTCGCACATGCGACATCGCGTTCTAACTTGAGCAGGGAGCCAACACGCCGACATTTTCTCAACATCTGGCTATGCTTTGACACTAACACCTACACATGCTGTTGTTTGGCCCTACAATTCGACCTCGCAATCTCCCGAGACCTTCACCTTCACTCTCCCATCCTCCTCCAAGCCCAACGATGCCCTTCCGGTGGGATGCCTCGTCTCTCCCTCTGCATCATCAACCGAACCTGGACTGGTTGTTGTAATGGCTAGCACCGGCAAAGTTGTCTTTTGGGAATCTATCTCTAGCGCTGCTACGTTCGCCTTCATCAAGAAAGACAGATCCGGCGTCGAGTATCAGATTTATGGAATGTCTTCGGGCGAAAGAGTGGTTGCCATCACCAATGCAGAAACCGCTGGATTCCTCCTAACCTTTAATAGTGGGCGCTTGGCCTACATGAATGTGCGAGATAGCCACGGACGACCGGCAATTTCTGTTCAGTTTTTACGAAGCAACCTTTCGACTTCTACCAGCGGCATATTCGGTACCATTCGCTCTGCCTTTTCGCACCTAAGCCTTAAGGGGGATATTGCAGCTGTCCGGGCTGATAGATCCACGAGAGTTGGTGAAAAGAATATAGTTGCTCTGACAAACAAGGGCAAGCTGCAGTCATGGACTGTTCACCGCGGAGGCCATAGTGAACCGTTTGGCGAGTTCGATGCCCGAGAGTCCATCATATCAGCGCTCTGGGAAGTCGACCCTTTCTGCCGCGACCTTCCAGCCGACTCCTTCGAAGCTATCGACTTTACCTTTGTTCCGAGAGGCATGGAACACAAATACCTAGATCTGAGCAAGCTCAGCGCCGCTACATCTACGGATGACCCGTCCGTTCAGCAACTGCTACTGCTTGTTAGCTTGACTAGCCGAGCCGTCTCCCGTTACGCCCTCGTGGAGGTGATTCTAACGCAGAGGAGATTCCAAGTAGGCATGATTCGACCAATTACCTCCTACACGACGCCAGTTTCCCAGGCAGATTCTATCCAGGCTGTAAGGCCGCGGCTCTATCTGCCACGTCCTGCGCTCGTGGCTTTCGCAGTATTCGACCGCGCTGCGGTAATCGCGTCTATTGCAGTCTCACCAGAGTCTCCTGATTCCCAACTTCAAAGCGACACACACACCCTGTCTCCTTCATTTGAGGATGTCATCGACTTTCGTGAAGATAATGTGCATGAAGTTATTGGATCTGGATTTGAAGAAATGTCGCATGTGTCATCTTCCAGCGAGGAAAGCCGAGCTGCTCGCGCCAAGAGCAAAAACCCAGCCGTGGTATTGATGGTTCGTGGAGCTGGAGTCGTTCGTATTGCGACAACGGATGTGGATAAATTCGCCAGCGATCAACCGCCGCAGGTTTCCGCCAAAGGGAAACTCGAACAGGCCGTCTTCTTTGGCACTAAGAAGAATAACCCTCTGGTTTTCAGTGCCCGCCAAGAAGTTACGTTTTCAAAGGACGAAATTGCGCAGGCGGCGCAAGAAGTCAGCAACGAGATTCTGAGTTCGACTACCGCATATATGTCTACCTTGCCTGCGTCATTGGAAGAAAATCTTGTTGCACGCTCGAATGCTTTGGAGAAGCTTATCCTTCACTTGAAGGCTACTGGCACCCCTCTGGACCGCAAAACACGCTGGAGTCTGTTATACAATGCTGAAAAAATGCACGTAGCAACGCTCCTTTGGAAACGACAGGAGGCTTTTGTCGCAGCACGCCCGTCTGACAGCAAGAAGAGCTTAATCGGATACATTGTTGAGTTTATTCATCAGGATCAAAAGCACAACCCCAGCGCCGAAATTGGCGAAGTTGATCGTATTCGACACTGGTTCATCAACGACATATTCCGTCTTGAGCTCTTCGTGGCATGGGCGTACGAGGTTATTAAGATCTTGTACAAGGACAAGCTGCTGGATGACGCCAAGGTGACAATGATGATTTCGGAGGCACTTCAGATCAACATATGCGCTCTGCTTGGAGCTCTGGAATTCCGCAAAAATAACCTTGCGTTCTACGGGCTGGGTGACGAGAAGTTGAGACTGGGCATCTTGCGTGATGGATACGACGGCCTCCCTGAGCCATGGACAGGATGCCACTACGTTGCCAACAACGTTGCGCGCTTAGTTGAGCTCTCAGATCAATGGTATCAGAAATGGTCAAGAGCGACAGATGAAAAAGCGAAGCCATCAAGCAAACCAGATCCTGCCATCATTTCTAAGATTTACAAGGACCTTCCATCGGCCATTGATGGCATGCTCACTTCTATTCTGGAATACGCCCGATGGGCTGAGACGACACCGGACCAGAAATCCATGGGCCAAACTTTTGCCAAGGAATATCAAAAAGAAAGGTATAACAGACCTATCAGCCTTGGACGAGCAGGTAAATGGGAAGAAGGAGCTGCTATCGCCGAAAAACATGGCTGCTTAGATGGCCTAGCAGTCATCCTACTTGATCATATCGAAGAATTGGAGCTGATACTCAGCGAGCCTACACTGTCTACTTTTGAGTCACAAAACTTGAGGGTTTTGAAGAAGAGAAAGGAAGCAGAGCTTGAAGAAAGGTTCACTCGATATGGTCAAGAATTCGCCTTCCCCGTTTATGAGTATATGCTCGAAAAGCACGGAGTTGATGCTGTGTTGGCATTTGGATTGGAGACATTGGGCTACAAGACTCGGTTCCTTCGCAGCAGGCCCGAATTGGCACGGATATCATGGATCAATGACATTCAGCAAGAGCAGCAAGTCGGCCATGCTGCAGAGACGCTTATCCATCTCGCTCTGGAAAAGGAGCACCAAGTGTGGAACAAGAAAATCGAGCTTAGTCTTGGAAAATTGGCCCTGTTGGCTGAGAAAGAGAAAACGTCGCCGCCTTCGAGCTCCAAGCCCAACACAGAACTCAAACTTGAGCAGAGATTGGCGCAGGTTGACAAGGAGCTCATTACGGTTAAGATCCAAGATCAGCTCTACGCCCAGGTTTTCCCCAGTACTTACGATGCCGTTGACGAAGCAGCAGCTTTGAATCTTGCCATGGAGGCTCACGGTGCAAATGTGCCCAAACGCCAAAAGGCTCTGCGCCAGGTTTTCGAGGATGGCATGGAAAGACTGCTTAAGCATGAAGCTCTTGATGCCATGACGCTGATTGACCTGTTGACACTCGTGGAACTCTCATCAGAATCCCGAGAAGAAATAGCACATCCGTCTTGGTTGGCTCTTAAGGTGGCCGAGAGCAGTTGCACCGGCGATGAACTCCGAGAAGCTAAACGGCTCATCTGGAGGAGGCTGTTTATCCGGGACGACTGGTCAAAGATCAACGACACGCAATTGAAGGATGACCGAGAAGTGGTGGAGAGACTAGCAAGCACTGAGCTGTACGCAATGCTTTCAGACTGCATTCAGTACCGTGAGTAGAGCCAAGAAGACAGGTATATGAAAGAAAGAGAGCTAACGCAACCTTACAGAGACTGCCACCAGTGTCTTCAAGCCCATGTCGCCTCAAGAAGCCCTTGGTGCCTTTTCAGAGCATCTTGATAGCCGTTTCCGCGACTTTGAGGCGGGCATGAGGTCTAAGCTGATTGACGCTATGCATCACGAGGACAAGCTCCTCAGACAATATATCGAAAAGAATCGCCTGACGGAATGGGAACGCACCGCTCTGGAAGCGGCCCAAGCCCAGCACATCAAGGAGAAGGCAGAGAATGCCATTCCTCCCATGAATCTGTCGACGCCCCTGTTGGGCGGCGATCTCAATACTAGCACTAATGGTAAGGCCTTGTAACTGGCCACGCGGAGGAAGAAACAAGATGAGGGGAGGAAGGTTCAGAGAGACAAAATCGGGTTCAACGTGAAGAGGGAAAAAGACGTAAAGAGAAATGACTTGACAAATTTGTGTCATTGGGCGGCGTTTGGCTAATTGATTGATGTTCATCTGGTCTCATCGATGCTGTACAATAAATAAACTAAATAGGGGGGGGAGGAGGAAACGAAATGAGGGAGGAAAGGGGGGGAGAAAGAAACAAAAAAGCAACGAGGCCTGCTATACACAAGGCACTCGAGGGTATTATCTACTAGTTTTACGACACAGAATGCTTGCTTTTGTTTTTATGACTCCTTGGGTTGGAGAATACAATGAGGCACTGAGGTGCCTATTTTCTTTTAATACCGAGTCCCTTTGTGTTTGAGATTGTGCATGTCCAGTAGGATAAGGATTTTGAGAGAAGAAGGGCTAGTAGAAGACTACATTTGGCTTTTGATAGAACGGCTGTCGAGAGTTTTTGGGGATTATCCAAGTACTACAACAGTTTTGTTACTGAGATCAAAGAAGAATCGTGTGTACTCATTTTCCTGCCAGCTTCAAGTATCCGGTCCCAATCTCTCTGTTTTCTCTCAGGAAGTAATAATGATATACGTATCGATATTGTCAACAAAACAAGAGATCGCCAACATATCGCCTCTCATTGTTTGGTGGCGTGTATAGACAGTTCATCTACAAGTGGAAAAGACACATGGCAAGTCTGCACGAATACGTAGATATTGACCCCCGCCATTCCGGAAGAGACAGCTCTGTGTCAAACGTCAAATCATTTCGGCGTTAGGCATATGACAACCGCTATGTATCTCATCTGTTCCATGTCCATAGTAGATCAAGAGTAACTTGCTTTGTACTTCCCCTCCCCAATATAAACACAGCCTTTTTAGCCCTTGCATCTTGGGCTTACCGCTTTTCCCTCATTCCTCCCGCAACCTGATACCCCACTTCACGCCCTGTTTGACACTATGTTGAGGGCATAGGATGATAACCGAAATGGTGTCTCAAATCGATCCAATAAGGCAGAATTTGCCGTTGCAGAAACATCGCTTTGAAAATCAAGCACCTTATTGGATATTGAATGCATACGCACGCGTATAGAAGCAGGGCTAACCTTAACCCTGCATCTTCTTTCTCTTGCCGATCTGGGCAGAGAAGCCCGTCTTGATGGCCGTGACACTTCGTCGTGAAGCGCAGTTGTTGCAGGTGATGAAGTAGAGACGGTTCTCACCCTTGTTGAGCTCGGTATCGGGGGACCTGCATGTTTTGCAGGTAACGTACTCGACTGAGAAACAGTTAGTATGAAATAATTTAACCAAGTTTAAAGAACGAGGAAGGAGTGGATGGGAGATGGGAGAGTAAGGGATTGCGATAGGAGCGAAGAGGATCCTAGTCTTGGGTCCGGGATGGACAGTATGAGGCTCCTCCCTCCACTCCACTCCACCGCCTATGCGTAACGGGGTAGACGTACTGATGTATTTTCTGACGACGTTCTCAATCTGCTTCTGCTGGAATCGACCCTTGATGACCAATCTCCTATTTCCGTCAACGGAGCCGTTTGTGCCCAACTCGGCAAACAGGTAGGCGGTGAGATGTTCTTCAGTTCGCTTCATGCGCTTGCTGATGTCGGCAATGTTGGCAAAGACAGTTTTCCTGTTGCCTTCACGCATGCACTGAGGAGGGGGAATCTTGTAGCTCTTGGTGCCGCTGAGCGAGTGGTCGGGGTTCTTTTGTGATAGGACGGTGAAGAAGCGGGAGAGCAGCATGGTATAGGGGATAGTCTTGGACTCATCGTGGGTCCAGACACCGGTGCCAGTCTCCATGTCACCCTCATCCTCCTGAGCTGCCTCCTCGGCCTCTTCGGCGTCCTTAACCTCGAGCTGCTTCAGCTTGGCAGTGAACTCATCTTCCTCAGCACCTTCGGCCTTCTTGACCTTCTTCTTCTTCTTCTTCATGGTCAGGTCGAGACCTCCATCTTCGGCGGGGGCGGCGCCATCCTCAGCATCGGCATCGGCGTCGACGCCCTCAACCTTCTTCTTCTTCTTCTTCTTTTTCAGGAGAGACAAGTCAAGGCCGCCATCTTCGGGAGGGGCAAGTTCGTCGGCGGCGGCTTGAGATGAAGTATCAGCAAATGCTTCGAGGGCGGCAGACAGAGGCGGCGTACGAGGCGTGTGTGACTGAGCCGTCTCCTTGGGTTCCTCGACAGCACTCATGATGGTTATTGAGCCGTCGGTCTCGACTACGAGTTGCTCGTCGGTGAAGGCAACGGATTTACGGGACGGCTTGCGTTCGAGTTGGTCCTGCGTAGTGGGGGAAAACAAGAGGGAAAACGTTAGCAACGCCGGAGGGCTTTTCTCGTGAAGGAATTGAAAGGTGTAAAGGAGATAAAGGCAGGGACAAAAAGGGAAAATCTCAAAAGGGATTAGGCGGGGGAGTGGTACAGTACTGGTGCTGGTGCTGGTGATGCCTGGTGATTTGTGATGCCGTCTAAATGGCAAAGGCCGTGACTCAGAGGTATGACAAGGGAGGAAGAATCATCGGGTGGATGAACAAAATGTCCGTGGTGAGGTTGGTGGGGTAAATTTGCAAGTGATTGGGGCTATTTTTTGCGTGGCCGGTGCTGGACCTTGTGGGCTGTGGGAGGAAGAAGAGGGGCAAAAAAATGGTGTAGAAAAAGGCAGAGGGAGAGTAGAGCAGAGCAGAGCAGCTGGAGTGGCAACGCCAGGGCTAGCTTGCTTGGCCCAGAAGGTACATGTAAAGAAGGTTTCCATTGAAAACGGAGACACCTCTCTTGGTTGGTTGTACCCAAACTGTAGTGGTGCAGCGGAGGGTGGCAGACGTCAGACTTACCAGTACTTCGTTGTCCATGATTGCGGTGGTTTCTTGACTTTTCTTTGCCTTTTTGTCTTGATTGTCCTTGGCTTTGCCTTTTGACAGATCAGGTCTGCGAGCTAGAGAAAAAGCCCCTCTCTGTGCGCAACGTTCCCTCTCAACCGCTCAGTCCAGATGCGTGTCCTTTCTTGCGTCGCTGCTTGATACTGAAGCTGGCCGCTTATAGGCGCCGAGATGTCGAGTCGGCAGGCGATGGCTGACGCTTTGCAGGCAAATATGCGCGTATCTGCACGACGATGGCGTTTCCTGCAGAGGCTCACTGGTCCTTGTTGTAGCTGCAGAGGGAAATGTCGAGTGAGCAGCGCTGGGTGAGAAGGTTGACAAGTTTGAGTCAGCTGCACGTCATGTCATGGGCCGTTGTTTGGGCCGATATTCACGGAGCTGCTGGGCACTGATGTGATTGCACGGGCGGAGTCGCACCAAAAGAAGGAGGTGTGTCACGTGAGCCGACACTGTACGATAAGATAACAGCTGCTAGGCCAATTGAAGTTGCTGGGACGTACCTCAGGCCTGAACTGAACCGCAGCGCTGCAAACCTCCCGAGGCGGGCCAGTTGCAGCCGCCCTTCGGCATCAGTAGATCGGAACAAGCTCCACTGCGATTGCGAGACTTCAAGACCGTTCACGACGTCTATCCCATCCACCGAGACAATCCAGATCCAGCAGTCGCCCGCATCTCCATTCATGGCCTAAGATCTCCGACGACGCCGTAAAGCGCTCTGCCCTGCCACCTCTCGTTCTTCCCATCGGGTCTCTCTCCCCATAGAACAACCACAACCGCCCATCCATCTTCTCTCCCCTTCGGAACCTCGTCGCAATGGCCTCAGACGAGTCCCTCGTCGACCTCCACGCCTCCTCCATCACCGACGACAAAGATGACGTCGACTCTCTCCCCTCCGATTCCACCAGCGATCTCTACTCCGAGGCCGACTCCGAGGCGCAGGCAGAATGGGACCGCAGCCTTGAGCAGCTCCAGCTCCTCCTCACCATGATTCTTGTGCCGTGGGTGGGGAAGCTCTTTGGCCGCAAGTTTGCGTATTGGAGTGAGTCGCACCGGACCGGACATCTCCTACTTTTCCCCTCTGCATGGGCTCAGTTGCTGACGATTGATCTCGCGCCTAGGCTGGGGTAAGTACATGAACTGGGTGCACAACGTAGACGTGCAAGTTACGAACAAGAAGTCGTTCAATGCCGCCGGCGCTGTGGCCGCCACTTTATAGCCGTCCCTCGGATTAAGAATCATTCGGCGTTTTTGGATCGATTGTTTGTCTTCACAGGCTAGGAATGGGAATGCATAGATTGATTCCGGTTCGATATAGTATAAACGTCAATCCGATAAAACATCAAGAGGCGCCGCTACCACATTTTCGGCCAAATCTATGATCAAGCAAAGCCTTGGCAACACATGCTCGAAAGCACGAGGGACATCTACTGTCAGGAACAACACCACATGTAGCGCGGCACATTCGGTGTCACGAAGAGAAATGGTAATGGGCAAGAATAATGTATATATAAACATGACTTTGTTATTCATCCCTCAATTACTACATTAGTTATCATTTCCATAATACTGTCCCTTTCCTGCCAACCTTTGGCAATACCAATCCGATACCGAATATTGCCCATCGTAAATGTACGTGCTAATACAGCGTAACTTCATATACCCGCCCAACCCATCAACTTGGCACCCATTAAAACATGTTGGCTTCTTCCAGACAGAGCTCTACTCGCATGCGTTGAATTGAGAGAACATCTTCGCATTAAATCTAGCTCCCTCAATTGCTAGGTGATCCACCGGGGACAAAAATCCTGTTGATCAACAACAATATTCCTCCCATAGCGAGGGATGTGAGGGGAAAGGACAGTGGAGAGGCTCCTCGTCGAGCACACTTAGACCTGCGACATGGCAGGCCGAGATGATCGCGAAGAGCGTGAAGTCCGGATCGACCCGCCAAAACCGCCGCTGCCCTTAGAATCCAGGATGGTGATGGCCAAGAGCAAGCTAAAGCACACCCAAAGGAACCACATGAACGCAGTGCTGGCCTGGATCTCACGGCACCTCCTCTCATCGTGGTGAGAGCCGAAGCCGATCCAGTCGCTGGGCAAGTGAGCACCGGAAATGTTGCCGCAGTTGGGAGCCCGCAGCTCGGCGGCCAACACAATGGCGCAGATGAAGGTGAGCAGCGTGGCAAAACCGTCCCAGAAGACGAGCGCAAGGGGCACGGCGAGGCTGACGACGAAGACTGCGACAAGGCCGTAGAGGAGCGCAACCCATGACCAGGCGGCGACGAACATGGTGAAGTTGATGGTTTTCATGTGGCCGTTGACATTGGCGGCGATGACATTTCCGATGAGGGCGGTGATGAGCAGGGTCCAGATGAGTGCGATGATGCGCAGGAGGATCTTGAAGAGGTTGGACATGGTGGCGGTGAGGTCCAAGCTTTCGATTTTGACTGTTTTGATGTTGATTTTGGTTTGATTCAATTCAATTGGCGATCCAACAGTCCGTCGCGAATTGTGGGATTGATCTTCCGCCGACCTGGCAGGGGGAGGGCGTGTCTTTTCTTTTCAAGCGGCGGAAATGCCTGTCCGTGCAATTGGAGCTGGTCTGCACAATCGGTGAAGCACACACGGTAGCGAAGCTAATAAGGCTAGAAGCACTTGAGAGCCAAGTGTATTATGTTGGCGATGTTGTGTTTTGGCTTGGTTTAGAAAATTGTTACGGATTCAATTGAAGCAGAAAAAAAGACACGACGCTGCACACGAGAACCGTCGAGGCAGAGACGCAAGCGATTCAAGAGTGGGAAAGGCGTGATGCAAGAGTGTCGACCGAGCAACCAACGGAAAGGAAGCTTATAAGGTGACATGGGCGGGCAGTGACGTTGTGGGGGGGGAGCTTCGATCTGCCTAAGCTGGGAGGAGGGGCGGGATGTAAAACAACAACCAAAGGACAAAAACAAAGTACAGCGTCTCCGCGATTGGCAGAGACGCTACCTCCAGCGTGTCTCAAAAATGGGCCAAACGAAGGATGGTGTAGCTTCATGCGTCCTTGTGCTGCCGGAGTCCTCGGCACTTGTGGAGGGCTTGCATGACGTTTTGCATCCGGGCGTCGATCAAAAAGTGTCAGTGTGAAGCTTGTTTTTGGGGTTTTTTGTTTTGCCTGTGACTTTGCTGCCATTTTTTTGCTTTGACAAGTTTTGTCTGGGAGAGTCTAAAAATGCCCTGTAAAACACCCTGACGTCACACTCGTCTCAAGCAACAAACAGCCCAGCAAAAAGAATCGTTCACGGTAAAGAGAAGGAAAAATGAAAAATAAATTACAGCCACCAAGTGTTTGTCTCAAATCTTCACCTGGTCCGACACAATCGTGTTTTTGTGTTGCTGCGTGTTGCGGATTGGCTTCATTGGCTGCAGCTGGACCCTACATGAGACAAGATCTCCCTGGTTGGGAATAGTCGCGCGGCAGCTCGTTGGCCAGTGGACAAATCCATGTCGTCATCGCCATCATTGGCCAGGAAGCTTTTCCACGCCCGAAACGGATCCAGCTGGACAAAGGACGCGTGTGATGCTGAGGGGAATGCTGGGATGTGAAGCGCGTGCTCGTGTTCGTATCCTCATCCGTCTTCTTGTTTCAGAGCGGCTGTTTACGTGTACATACTGAGCATAGCATGTGAACAGGTGCGAATGGCCAATCATTGCGCCGCCCATGGGGCCATTTTACAGGACCTCAGCTGAGGCAGAGTAAGATACAACTGCCAATCGGAACAAAAGATGGATGAGAAAGAAAAACATGTGAAATATAGTAGAGGTAATCCGGAGAAATAGTCCTCCGTTATGGATTTCATAGATGAACTCCGGCTAGTCTCACTTATCCACAGCCGGCTCCGAGCTCCGAGTTCCGGGAACCCTAACCGGAGCTCTTCGGTGGTCTTCGGACATCAACGTGGGTCACAAAACCGTTGCATAGCCTTATAAAAAAAAACTTGTGGCAACGTCTGTGCTCGTTTGAATGAGAACTCTATCATGGGTTGTATTTATGCCAGAATCCTCGCCCAAACGGAAAGTTCCGTATGTAGTTACATCCCCCGTTCAAAGGAGGTACACAACAACAGCCCTTGAACTCTCACCGAGAAATCTCCAATTTTCTCCATACCGGCCCTACGGAGAAAAGACGGAAGAAAGAATGGATTTGCTTTCAGGTAACTTTGCTAGAACCTTGTCATTGATCGCTTTCCCTTTTGCCGTCATGGCGACGCAAACCTCCCAAAAGCCGGTGGCAGCGCCCCCCACAAAGGGCTCGTAAAATGACATGCGCGATGGCTACTGTGGCTGGGGAACACTGAAACTCTGCTGGCTCGCCCTCTTGCTTTTTGCTTTTGCTTGATTCTTCGAGGCCCACAGAAGGCCATGCTCTCTGAATCAAGCAAAGCTACCTTTGGGCCGCGGGTAAAGTTGCCGGTTCCCACGTGGTGGCTAGGGTTTCGTGGCTTGTTTTTGACTCCCTCATCCATGAGCCACGACCCTTTCAGCTTGAGAGGAAAAAGCCACCCTTGAGGATACAGAGTTTGGGCTGTTGCGTGGGAATCGAGGTGTGTCGCGTGCGCGTTTCCCACCATCTCTGGTTGGCGGACCACCCAATGATGCTGGGGAAAAGCTTGTCGCCCGTCTCTATGTGCGTATATTCCACGTCACGGAGATGAGGCATGCGGAGGCTTCAATGTGGTTGGATGACATATCGACCCTCTTAAGATATCTTGGCAGATTCCCGAAGATCCGATCGCGTACCCACCACGTTGCTGGTAGTATTTTGATTACGTGGTTTACCAGGCTCCTGGAGCAGATGACAAGAACCTGTATTCTAGGTCAGATATTTTGGCGAGAAGGGCGGAGTTCCGCAGGCGATGGAGAAACCGAGAAAGCCTTACGCTTACCAATGTCGTTTCCTTGCTCTCCTCTCCTATTTTCCAGTAACCAGACAAACGTTTCAATCAAGGGTCAAAACTATTATCAAGATCAGGTAGGACTTGTCTTAGCAGGAAGCTCTCGTCAACTCAGTAGGTAAGATCTCATAGCTTCCTTCATAAAACCGGGAGTTGCCACAGTAGAAACTCTCGTCCGTCGTAACAAGTTCAGAACTGTGTACCAACATTACCTTCTCTTGCTTTGTAATGCCACCAAAGAGAGCCATTAGCCAAAACCCTGTCTCTTGCTGAAACAAAAGACTTAGATTTTTTTTTATTCCGACGTGCGGCGTCGATACATATGCTGCGTGATTCGTCTACTCATAACAAAGTTGATTCAGAAAGCTGCAAGTCAAAGCTACATGTACCTTCAGCAAGTCTTCAATACCACAACATGAGGCTGAACGAAGGTTATTTCAATCCCTTCCGAGACCTCCGTCCTATTTTACAACTTCCTAAACCGGTGAAAAGAAAAACGTGTCGCAATCTCTCCTAAGTTGAGCCGCTGAACGAAAGTATGCTCAACCAACGTGCTGGCTAGCAGCTTGGTGCAAACTCTCTCTCTCTCTCTCTCTCTTCAGGTGGGCGAGCTTTTATGCCGCAGAAAAGTCGGCGAATAGTGGCAACGAGTAGTTGGCCGCAGCGCAAGAAAACTACTTTTGCTCTTTCGGTTCTGTAGCGGCGTTTAAAGGGGGCGATGGACATTTCTCCGCCCAGGCGCGCCTCCAAAGTATGGAAACCGGAGATAATGGCGGGAACTTCTCCCAACGTGGAAGTGGCACCGACATGCCACAGACTTTTAAGCGAACACTAGATATTTCAACTTTTTAGCTGGCGGAGTGTTGATAGAGATGCCAGGCATTAGACTGCGGCTATGGGGGTAGGCTATGCGTCCAAGGCTTAGGACGTGTAGAAGGGGCAGGAAGCAAGTCATGAACATCTAGACATTTTTTCCCCAATAGAAACGGGTAACAACGTGAAATGGAATAGTATGAAAATGTGTAGTGGTGACATGATTCACGCTATTTTGGAATATTTAGGAAGGCTGGAAACAACTGTCCCATTTGTCATGAACAATAATCACACTTCTTATTCCAAGATTAATTCCAAATATTGTAGTACAGGCACTACGATGATTCGAAGCTCAACTCCAAATATTGCCATATACTACAACGGAACCAGTCCCGTAGCGCCAAGTTGTAATGTAAGACGCATAGAACGTGTCATCCTTAGTCAAAGAGACGGCTTCTATGTAGCGGGACGACTATACGAAGCAACAAGACAAGACAAGTTCAAATCAACCGGGCATTCACAGCGGCACCACCCAGGCGATGAAGAAGAAGAGTATATCATATAAGATGTATCAATTGAAAGTAAAAATAAATAAAATAAAATAAAAAACAAAAGTCTATAGGTCCTTCGCTGGTATCTATGTAAAGGAAATTCGTAACAGCATCAAGCTATATTGTAAACACCAAGCCAATCTTTTTTCAAACACCCTTTCCAACCAAGCCTTCCACCTCTATCCACATAATCCACGCTGCGCCGAGCCGGAACTCCCAACCGTCAAGATAGTCAGTCATGAGATAATATCCCGTCCATCAGGAGTGGTCTCGACTTTTGCCATGTAAGCCAGGCCAGACACCTTAGCTTCCGGAAGGGCTCTCGCCCTAGTGTTGGCGATGCTGCTAATCGGCCATAATCCGAAGACGCGACGAAGAGCAGCGAGATCGCCCCGACATGTGACATAGCCCATCCTCGTATGCAAAGGTCCTGGCTAGCCAGAGGAGTTCAGGTCCCCGAATAGGCGGCGCCGGGTAAAGTCGAGTTTCCCATCTTGGATGTTTTGCTGACGGCTTGGCCTGTAGGCGACCCTAAGAGGCCCTAACCTTTAGGGGCGGAGGCAGCGCCAGGGGCAACAACAGGTCGTCCGACTTCTTTAGCGGGCTTATGTGGTTCAATCGCCCTTTGTGGGACCCGCCTTTCAGCGATCGCACAAATGACGAAAAGGAAAAAAAGTGGTTTCTGTAAATGAAGAAGAAGAAGAAGAAAAAGGGGGGGATGTGAAGAGGAAGAAGAAGAAATCGGGTAGTGCATATGTGCGTGCCAATTGGCGTTTTTTGAGGTGGTGCTTGCATATGCATTGCGAGGTAAGGATGCTGTAGCGTGAAAGTCATGAGTATTTTCTCACAGGAGAAACCATTGTGAGTTGAGAGAAGTCGATAAGTGACAGATGTGAAAAGGACTGCCACGTTCCGTAACTTTTTTTGTCATGGTATCATGATAATGAAGTGTTTTTTGTGATGTGATGGTGAAATATGTTTGGTAGGAAGCCCTGCTCTCACAGCCATTGGTGCTGGTGGTGGGTGTTGCAGGATCTTCTGCTCCAGGTGGGAGACCAGGCTCTTTTTGGGGGGGGTTTTTTTTCTTGTTTTCCTTCGTCGTTTGCTTTCGTTTTTTCGTGTCTGGTATGGAGAGGGCGGCCGTCCCATGAAGAGCACGTGTGTGATCCAAGGGATCGACCAGTGTGGTGGCTCAATGGAGCAAAGCGTGGTGATGGGATGTGAATTGGAAAAAAAAAAGAGGCTGAATGAGGGGAGAGAGCGGCAATGATATCACGCTTCTGCACCGAGGGCGGGCGATCGCCTGTCTGGGGCAATGCAATGATCAATGCAATGATGACCCCATGCTCATGCCCTGGTGTGATCCCAGTATCGCTTGCGCGCCTTGACGGCCGTCTTGTCGCCCTGGAAGCGGTGCTGGAAGAAGTTGAAGACGGCAAACTCATCGCGGGTCATGACATAGGAGTCGGGCTGGGCCTGGACCCTGCCCCAGATCTGTGACAGAGCCAACTCGAGGATCTTGCTGACGGTGGGATCTGAGGCGCCATCGGGGCTCTCCCTGGCAATCTCGAGGGCCTGGGCAACGGCAGCGTCCTGCTGGGCCTGGTGCTGCTGGGCAGCGGCGGCCTTGGAGGCGTGGTGGTGATGGGAGTGACGATTGCTCATGCTGGCGTAGCCGAGCGAGACGTCAGGCTGGCGGTGAGGCATGGGGCGGATGGGGGAGTGGTTGAGGTGCTGCTGGTACTGGATCTCAGAGGGATAGACAGACAGCATCGTACTTGGTAACTGAGCGATGGTGGTCGAGGCGATGGTCATATATGCGTGGGCGTGTACGAGCACGAGCACGAGCACTTGGGAGGAGCTTGTACGAGTGAGTGGGTGTCGGATGGGATGGCGTGCGTCAGTGACCGGGGTCAGGGTATGGCGTATATATACACGCAACTTGTTCGGAGGTAGCGTATATATAGAAGCAGGCAAGGCAAATTACTCGAGGCGTCCAAGCAATAACCTATTGCATACGAGTAGGGACAGTAGCAAGTACAAGTAGCACAAAGCACTACCAAAGACCAATATATGCGGTGGAGAGTGGGCGGGAGTATCGATCCACGATCAGGCTCAGCCAGGGAGGGGGATCCTTGCTTCTTCACACACACTCCCAGCAGGCTTGACGGCTTGGCGTACGGTCCGTGTGTGGGGGCCAAGAAACGGGTGTGAGCTTGAGTTCTCTCGTGCGTCTAGGACTGCCTCGAGTGTCCAAGAGGGGGTTCTCAGCGCGACGCAGCCGCTCTTCTGGGCAATCTGACACTCGTGGGGACAGGGGGGGTTCCCTGCTGGCCAGGGCGTAGCGGTATCAAAAGCAGAGCAGTACAGTCCAGTCCAGTACCGTACGGTAGCGGTAGCGGTAGCGGTAGCGGTAGACCCAAGGCGCAAGTCGGCCGTGTCAGGTCGGGACACAAGTACCGTCGAACGTTGGAGCCGGTCTGTATTGTACAAGTATTGATATCAGGGGCGGACCCTGAGTCGGAGAGAGAGAGAGAGAGAGAGGAAAGTCTCTTTTTTTGCGGTGGGCACGTGCGAGATTGGGGGGGATAAGAAAAGCCAAGAAGGACGTCCCAGAAACCCGGCAGCGAGAAGGATAATTATAGTTATAGTTATTCTCGACCCGGCCTCTCGGGAGAATGAAACAACGTTTTGCTCGGGTCTCCCATCGAGACGCAAAAAGCTTGACTAGCGCCAATTGGCAATGGGAAAAGGCAAAAAGCACCCGCACGAAGCTGAGACATTCGCCTTTGACCTGTTGCCCAATCGAGCATGTCCCGCGCCAGCCCGTTTGCCGCCCAGGCTAAAGCGCCTCCGAAGCAGGAGAGAGACAAGCAAGCAAAAAGAAAGTTGCGCGTGGCAGAAGAATCAAAGAGTGACATGGAAACTGGCATAATTGGTAATCCAGCGGGGACCCGAAGTTCCGGGACTCTTTGCCGCCGTGGGAAAAGTTAAAGATACGAAGTATGGGGTACAAAAGACGCAGCGAAGTCGGTACGAGTACAGTCCATATTACAGTACGTACAAGTTGAAGGCACGCTGGTGACATTGGCGAGTTGAGGCGTTTGCTGGCCATGCGAGCGCCGGCACTAGTCCGTTGGCCGTGACGGTTTAGCCAGGCCGAAAAGTACGAAATACAAGGCCGAAAGTCTAAAGAAGGAAAACCGAAAACCGCTTGACACGACACGACACGACACGACACGACACGAGGCAGAAGCCCACAAAATGCCCACAAAACGGTTTGATGGCAAATGGGCAACATGGCAAAAAAGGAAAATTTTGAAAAAGGGGGACAAGAGAAGAGGAAAGAAGAAGAAGTACTCGTAGCAGTAGAAATTACAATTCGTCCGAGCAATCTCGGAAACTTGTCCAGAAAGAAACAAAGCAGAGTTTGCCGTCTAAATTCCGAAGGGGGCCTTGAGCGGAACTATACGCACACGCACACACACGGCCCAGAGACATGCTTTGGAAGGGCCAAAAGTCAGAAATGCCGCTGTGTACCTACGTGTAGAGCAGCAGAGAAGCACGGAGTACCGAGCACACACAAGAACCCCAGTTTGAGTCAAAAACCAAAACCAACATTTCCCGAAGCCAGAACAGCGTGAGGCATGTCCACTTGGAAACGCCCCTTTTAGCGCATGGCACCATGACACGGTGGCTGCTGGCAGTCCCTGATGGGCAGCGACATGACTTTTGTTCGGGTCCTGATGCGCTCCGTCTGCTTCTGGGGAGTTCTGGGAGAGTCTGGGCTGGCTGCGGCTCCGGGGCTGCCCTGCCCTGCGTGGCATTCGGCGATAATTCCACCCAGCCGGATAGGCAGCACGGAGAACCGGACTTTGAAGGCTTGGGACTTGGGGGACGCTCGTTGGCCGCATCATCAAAGTTCTATTGCTGATTACCTACATACATTGCATACTCCGTACATACGGTACATACATACACATACGGTACAAGCAAAACCTACAAAGCCTACACCGCCTTGTTTGGGGTGGCACCCAGACGATCCGGCTTGTGTTTTGTAGAACACTCTCGTGTGTGTCTGGTGTCTGGTGTGTGCTGTGTTAGTCGTGACCCTGCTGCTGTGCGTGCCCTGCTGTGTTACCATACCATTGACTCTTACTATCTATATCTATTCACCACTGTGCTACTGTACTCGTTACACTGCACAAAAGAAGTATCGATTCAATGATGATAATCATCATCATAATAAAAAGGGATCAACTGGTCGGGTCCCCACGCAAATCTCGATTCACCTAGCAAAAAATAGGCAGCCGCCAAAAAGGGTTTTTTTTTTCGGTTCTGTTTCTCACACGAACTGCCTTAGGGGCAAAGCTACTCAGCCGCTTGGGCTCAATCCTGTGCCTGCAATCAAATCAGATTCAATCCGAGTAAAACTTTTTTTCTTTGCTGGCGACTCAAAAGACGCTGTGTCAAGCAAACCCCCACACGCCATAAACTGACTTTGGCACCATCTGGGTCCCCTGTCCGGCCCAGCCTCAACGCGGCCAGGCGGTCAAGGGCACGTCACTCGTTGATGCTGGGAGGAAGTGCGGAATTCGCAGAGGTGCGTGCTGTGCTGCGCTTCTTGGTCTTTTTTTCCTCCATCCGTTCTCTTGTCCGTCAATCTTGTGCTCGTCCGTCCGTTTCTGTTGATCTTGTATCCGGCCGGCATTTCATTTCATTGAGCCCTCCTTCTCTTTAACTAGCCGGGCCGGGCTGGGCTGGGCTGCCAATCATCATCAAATGTAATAATACAGTACCGGCCAGGCCTCTTGAGCGAGTAATGCGTCTCTCCCCCAAGAAATACGAACAATACAGCCCGAAATGGTGAAACGCGCTACTATTTTGGGACGAACCTTCAAACCCTCGAGGGAATGCCAGTCTCCAACCATTCTTCGTTGCTCCCTTTTGTTGCCAGCCAAATACACTTTCTGCTCGATTCCATTCCAACATCGCGTGTCCACGAGGCTCGACCCTCTTTCTCTCCACATGACAGGCGCCCCCAAATCCTCCACGAGGACGCGCCAGCTCAGCTACACAAAGTGGGCATTGCAACGACACCGTTGAAGTGTAAACGGTGCTTTTCGAAAGCCAATATCAGAATCTTACAATTGGGATATCCCACTTGGCTTTCCGACCCCATTCAATCACAAACAGCCTCGTGCCCATTCTTAAATTTTTAATTCTTTTCGGCTCGCCATTATGCTTCAAGATATTGATACTTTTTGGGTATTCATGCTTACCGACACACGCCTTCTCATGGGCTGGTGGAGAGGAGGCTGCAGCGCCGCGACAAGGCCTGATCAGCCTCCCCAACGCCTCATCTTCGGTAACAATAACACCGTCTGGCACAGATGAATTGAAACGCCGACACTACCAGCAGCCGGTGGGACCATTTGACGGCACTCGGATTATAGAGCGGCGTTTGGAAGCCTCAGCGAGCCAACCGCTCACCCCTAGCCAGCGGTGTTTGTCTGATGCAAAAAAGTTTAATTCCTTTAGGCGTTTATTCAGACCACACTCACCACATAACACACATAACATGTTGTCTCTTACCGCGCACTTTCTTTCCCTACCGCGCGCATGCATTAGCAATTTGCTTGATAAGAGAGAACTCGCGGATTCGTTACAAGATTACTTGCTTTGGTTAGTTTATGCGAGTAGGAGATGCACGAGTAATGCCTCCCGCCGTCTAGTCTGTTTCCCTGACGCCTTCGATGAGCGTGTCTCTGATCCGTCGTCGAAATCGAAGATGCGGCAGTCTCTCCCTCAGCTAACGGGGACCGTCGGCACAAGTCGGTTGGTCAATTCCCCTGACCGACAAGTCTCCAACCATTCTGCTCTACTCCGTACATGGCCTAGAATAGAATGTTGAGGAATCCTGATGATGCTCGTCCGGCTACTACTACCAATATGCTTCGTAGTTGATTCCAGGCACTGCTAATAATAGGATATCCGAGTCAGTCAGCTTAGGCAAACAGAAATCACCCCCCCAATCTTACATATAACAACAACAAAGATCCAAATATAAACCCAAGCCATGGACAAACCACAACGATGCCCAAGTGTATCCCATCTCGCCCGGTCCCTGCCTGTACGTACGCCCTGGGTGGATCGTTACAGTACGGTTTGGGTATGTCGTGACTCCCCACGATCGTCGTGGAGCAGAATAACAGCCAGCCCACATGCACTAAAGGACGAATAATGACACGTACGAGCACCTCCAACTTGTTTGTTGGCAGAGCCTCTGCTGCTCTAGGGCTCCACCGGAGATGCTAGTGGGCCAGATTCGATGTTATGCCTCTTTAGATGACGCCGAGGGCAGATGCGAATTGCCTAATACGGCCCTTGGACTGACTCGTCAAGTCCGTACCCCAGAGCCTTGGGAATCCATGTGCCGAGACAAAACGCCCTATGTTCGGAATTGCTGCCCCAAGCAAGATTCTATTACATACTCCATCACGCCTTGCCTGAAAGAACGGACCGGACAGTCGCAAGTGTTGCAGCAGCGCGGTGGTGGGGGGAACCATCTATGTACAGTAGGGGGGCTGGAAGGACGGAACCTTGGAGTCAACTGTTTGACGGAATTACATGGATGACGGAGTTCCGCACAACGGAAGCTCGAAAAATTACGGCAAGCCATGACAACATGAATGTCATTCCGTTGGCTCGTTAGAGGCCGCTGTCAGGCAACGCATTGAATCCATTTTCATTTACCGCTACTCGGTGCCGTTTCGTTGCACCATGGTGGGGGCCAGGCGTGAAGCATAACCAGA